GGAGAGGAACAGATACAGCGTCCCCGTCTACATGGGGTAGAACCGGGGTTAAGAAGATAGGCCCTATGCGGGTTTTGGAATGTAGCTGGATGGCCCTGTGATGCACAGAATAATAATTTCGCATTACGGCGTGAACTTTTACTTTCACGTGACATGGATATAATTGGGATAGCTGAAACTCACTTACGTAAGGATGAAGAACTGTATTTAGATGGTTATAAGTGGATTGGACACAATAGAGTGTTACTCCATAACCGTGCCAAGGCTGGATCTGGTGGTGTAGGTTTTTCATTAAAACCTCATTCCTGGGTAATTTTAATGATATTAATATTGCTAATATTTCTTCTGAAGGCATATTATGGCTAGAACTAACTGACCATTGTAAGTCAAAGTTTTATTTGGCAGTGTGCTATCTCCCCCCCTGAGAATTCAACGAGAAATGTTTGTGTAGCTGACTTTCTCGACACCTTGCTGTCGCAAATTTTTGAGTTTTAGTCATGTGGTACAATACTGTATGTATGTGGAGACTTCAATAGCAGGGTCTCAGACCTGAATGATTTTATATAGGGCGTGGCCATGCTACCCGAAAGGCAGGTCGTAGATTATGTGACTAACGCCAATGGGCGGAGACTGATTGATTTTCTGATAGATGCAAATTTCTGTATACTGAATGGAAGAAATACAGCATCCAATGACTTTATCTACATATCTACGAGTGAGGCTATTAATATTAGCTCACAGGTAGCAGATAACCAGTCAGACACGGTTTATGCTACACGCTTTATTATGTCTGATGTACCTTCTGACTTTTTAACATCTGATAAATGTATAGCACTCTTGAATGACATCATATTGCAGCTCGAGATGTCGACCCAGTCTCAGAATGACCTAGATCTAGGTGCGGAGACTCTCACAGACTTAGTTCAGAGAGAGATGCATGAAAAGTTAAAACCACGTTCTCATTGGGCTTTTGGTGGTAAGAGCAATAAAAAGCGTCGTGTGAGAAAGCCATGGTGGAATGATGATCTGCGTGTGTTGTGGAATGACATGTGCGAGGCAGAGAGAAAGTGGTGTAAATGTAAACGCCCTGGTAATGAGAGAATGTTTCTGAAACATATTTTTGTTAAAAAGCGAAAACATTTTGACAAAACAGTGCAAATTGCTAAACAAATGAATGCGACAGGGGAAAGAAAACGGTTGGATGAAATGTGTGAGGATAATGATAGAGAATTCTGGAAGAAGATTGGTAAGATTGGGGAAGGTGGGGAGAGACGAAGACAGATCCCCATGAGAGTGGTTTTAGAGGATGGAAATATGTCTGAGAAATGGAGTGATGTACAAGATAAGTGGAAGAATGATTATTGTAAACTTCTGAATGGTGACGTCAGGATGCAGAATGTTAAGTGTGACAGTGAGACTGGCGACACACATATGTTGTTCGAGCTAAAATTACTCTTTGAAGTAACCAGAGCGGTTGATAGAAGCCACTGTGGCAAAGTTCCTGGTGCTCACGGTATTCCGATGGAATGTCTTAAATCACAAAATGTTATTTCGGCGATGCACAATATCTTTAATATATGTTTTAGCTCAGGGAAAATCCCTGCATTGTGGTTTAAAGGCCATAATTAACCCCATACCAAAGTGTTCTACTTTAGATCCTGCGGATCCTTTATCATATAGAGGTTTGACCCTCACCAATTCTATGTACAAATTATATTGTAATATTTTAAATAACCGTCTGCAATCTTGGGCTGAAAGCACAGGAGCTCTAAATGATGCACAAAATGGGTTCCGGAAGTGTAGATCAACCACGGATCATATTCACTCTGTTTGTTCTTTTATTGAAACTAGAAAATGTAATTAAAAATACACTTTTTCTGCTTTTATTGACTTTCATAAAGCGTATGATAGCATTAACAGAGGTGTGCTGTGGGATAAATTATGTAACATTGGCGTGAAAGGGAAAATGTTTCTAGCACTTCAATCTTTATATGATAATGTGAAATGCAGTGTACGTATAAATGGTGTGCATACACCCTGGTTTAATGTTAATCGGGGTTTAAAACAAGGATGTTTACTTTCGCCAATTCTGTTTTACGCAATTATTCAACATTACGAAATGCCACGCCTGTCCGAAAATGAGCGTCTGCGAGCCATTGGTAGCTTGAAGCAGGATCGAGTCAATGTGATGTTGCAAGACAATTTAACGTCCACAGAAACACCATTTGGTGTTTATGGCAACGTTGGCAACAGACGAATGCAGTCAAAGACCATCCTCGGAGTGGCAGGCCACGCGTAACCAATAATCGACAAGACAACTGGATTCGAGCAACACACCTACGAAATCGATTCCAACCAGCAACAGTGACTGCAAGAAGCATCCCTGGCCTGCGACGAATATCTTCACAAACCGTACGTCGTCGCCCCAGATGTGCAGGGATTGTCGCCAGAAGACCCACCAGACGTCCTTTTGACAGGAAACCACCGTCAAGCACGTCTACAGTGGTGCAGACTGTGTCTACGCTGGACGGCCATGCAGTGGGGACAAGTTATATTCACTGACGAGTCGCGTTTTCACCTCAGCCACAGCGATGGACGGATTCTAGTGTACCGACGTCGAGGTGAACGTTACGTCAATCATTGTGTCATGGAAGAAGATCGGTTCGGGGGCGGCAGCGTTATGGTATAGGGTGGGATTACAGCAAGACAGGGGACCCGTTTGATAGTGGTAGAGGGAAATCTCAATGGACAGCGCTACCGCGACGAGATCATCGACACTGTTGTTCTACCGTTTTTGCCTCGTCATGGCCCAGGCATTACCTTTCAACATGACAACGCCCGGCCTCAGATTGCTCGACTTGTTCAGGATTCTTTTCAACAAAAGAACGTGAATGTCATCCCCTGGGTGGCTCGCTCCAGTGATCTCATAACGTTGCATTAAATCTTATTCAATGTCACAGGAACTTTTGTTGTTCAGTATATATTATTATAGGCAGAAACACACTTATGAATTATATATGTATTATCATTGACAGAAACACATTTATGACATTTGAGATGTATAAATATCGACAGATTACATATATGACATTTGAAATGTATTATTACAGACAGAAGCACATTTAAGACATTTGAGATGTATAATTATAGACAGAAACACATTTAAGACATTTGAAATTTATTATTATAGACAGAATCACATTTAAGACATTTCAGATGTTTTAATAGAGACAGAAACGTATTTAAGACATTTGAAATGTATTATTATAGACAGAAACACATTAAAGACATTTGAGATGTATTAATAGAGACAGAAATATTTTAGATGTATTATTATAGACAGAAACACATTTAAGACATTTGAGATGTATTAATATAGACAGAAACACATTTATGACATTCGAAATGTATTATTATAGACAGAAGCACATTAAAGTCATTTGAGATGTTTTATTATAGACAGACACACATTTATGACATTTGAGATGTATTATTATAGACAGACACACATTTATGACATTTGAGATGTATTATTATAGACAGAAACACAAGTATGACATTTGAGATGTATTAATATAGACGGAAACATATAATGACATTTGATATTTAAGTATTAAAATAGACAGAAACACATTTACGACATTTGAGATGTATTAATAGAGACAGAAACACATTTAAGACATCTGATATGTATTCTTATAGGCAGAAACGCATTTAAGACATTTGATATGTATTAATAGAGACAGAATCACACTTAAGACATTTGATATGTATTATTATAGACAGGAACACATTTATGACATTTGAGATGTATTATTATAGACAGGAACACATTTATGACATTTGAGATGTATTATTATAGGCAGAAACATATATATGACATTTGAGATGTATTAATATAGCAAGAAACACATTTATGATATTCGATGTGAATTGTAGACAGAAAAACATTTGTGACATTTCTTGTAGATTATTAAAGGCAGAAACACACTTATGAATTATTTATATATTATCATTGACAGAAACACATTTAGGACATTTGAGATGTATCAATATAGACAGAAACACATTTCTGACATTTGAGATGTATTAATATAGACAGAAACACATTTCTGACATTTGAACTGTATTATTATAGTCAGAAGCACATTTAAGACATTAGAGATGTATTAATAGAGACAGAAACTCATTTATGACTTTTGATATGTATTATTATAGACAGAAACACATTCATGATATTTGATATATTATTTTCGACAGAAACACATTTATGACATTGAAATGTATTATCATAGACAGAAACACATTTAAGACATTTGAGATGTATTATTATAGACAGAAACACATTTATGACATTTGAGATGTATTAATATAGACAGAAACACAAGTATGACATTTGAGATGTATTAATATAGACAGAAACACATTAATGACATGTTTATGTGTATTAAACTAGACAGGAACAGATTGAATCAGATAATTTCCAACTTCCAACACTTTGTACATCACGATGAAGGATGATTGTATTCAGATCGATGGGCCCATGCTCTCCACGTGGACCGTGTCACGTGTTAGTATCTAAGGAAGTGCGTCTATTCTCTCCACACTAAGACCTACAAAAGAGACAACTGCTGTTCCACATTGTGTGAAAGTGACATGTCTGAACACCGCACAGTGTCCGAGGGTGTTAAGTTGCATCCTCTTCACCTCAGTGACGGGGCCCGCCTGCCCACCTGCCACATGATATATTTACCTGTATGTAAAGGTAGTCTTACGCTTAATGAGTAAACAACCCTCTACGGTCATGTTTCGTTCAAACAAGGCCCGCAAGTGTACAAAAGATGTTATTGATACTTAAACATACAAATCTAAAATATATTAAACCAACATTCTTAACATCAGTCCATGTTTTCAGATTTGACGCATGCGCATTGTTTGAATCAGTGAAAGGTAGACTGTATTTACATATATATTCAACTCATGACGACGTTTTATTTTAGTTGCTACACGCTCATACGGTGGGACTGTGAGGGGGTTAATGCCTCCAACTAGTGTTACACAAGAGAGGTGAGGCTGTTACTACATCAGTGAACTCCTCTGTCGTTCAAGAGTGTTTACCTGAGCGTTCACCTACACTGTCCAGCGCCTCATCCGCTCGCAAGTAACGGCTGAAACAGGTGACCTAGTACGTGTGGCCCTGCCTGGTGTTGGAGACGCACCCAAATGTCGCGACAAACATTTGACTTGATGGTAAGTGATTCACAGCATAGATCACACCGCCACCGCCTGTCGTAACACCTGCCGTCACCAGTTCGTGTGCACCTTCTGTGTCGTATCCATGATCTTATTTTTAGACATACATGGAGACATTAGGTCTCATTTTGGCTGACCTGGAGAACGCATTAGTTAAATATTGCGTTGTTAGTTGTATCTATACTTGCCAGGATAATATTCGGATCCTGTTTTATCCAGGGCCTCCGTCTTCATGATGCTGTTTTGGCTCACTATGCGGCCATGTGTACATACAAGTGTAATTTGATATATATGGTACGTGCTAACCTTTTTAGCCTTTTCCTGCACCTGGACCTTCATGATATATCCACTGGAACCATCAAATGTGTCCATCCACGGTCAGCAGAATTAAGAGCCGAGACAGAAATATTCGGCTATTATGTAACCAATATAAATGGAACATGAATAAGCTTAATAATACGTAAAAATTCATCTTCCAGAGGCAAGAGAGTTAACTGGCTATTAATGTCCAGGTTCCACCCTTGCCGAACTAGGCTGGTATTATGGAGTTTTGGCTGGACTAACGAGCCTACGCATAGTCCAATCAAAATCGCGCAATCGAAATCCTAATCGTAAACTGTCGTGCAGATTTCGGTCGATTGCAGGATTTGCAAAGCATGTGCACCGCCAACTCGTTGTCAACCGATATTTTCCAAATCTTTTCATATTTTTAATCAAGGTTCTCTCGTGGTTTGAAGCACTTAGCGATGTAAGATCCGTTTTATCACAATATAGTTCTTGATTATCGATCAGATCGTCTTGACTGGGCGCCGCCATGTTTGAAGCAAATGCAAGTGATACGAGAGGTGGAATCTGATTGGTACAAAGGAGAGGCTTAGCAGGGACATAACTCGTAATAGCTACTGGTGGCGCTACGATCGAGCCCAGGAATTCCAGCCTAGTTCGGCAAGGGTGGAAACTGGACTTTTAAAGTCAGTTAACTCCCTTGCCTGGGGAAGATGGTAATAAGTAGAAGTGGAGTGAGCACTGAACTGAATTGCACGGGATATGAAATGTATTGTGTTTCTTACAACAGCCGTGATCGCTTTTAAATTTGCTCGTTGTAATGATTTCATATTTTGTCGGTCTATTTGTGAGTAAAATGTCTCAAAGTTATGACACCAATATATAATATAGTCGGAACTGAATAGAATTAAAGTACATCACCTACACAGTGTATACAATCCAAATATCTCCCATACATCGCAATACAGCGCAACATATCCTTCATAGCGTGTAACATATCTTCTGCACAGTGGATACTGGAATATCTCTCCCACACTCTCTATTGTTCTACACACCTGCTTCAGTGTGTACGTCCTGGGATGTCTCACACACTCTCTACTGTTCTACAAACCTGCTTCAGTGTATACGTCCTTGGATGTCTCCCACACCCTCTACTATTCTGCATATCTGCCACAGTGTGTACGTCCGGGGATGTCTCACACACCCTCTACTGTTCTACATATCTGCTACAGTGTGTGCGTCCTGGGATGTCTCACACACCCTCTACTGTTCTACATGTCTGCTACAGTGTGTATGTCCTGGGATGTTTCACACACTCTCTACTGTTCTACATATCTGCTACAGTGTGTATGTCCCGGGCTGCTCAAACACCCTCTACTGTTCTACATATCTGCTACAGTGTGGACGTCCTGGGATGTCTCACACTCCCTCTTCTGTTCTATATATCTGCTACAGTGTGTATGTCCCGGGCTGCTCAAACACCCTCTACTGTTCTACATATCTGCTACAGTGTGTACGTCCTGGGATGTCTCACACACCCTCTACTGTTCTACATACCTGCTACAGTGTGGACGTCCTGGGATGTCTCACACACCCTCTACTGTTCTACATATCTGCTTCAGTGTGTACGTCCTGGGATGTCTCACACACTCTCTACTGTTCTACGCACCTGCTTCAGTGTGTACGTCCTGGGATGTCTCCCACACTCTCTACTGTTCTACGCACCTGCTTCAGTGTGTACGTCCTGGGATTTCTCACAAACTCTCTACTGTTCTACGCACCTGCTTCAGTGTGTACGTCCTGGGATGTCTCCCACACTCTCTACTGTTCTACACACCTGCTTCAGTGTGTACGTCCTGGGGTGTCTCACACACTCTCTACTGTTCTATACACCTGCTTCAGTGTGTACGTCCTGGGATGTCTCCCACACTCTCTACTGTTCTACACACCTGCTTCAGTGTGTACGTCCTGGGGTGTCTCACACACTCTCTACTGTTCTACACACCTGCTTCAGTGTGTACGTCCTGGGGTGTCTCACACACTCTCTACTGTTCTACACACCTGCTTCAGTGTGTACGTCCTGGGATGTCTCACACACTCTCTACTGTTCTACACACCTGCTTCAGTGTGTACGTCCTGGGGTGTCTCACACACTCTCTACTGTTCTATACACCTGCTTCAGTGTGTACGTCCTGGGATGTCTCACACACTCTCTACTGTTCTACACACCTGCTTCAGTGTGTACGTCCTGGGGTGTCTCCCACACTCTCTACTGTTCTACACACCTGCTTCAGTGTGTACGTCCTGGGATGTCTCCCACACTCTCTACTGTTCTACACACCTGCTTCAGTGTGTACGTCCTGGGGTGTCTCACACACTCTCTACTGTTCTATACACCTGCTTCAGTGTGTACGTCCTGGGATGTCTCCCACACTCTCTACTGTTCTACACACCTGCTTCAGTGTGTACGTCCTGGGGTGTCTCACACACTCTCTACTGTTCTACACACCTGCTTCAGTGTGTACGTCCTGGGGTGTCTCACACACTCTCTACTGTTCTACACACCTGCTTCAGTGTGTACGTCCTGGGGTGTCTCACACACTCTCTACTGTTCTACACACCTGCTTCAGTGTGTACGTCCTGGGATGTCTCACACACTCTCTACTGTTCTACACACCTGCTTCAGTGTGTACGTCCTTGGATGTCTCCCACACTCTCTACTGTTCTACACACCTGCTTCAGTGTGTACGTCCTGGGGTGTCTCACACACTCTCTACTGTTCTACACACCTGCTTCAGTGTGTACGTCCTGGGGTGTCTCACACACTCTCTACTGTTCTACACATCTGCTTCAGTGTGTACGTCCTGGGATGTCTCCCTCACTCTCTACTGTTTTACGCACCTGCGTCAGTGTGTACGTCCTTGGATGTCTCCCACACTCTCTACTGTTCTACACACCTGCTTTAGTGTGTACGTCCATGGATGTCTCCCACACTCTCTACTGTTCTACACACCTGCTTCAGTGTATACGTCCTGGGATGTCTCCCACACCCTCTACTATTCTACATATCTGCTACAGTGTGTATGTCCTGGGATGTCTCCCACACTCTCTATTGTTCTACATATCTGCTACAGTGTGTACGTCCTGGGATGTCTCACACACCCTCTACTGTTCTATATATCTGCTACAGTGTGTATGTCCTGGGATGTCTCCCACTCTCTCTACTGTTCTACATGTCTGCTACAGTGTGTACGTCCTGGGATGTCTCACACACTCTCTACTGTTCTACACATCTGCTTCAGTGTGTACGTCCTGGGATGTCTCACACACTCTCTATTGTTCTGCATATTTGCTATAGTTCTACAGAAGTTGCTGTCCATAAAAAAGTGTCATGTATTCATGTTCTTCTAAATGCCAATCAAAGACTTCACAGCAGTTTATATATCATTTTTATCACTTTATACACAATACATATCACTATATAGCGCATATTATATGATTAGATCTATACACAATACATATCGCTATATATTTATATATCACTGTATACACAATGCAAAGAACCGTATATATCACTTTATACACAATACAAAACACTCTATATATCGTATATATAACTGTATACAAAATACATATTACTGTGAATATCGTATATATCACTGTATGCGTAATATATATATATATATATATATATAGAGAGAGAGAGAGAGAGATATATATATATATATATATATATATATAAAATATATACATATATATATCGTAAATATCAATGTATAGAGAGTACTTGTCAATGTTTATCTCGTATATATGACTGTTTACGCAATACATAGCACCGTATATGTATACACAATCAATATCACTGTATGTATCGTATTTATCACTTAATACACAATACATATCGCTATATATCTAATATATCACTGTGTACATAGTATTTATCACTGTATGCACAATATATATATTGTCGTACAACTATATGTCGTATTGATCGTTGTATACACCGTATTTACCACTGTATACATCGTACATATCATTTTATCATATAATGGTTAGTTTCTCGGCAGGAAAAAGCCAACGGATAAAAATGATATCCGTTGTGGTCATATGCCGATAGAGATGCAAATATCAAAGTCAAGTAGAGACTACTTTCAGTGTTTATAAACAAACCTGGTATTGCCCTTGTCATTCGATGATCGAGTCAGAATTAACCATCGGGAATGTGGAGAAACCACTGGGACAATTGCTATCATTATCAAAAGAATAATCTAAAATACCAAAAACCAGTGTCTTACTGTGACCTAGATGAGGCATTTTTCAAGTTTTGGCGATATAAATTGCGAAACAATTTTGCGAGGGCACTAGGCAAGCGGAATCACTTTCCATTTCTGTTCTTGAAGACCTCTGTGGCTTGGAACCTTTTCCAAAAATTAAAACAGTTGGATTTGGCCGAAATATGTTCGAATTGTTAACTTGTTTCGTTTTGTCGCTGTGTGTACATCTGATAGACTTCGTAACGTTATAACAGGACAGGCCGACTGTCAACAATGCCTGACTGTGGCTGTGAAGTCTCACACACTAGGGTTAGAGTAGCTTCCCTTTGATAAAGGGCAGTTACTCTATTGGACAGCCCGGTGGATTGCCACGAAAGGCAAGTAAAAACAATTTGTTTAGGCAATTATTGTTTTACATATAAGAGTTACGCCACTGTATAAGAAACAGGTTTCAATTGGAACTACATTGGCTACTACCACTGTCCGACTGACACATCACTTACCCTATCTCGTTATATATATTAATGCGCACATTCCATGAAAACCTGCAATGTTTACGTACTGTGAGAGATGGAAAAGGATTTTCGAGCATAGAATTGAAGAATGACATTATATGATCAAGGGGTTATCACGCGTATGTATTTGGGGAACCTGAACATCCTGTATCAGGAATAAACACTATGTATATAGCTCGCCAAGGCTCGCTAAATACAATGTTTATTCCTAATACAGGATATTTACCATCCCCAAACACACTCGCGTGATAACATCTATGTAGACATAACGTGTATCAGTGTATACGCAATGTATGTTGAGAGCATGATCCATCCTTTATATCAGTATTCTGGTGTTTTTTCAGGACTCCTCCCAGATGGGCTCCTCGGGGGTAAGTGACCCATGCAAGCGACTGCACCGATGTCGGTCCATCACATACACTTCTTATGTTACAAAATTATTTTTTAACTGAACTGTTGGCGGTCCATGAAATGCCCTTCTTGTGTTAGAAAACATTGTTTAATTGCACCGGTGCAGACCAAATATATAAAAACCGTGTTCACACTTTGAAAACAGAACAAACAAACTAAACCTAACATAATATTTATTTTAGATAAGGCTTTTACCCTTGGCTCTCGATACAGATTTAATCGTTGAATACACCAACGATTTTTGTCCCTCCTTGCATTTCATTTGAAACTGTGGAACATGCAATCAGCTCACTGAACTACATATCCCGTCTTCAAATGTAACACACAAACACAAGCCACCACAATGCACTTGGAACATTCATGTACAGTTGCGCGTTTCTAAACTTTACCTTGTCGCTACTGACACCGGCCAATGCTTAAAGCATGTGTGTATATGTCCGATATCACCTGCAGTCCCCGGGACTGTTTCAGCTTCTGGTGGGAGAGGTGCATTCAAGGAGCAGTGCAAAGAGGAAAATCCTTCTCGTGACGGTAATTTATATTTTTTTACTGTTGTGTTTCTATGGCAACACATGGATGTTAGAGAGTTGCAGGACTTCCGTGATCCGTGATCGATCGTTGTTGGGATAAAACCGCCCATCCCATGATTATTTGCTGACAGGATCAAACAACCTTCCCATCCCATGGTCGATGTTGTAAGGACCAAATAACCTACTCCACCCCATGGTCGATTGTCAATAGGATCATACCATGTAACCGACCACGTGGACAATTGTTGTGAGGGTCAAACTGTCCATCCCCCTGGTGGCCTCTAATTGTTATTATGATTTATATTTTGCTTCCTTTTCCCATTCTGTACATCTGTATTTACGCATGCCGTGTTTCCCCAAGCTGGGTGTGTGTGTGGTGACGGGATGTATCGTTGGACTGGTGTTCGGCCTGAGGCCTCAGCCCGGTGCTCCAGACATGGCTTCCAGCAAACCGCCTGCGAAACAGACTTGGATGTCTCAGTCATGTCTGGGCGGAAACAAACAGTCACAGTGCCCTTGGCGGTGAGTGAATTATTTTATTGTAAATATCCGGGGCTCAAAAATGGCACCATTTTAAGATAAGATATATGAAATTACCATATTACAATTGTTCATCCATATATATTATCCTTCCGTTGTGCTCCAAATTCTAAATGTATCTCAAATAAGACATCATTTTAGTTCTGATGTACTGTTCTGCTTCTGTGTACCCATGAACATGTCTCTCTATTCACTCCTTCTGTGTCCCCGGGAACATGTCTCTCTACTCACTGCTTCTGTGTCCCCAGGAACATGTCTCTCCACTCACTGCTTCTGTGTCCCCAGTAACATACTCCCTACTCATTCCTTCTGTGTCCCCAGGAACATGTCTCTCTAATCACTAATTCTGTGTCCCCAGTAGACTAAAATCTAGTCTCTGAAATGAACATATCGTACATAAAAAAAACAGTTGTTCAGTTATCTTAATAAAAATATAATAAAAAGGAGCCCAGTGACTCTCTTCATTTTCAGATACTGCAGTGATCTAGACTTGCCAAACATTATAGACTTGCATGGGCTGTATTTGATATATATTTGTATCAGGGTCTGTAAGACTGACTATGTCCCCAGTAACATACTCCCTACTCATTCCTTCTGTGTCCCCAGGAACATGTCTCTCTACTCACTGCTTCTGTGTCCCCAGGAATATGTCTCTCTACTCACTGCTTCTGTGTCCCCAGGAACGTGTCTCTCTACTCACTCCTTCTGTGTCCCCGGGAACATGTCTCTCTACTCACTGCTTCTGTGTCCCCATGAACGTGTCTCTCTACTCACTCCTTCTGTGTTCCCAGGAATATGTCTCACTACTCACTCCTTCTGTGTCCCCGGGAACATGTCTCTCTACTCACTGCTTCTGTGTCCCCGGGAACATGTCTCTCTACTCACTGCTTCTGTGTCCCCATGAACGTGTCTCTCTACTCACTCCTTTTGTGTTCCCAGGAATATGTCTCACTACTCACTCCTTCTGTGTTCCCAGGCACGTGTCTCTCTACTCATTCCTTCTGTGTCCCCAGTAACATGTCTCTCTACTAATTCCTTCTGTGTACCCAGGAACATGTCTCTCTACTCACTGCTTCTGTGTCCCTATGAACGTGTCTCTCTACTCACTCCTTCTGTGTTCCCAGGAATATGTCTCACTACTCACTCCTTCTGTGTTTCCAGGCACGTGTCTCTCTACTCATTCCTTCTGTGTCCCCAGTAACATGTCACTCTACTCACTCCTTCTGTGTCCCCATGAACGTGTCTCTCTACTCACTGCTTCTGTGTTCCCAGGCACGTGTCTCTCTACTCATTCCTTCTGTGTCCCCAGTAACATGTCTCCCTACTCACTCCTTCTGTGTCCGACTGCCGCCGTGGTCTAGGAGCGTCCGCTCGGAGAGCGGAAGGTCCGGGGTTCGACTCCCGGCCGCGTCAAACCAACATACGTTTAAAGATTGTACTTGTAACCCTGCCTGGCGCTAGGCATTAAGGGTATAAGACAAGGATTGGTCGGCTTGTCAGTATGATTGGGGTATTAATGTTAAACGTGGGCATGTTATCCCACTGGGCTAGCACTATAGAATCGGTATTAGTCCGGACTAGAGCAAGAGGCCCCACGTACATGCACGTCGCAATATAAGTGCAATAATCTTGGACGCGACATGAAACCCCATTTCACCTCACCTCGCATTCTGTTTCCCCAGTGACATCTACCCAATCCTTCTTCTTCAAGAGTTGACAAGTGTATCTACCCACTCCTGTTTCCCCAGTGACAAGAGTATCTACCCACTCCTGTTTCCCCAGTTACAAGTGTATCTACCCACTCATGTTTCCCCAGTGGCAAGTGTATCTACCCACGCCTGTTTCCCCAGTGACAAGAGTATCTACCCACTCATGTTTCCCCAGTGACAAGTGTATTTATCCGCTCCTGTTTCCCCAGTGACTAGTGTATCTACCTACTGCTGTTTCCCCAGTGAGTGACACGTGTATCTACCCACCCCTGTTTCCCCAGTGATATATCTACCCACTCCTGTTTCTCAGTGACATATCTACCCACTCCTGTTTCCCCAGTGATATATCTACCCACTCATGTTTCTCCAGTGACATATCTACCCACTCCTGTTTCCCCAGTGATATATCTACCCACTCCTGTTTCCCCAGTGACATTTCTACCCACTCATGTTTCCCCAGTGACATGTCTACCCACTCCTGTTTCCCAAGTGATATATCTACCCACTCCTGTTTCCCCAGTGACATATCTACCCACTCCTCTTTCCCCAGTGACATATCTACCCACTCCTGTTTCCCCAGTGACAACCTTAAGTGTATCTATCATTACTGTTTCCCGAGTGACTAGTGTGTCTACCCACTCATGTTTCCCCAGTGGCTAGTGTATCTACCCACCCCTATTTCCCCAGTGACAAGTGTATCTATCCGCTCCTGTTTCCCGAGTGACTAGTGTGTCTACCCACTCATGTTTCCAAAGTGGCTAGTGTATCTACCCACTCCTGTTTCCCCAGTGACAAGTGTATCTTCCCAGTCCTGTTTCCCCAGTGACAAGTGTATCTACCTACTCCTGTTTCCCCAGTGACAAGTGTATCTTCCCAGTCCTGTTTCCCCAGTGACTAGTGTATCTACCCACTCCTGTTTCCCCAGTGACAAGTGTATCTACCCACCCCTATTTCCCCAGTGACTAGTGTATCTACCCACTCCTGTTTCCCCAGTGACATTTCTACCCACTCCTTTTTCCCCAGTGACAAGTGTATCTACCCACCCCTGTTTCCCCAGTGGCAAGCGTATCTACCCACTTCTGTTTCCCCAGTGACTAGTGTATCTACCCACTCCTGTTTCCCCAGTTGCATATCTTCCCACTCCTGTTTCCCCAGTGACTAGTGTATCTACCCACTCCTGTTTCCCAAGTGACAAGTGTATCTACCCACCCCTATTTCCCCAGTGACTAGTGTATCTACCCACTCCTGTTTCCCCAGTGACATTTCTACCCACTCCTTTTTCCCCAGTGACAAGTGTATCTACCCACCCCTATTTCCCCAGTGACTAGTGTATCTACCCACTCCTGTTTCACCAGTGACAAGTGTCTCTTCCCAGTCCTGTTTCCTCAGTGACAAGTGTATCTACCCACCCCTATTTCCCCAGTGACTAGTGTATCTACCCACTGCTGTTTCCCCAGTGACAAGTGTATCCACCCACTGCTGTTTCCCCAGTGACAAGTGTATCTACCCACTCATGTTTCCCCAGTGACAAGTGTATCTACCCACCCCTGTTTCCCCAGTGACAAGTGTATCTACCCACTCATGTTTCCCCAGTGACAAGTGTATCTACCTACTACTGTTTCCCCAGTGACTAGTGTATCTACCCACTCCTGTTTTCCCAGTGACAAATGTATCTACCTACTACTGTTTCCCCAGTGACAAGGGTATCTATCTACTCCTGTTTCCCCAGTGACATATCTGCCCACTCATGTTTCCCCAGTTACAAGTGAATCTACCCACCCCTGTTTCCCCAGTGGCAAGTGTATCTACCCACTCCTGTTTCCCCAGTGACTAGTGTATCTACCCACTCCTGTTTCCCCAGTTGCATATCTTCCCACTCCTGTTTCCCCAGTGACTAGTGTATCTACCTACTCCTGTTTCCCCAGTGACAAGTGTATCTACCCACCCCTGTTTCCCCAGTGACTAGTGTATCTACCCACTCCTGTTTCCCCAGTGACAAGTGTATCTACCCACCCCTGTTTCCCCAGTGACTAGTGTATCTACCTACTCCTGTTTCCCCAGTGACAAGTGTATCTACCCACCCCTGTTTCCCCAGTGACTAGTGTATCTACCTACTCCTGTTTCCCCAGTGACACATCTACCCACTCCTGTTTCCCAAGTGACTAGTGCATCTACTAACTCCTGTTTCCCCAGTGACAAGTGTAATTTCCCACTCCTCTTTTCCCGGCGACGAGTCCTTCTACCCAGTGTTTCCGGTATCGTTAGGTGGTTCTCATTCTGTTTCCCCAGTGACAAGTCCAGCTCTCCGCTGCTTGTGTTAGCGCTTGACGGCTTCCGTGCTGACTACATAGACCGTGACGTGACACCAACCATCCAGCACCTGATAGAGTGTGGGGTGCACACCCCGGGTATGAGGCCCGTATACCCGAGTCTTACCTTTCCCAATGACCAGACTATTGTCACGGTAATGATTACGCCATCGTGTGTTCCATGCCAATATATGTTATAAATATGAATTCGGTTGTAATTAGTTTTACTCCGTATAGATAATAATAGCAGAGAGTTACAAACTAGAGAACCATATGTATGTCCAACGAAAGTCCCTCTGTACATGGTTTTAGGTTTGGTTTTTGACAAAAGAGCCGCATGTAGTTTAGCAGTCATGTGTATGAACTTCTACTTCTTTGCCTCTCGGGTCGTTTATACGATGACATGTGTCAGGGATGTCATTAAACATCGCCAGTAACACAACCAAATGCCGAATTTTACATCATTGAAACAAACGCAGACACATAGAAAATGCAACGATCTCGTTTGCTCTGATTCACCATATGAGATGACTTTGGGCATTTTAAAGTTTCTATGTTCACATGCCCTAGCAGAGTTATGTATCATTTTGGATATCAAGGATGGGTATGTAAATAGTTACTGTACATGATCTCAGTGTGTAAGTGAATGATCAGGAAAGTGTTTGATGGTAATTGTGATCTGGAGGAATAGCTTGATACAAAGTTTGTGAGATTCCTATCCTGAGGTGCAGGTTGCTATTACGCCGAGGACGCGCATTCCTTAGAACCAACGCATGCACGTTCCCGGGATAACTACAACATGTATGTTAGATTTAGATTTTGTCATGTTACAACTGTCCGAAATAGAACAAAATGCTGATTGTATTTTGAAATATCTCAAGAAAAGTGGTAGAATACAACCTATAGGCTTGTTATAGTATCAATTGAATAAGGGAGATTGACGTTTGCATACTTATTAAATTAGGAGATAAACATACCGTGTTTTAAATGTAGAGTAATTTCCAAATTCATGGTAGAATTCATATTCTACCATGAATTTGCAAATTCCTCGATTCTGATTGGTTGGTCAGAGTCTATAAGATCACGATAAACCCCACTGATTGAAAAAGCTGGTTTGACGGTCGCATTATTGCGGTAGTTAATATTGAATAGTACTCTTTTCAGTCATTAATAAACTCTACAATTATAGGTTACAAAATGCAAGTTTCCAAGTACCGTGCTTGTATGCTTTCAATGCCTATCATATGTTCGACTGAAGTATTACGATGTAAAGAAACTTCCTGAGCATATACAGCGCCATATTTTGTTTAAAGGCTGTTGTCGGTGAATCCGTGATTCACATCGACAGCCCACTCAAAACACTGGACCTTACCTATGATGCTTCCCTCAATGTATTTGCTTGCACCAAAGCGTTTTGCGCGGTTAAATCTACAGGTAAACTATCTCACATTATGTTTATCTCCTAATTCTACCATGAATTTGAAAAATACTGGATGAAAACGAACACCTCTCTAATACAGGTTCATAGTTACTTGAAAACTCTTTCAAAACAGGTCCGCAAAATGACACGTATATATGAAACGTTTGTCAAAAGGGCCTCGGATTACACTTATATTTTCTTGAATGAATAAAGTTGGGAAATGCTGTTCTTTTGTGTGATGAATGTGTACCGGATAACACCACATGTTGCAGGGTTTGTATCCTGAATCTCACGGCATTGTCGACAACAACATCTACGACGGTGACATCGGTGACGAATTCAAGATAAAGACAAAGAGTAAAGACAAGCCAGCTTGGTGGGGCGGAGAGCCAGTGAGTGTCATCCTGACACACCACATCATTAGTGGAAACTCTCACAACACGTCATCAGTTACCTCTGGTAACTCTCGCAACACGTCATCAGTTACCTGTGGTAACTCTCGCAACACGTCATCAGTTACCTGTGGTAACTCGCAACACGTCATCAGTTATCTGTGGTAACTCGCAACACGTCATCAGTTACCTGTGGTAACTCGCAACACGTCATCAGTTACCTGTGGTAACTCTCGCAACACGTCATCAGTAACCAGAGGTAACACAAACGTCACTTCATCAGTTACCAGTAGTAACACAAACATCTCTTCATCAGTCTACAGTGGTAACACAAACATCACTTCATCAGTTACCAGTGGTAACACAAACATCTCTTCATCAGTCTCCAGTGGTAACACGAACATCAGTTCATCAGTTACCAGTGGTAACAAAAACATCACTTCATCAGTTACCAGTGGTAAAACGAACATCACTTCATCAGTTACCAGAGGTAACACGAACATCAGTTCATCACTTACCAGTGGTAACACTACCATCACTTCATCAGTTACCAGTGGTAACACAAACATCACTTCATCAGTTACCAGTGGTAACACAAACATCACTTCATCAGTTACCAGTGGTAACACAAACATCACTTCATCAGTTACCAGTGGTAACACGAAGATCAGTTCATCACTTACCAGTGGTAACACAAACATCACTTCATCAGTCCCCAGTGGTAACACTCAACACACATTAACATCATGATAAAGACGATGACCTAGGGACAATAAACGCCTAGCCACAAGACTATTGATATAAGAACTCCAGTCATGTGATAATATATCTTGTGTACTGAAGGACACCTGTACTCGGCTTCACATGTCGGACTTTTTGGCTCCGGGATGAAGGGAAATGTGCAACCACCAGGGATCACATGAACACTTAATGACGGTAGCCGTTTATGTCCCTACTCAGTACTCGAGCTCATTGAGTACAAATGAAATAGAATAGTTTTCTACTTCTAGATCTGGGTGACGGCAAAGAAACAAGGAAAGCGTTCTGCCACTTTCATCTGGCCTATGGCGTCGGCCATAAACATCTCAGGTCAGTTCTGATGTCTTGTGACGTTACTGTCGATGAGGGAAGAACCATCCTCGGGAGTGGGGTGAACAGTCTTGTTTAGCTTTAACACTGACTTAAATTTTGATCTCTTTTGACGATGCTGTATTTTTTTTACAGGAATTGTTCCAGATATTCAGCAACTATTTGATCCGTATGTACATCACATTTTTTTACTCTTCAATTCGATTGCTATAACTGATTGAAAATTGTTTAAGTTGTGAAACACAAGCTCGGATCGTTTTTTTGTAAGCAGGTTATCTATCATATGCGTTTATTAAGCAAGATGGAAGGATGTTGTTCCCCTAAGGCTGTGTCTCCGTAAATGCCAATAAGCCTCCCTGGTGAACCATCTCTTGTGTTCCAGCACTATCCCGAACGCGAAGCGTATTGACACAGCCCTAGGATGGCTCACGCTGCCGGAGGGGGAGCGACCAGACTTCCTCACTGTCTACATCGATGATCCGGACAAGATAGGGCATAAACATGGGCCTAACAGCACACAGGTGAGTGTGTAGCTCTCACACTTCTTGGTTTGCGTGACTGACATATTATCAGCAATCTAGCAAAATACCATTATACCTACTGAATGATGGTATACTCCTGTAAGGCCCATTATACCTACTGGATGATGGTATACTCCTGTAAGGCCCATTATACCTACTGGATCATGGTATACTACTGTAAGGCCCATTATACCTACTGGCACATGGTATATTACTTTAAGGCCCATTATACCTACTGGATCATGGTATACTCTTGTAAGGCCATTTGTACCTACTGGATCATGGTATACTCCTGTAAGGCCAATTATACCTACTGGATCATGGTATACTCCTGTAAGGCCCATTAAACCTACTGGATCATGGTATACTCATGTAAGGCCCATTATACCTACTGGATCATGGTATATTACTGTAAGGCCCATTATACCTGCTGGATCATGGTATACTCCTGAAAGGCACATTGTACCTACTAGATCATGGTATACTCCTGTAAGGCCAATTATACCTACTGGATCATGGTATACTCCTGTAAGGCCCATTAAACCTACTGGATCATGGTATACTCCTGTAAGGCCAATTATACCTACTGGATCACGGTATATTACTGTAAGGCCCATTATACCTACTGGATCATGGTATACCCTTGTAAGGCCATTTGTACCTACTGGATCATGGTATACTCCTGTAAGGCCCATTATACCTACTGGATCATGGTATATTACTGTAAGGCCAATTATACCTACTGGATCATGGTATACTCCTGTAAGGCCCATTATACCTACTGGACAATGGTATTCTCCTGTAAGGCCAATTATACCTACTGGATCATATTATACTCCTGTAAGGCCCATTAAACCTCCTGGATCATGATATACTCCTGTAAGGCCCATTATACCTACTGTGAAAAATAGACAGTATTGAAGCTGTAACGGAATGAACAGTTATTTTGGAAGCTGCCTGTGAAGTTGTTGACTAACTGTGGACTGTTTCTTGATGGTCCACTTTTCTTTCATGTTGCAGATGACGTCCAAGCTGAAGGTAGGTTCAGTCATGCACGTTGCTAGTATGTATCCACGTATTGGTCAATAGTATATATAACCACACATCTAGTGTGATACCTAGTATGCATCCACTTATGGTCAATAGTATTTGTATCCACACATCTAGTGTGATACCTAGTGTGCATCCACACACCTAGTATGGTTTGCATGTGGATTATCATATGAAGTGTGTTAAATACTGGACAGGTGTAAACTGATTAGAATGAATGATGAAAGATATCCCCGACAGTGTTATTTGTTAATGAAGAAGCTGGATGAATGTGGTAGAATTACTTGGACAACTCATGTTAAATATTTACTCGAAATTTATGGATTTGGTTATGCGTGGCACGAACAGAATATTGGTGATGTTAGTTGTTTCTGGGCAGAAGAGAGGATATTGTTTATTCACAACGCTTTTGTCGGCTATGTAACACTAGTTGTATTGAGGACGAAGTCCACTTTTTGTTTGTCTGCCTACGCACATTAACACAAAAGTATATTCCTGTAAGATTCTATAACAATCCATGTATTAATACTTTTAGCAATCTGTTAAATAGCCAAAATGACTGTATACTCAGAAATGTAGCTAAGTGTGTGAAGGAAGCTCTATCATTACGTATCAAGACCTAATATTATACCATAAGTATTGTTTTCAATGGAAATTGCCTCATTTGTGTGTTACTATATATAACTGAAATGTACATGGGTCTATGGCCTCCCATACATGAATAAACATATATACAAAGCCTAGTATGCATCCACATGTCTAATGTGATCACAAACTTGTATGCATCCAAAATAAATCTTGTTTGACCTCTAGTATGCATTCTAGCATCTAGTAAGACCCACAATATGTATCCTAACATATAGTATTTGGTCAAGTATGCATCCTCACATATAGTGTGGTCCTAAGTATGCATCCACACCTCAGTGGAACTCCTAGGATGCATCGCTATGTTTCGCTCGTGTCTTCTCACTACAAGGGCACGTGTACCTTCATATTTGTCAGTCACAAGGCTTGGTTGTTACAGGAGATGGACGAACTTTTGCGACGGCTTATGGAGGGTCTGTATGAGAGGGGTCTGCATGAATGTGTCAACATAATGATTATCGCTGATCATGGTGAGTGCCTTGAAGGAGGGCCTGTATGAGTGGCGTCTGCATAAATGTTTTAACATAATTGTTCTCGAAGTTCATGGTGAATACCTTGATGGAGGGTCTCTATGAGAGGGGGTCTGCATGAATTTGTTAACATAATGGTTCTCGCTGATCACGATAAATACCTTGATGGAGGGTCTCTACGAGAGGTGTCTGCATGTATATGTCAGCATAACTGGTTCTTCAGTGGAACTATCTGAAACTGTATGGTGACATTTCAAATCCGTTTCAAATGTTAAGTTTCTGGATATGTTTTGTACATAACATATTGCTGACCACGGTGTGTCATCTACACAGCCTCTGTTGTGTTTTAATTTCTCCTATGTCGTAGGTATGACGTCCACGTCGTGTGGGCGAAAAATGTACTTGGACTGCTACACCGATGTGGACAACGTCCTCATCTTCGACGGAGTAATCGGCAGGATCAGCACAGAATATCGGCGTGAGAAGGGCAGCACGGACATTGTCAGGAACACAGAAGGTACTTAGTCTCTCATGCTCAACATTTCTTATAGACAATAGTGGTGTTGTAATCAGGCCGAGATCCCCTCGAGAGGTCCGAGTGTGAACAGGTTTCCAGCACCCACTGCCACTAAATGGTTGTGACGGATGTCATCGTTGCTCAGGTTTACGGTCACAGTAACCCTAACCCTAACCCTAACCCTAACCCAAATCCAAACCCTAACCCAAACCCAAACCCAAACCCAAACCCAAACCCCCAGGCCGAGATCCCCTCGAGAGGTCCCAGTGCGAATAGGCTTCCAGCACCCACTACAAATAAATGTCATCGTCCTCAGGTTTACGGTCGCTGGTTTGCTTGGTACATTTATCAAGCTTGGACTTCGTTGACGCGACGTTAACTCCTGACACAATGCCCGAGGTTAGGACTGGAACTACAGCAGGCTGACAACTGTTTGAAGGTTCAGCACAATGTGGACATGCGTCTCCCATGAGAGCCTGTCATGTGACATCCATTCCACCTTCATAATAAGTCGGGTATGGAATCACCCGTAGGTTAACTAAGCGTGCAATGTGTGAAGCACGTTCTTGTTAATTGGATGGAGTACAACCATACTGTCAATCTCACGCACTCTGAAGTCCCTCATTGTGTATAAAGAAGTATGCAGAATATTGTTATGGAGTTCGCACACACACACAGTGTAAAAAAAACAGGCCAAGGGCGATATGACTCTGACACATTTTGACACTGGGGCCAGGGTCTTTCATACTTATTAGAGGTAATGTTGACAGCACCAATACGTTATATGTGACAACATACAGGAATAGCTACAGCGGATCGTCTTTTTTATAAATCTAGTTGTGTACTTGTATGGAAGAATCTGTTTGATGTCATTCAAAGTCACTTGGGGGCGGTCGGGTAGCCTAGTGGTTAAAGCGTTCGCTCGTAACGCCGAAGACCCGGGTTCGATTCCCGACATGGGTACAATGTGCGAAGCCCATTTCTGGTGTCTCCCGCCGTGATATTGCTGGAATATTGCTAAAAGCGGCGTAAAACCAAACTCCCTCATTCACTCAAAGTCACTTGTGGTGAGACCTGTGAAGATCCTGGGTCTCCAGCAACCCATGCTTGCCGTGAAAGGCGACTATGCTTGTCGTAAGAGGGGACTAACGGGATCTGGAACGGTGCGCATGCTGTCAATCACTGGATTGTCTGGTCTAGACTCGATTATTTACAGACCGCCGTCATAAAGCTGGAATATTGCTGGTTGCGGCGTTAAACAACAGACAAACAAACAAACAAATAAACACCTGTGGCGAGAAGCCTCAGAGGGAAGGTGTATGACAATCTTTGCTTTATGGTTTGCATTCTAATATCTGATAAGAGAGACATCTTCATGCGCAATAATTGGAGAATATACTATCGCAATTTACACAATTGCGCCACGTACACACGTCATTGCCGCACACAAATAGTACAGTTTACACGTCTTCTTCTTGGAGCTCAGTCATACACTGTCTTGTGAACTGTCGCACACAAATAGTATAGTTTACACGTCTTTTTGTTCGAATGTATTGGCATACACTGCCTGGTCAATTGTCAACTCTTTATTATGTTTGATGTTTGACATGTTCCTGCCTAGCTCCATCCCCGTCAACAATAGTGTCTGACTTGGAGTGCCGGACAGAGCACTTCAAGGTTTTCACCCGCGACACGCTGCCTGCCAGATTCCACTACAGCAACAACGAACGTATTGGAGACGTGGTGGTTGACGTCGAGGAGGGATGGCTCGTCTACAAGTAAGTGAGATTGTGTCGCTGCACGACACAACCTCCTGGCCTAACAGTAAGAAGCACCGCTATAACATACCAAAGAGACTGAGTTTGATTACATTCATCTTGGGACAGTATAACAGATACATCACGACGTGTCAGTTTGATGTGGGAGGATATCTAGGAGTGATGGAGACGACTCCTTATTGGTCAAACCCACTAGCACGGATATGGTGCTGACAAAAAATAGAGCAAATCGGGATTCGAACAAATGATCACAGTTTGCTGGCTCATCCGAGGGACTCGACTTGGCACACCCAGTTGAGGTGACTTATGCGACATGTGAACCACCATTAAATAACCAGGTCTGGTGGGGATAGTTAGATGTGGGTTAGTCTTTCGGTCACTGCTTCAAAATAGACTTTCTGTGACAGGAGGAGTCGAACAATTTAATTATTTTTACAATTCATGTTTCTTAGGATCCTCAGCATCTCAAGCGTAAACGCTATATAAACAATGTAAGCTGTTGCAGTAACATAATCTATCAACCTGGAGGAACGTTTATGGAATCACTTTGGTCCCCGTGGCACTGATGTAAATTATAATCACTTGTTCCCCGCGGCAGTGATGTAAATTATAATCCTTATGTTCCCAGTGGCAGTGCTGTAATATATAAACCTTAATGGTCCTTTATGGAAACACAATATTCCACGTGGCAGTGATGTAAATTATAATCCTTATGTTCCCAGTGGCAGTGATATAATATATAAACCTTAATGGTCCTTTATAGAATCACTATGTTCCTCGCGGCAGTGATGTAAATTATAATAACTATGTTCCTCCTGACAGTGATGCAAATTATAAACCTCACGGTTTATTTATAGAATCACTATGTCAATTATAAACCATATGGGTCCTTTGCGGACTGTTCACAGTGGCAGTGATGTAAATTATGTATCTTAGGCTGTAGATATAGAATCGCCGTTTGCTGTGTTCGTGTACTTTCGGGTGGGTTACGTAGTTGATGATTATACATTAGTGTCAGCCTTCAGGTATTGTGTTTGAAGACATTAATTTTACATAACGAGAAGTACTTAACTTGTTCTAAAGGTAATACAGGCAGAAACAGCATGAACCACCAATGTATTACATGCATGATTCAAACAAGGCATTTCAACTTTACAGAAAACAGAGGAACTATTGCCCTAAGGGAAGCCATGGGTACGACAATAGGTTGAAGAGCATGCAGGTATGTGTCCGCCTGCAACGAAGAACAGGTGCCCCGTCTGTCACGCACTGACTACATGGATGGCACAATGGAATGCTTAATGCTAAAGCATGCTTGTGTCCATTCTGCAACTACTCACATGTGTACATGATTATTTGTAATCATTGAAAAGTGTGTGTCTCATCGCAAGAAATAACTAGAGATAAAGGGAGTAATCTTGGGTATTGTCTGGAGGTAAAATGTACAATATCTTGAAGTCGAGGCTCCATCATTAGATTCTGTAAACCAGTACTTTCTCTTTTTATCAATAAAATGAAGAAATGTGAAATGATATTTTGTGAAATAGTTAACGTGGTATATTTATACGAGAGCTATTAACCAGACTGTGATTTCCCTCAGACTACACGTTTCATGCATTTGTATTTCAAAATGTGAAAACAACTCATTGAAAAGTATTACTATTTGCGTACCACGCTGTGAGACAAAGAACTCTTCTACTAGTTTTAAAATATCCAAAATCAGTCGTATGGGAGGATTGTGATTTTCTCCTTATCCCAAATACTCCAAAACAGTCGTGTGGCTTAATTGTGATATTCTCCTTATCCCAAATACTGCAAAACAGACGTATGGCTGGATTGTGATATTCTCCTTATTCCAAAACAGACGTATGGGAGGATTGGGATATTCTCCTTATCCCAAATACTCCAAAACAGTCGTATGGGCGGATTGTGATATTCTCCTTATCCCAAATACTCCAAAACAGTCGTATGGCTTGATTGTTATATTCTCCTTATCCATATTACTCCAAAACAGTTGTATGGCTGGATTGGGATATTCTCCTTATCCCAAATACTCCAAAACAGACGTATGGGAGGATTGGGATATTCTCCTTATCCCAAATACTCCAAAACAGTCGTATGGGCGGATTGTGGTATTCTCCTTATTCCAAATACTCCAAAACAGACGTATGGGAGGATTGGGATATTCTCCTTCTTCCAAATACTCCAAAACAGTCGTATGGGCGGATTGTGATATTCTCCTTATCCCAAATACTCCAAAACAGTCGTATGGCTTGATTGTGATATTCTCCTTATCCATAATACTCCAAAACAGTCGTATGGCTGGATTGGGATATTCTTCTTATCCCAAATACTCCAAAAACAGTCGTATGGCTGGATTGTGATATTCTTCTTATCCCAAATACTCCAAAACAGACGTATGGCTGGATTGGGATATTCTCCTTATCCGAGCGGATAGTCCACCTTCCTCCACCTGCAAAGATACTCCTCTCGGTACTTCGCCTTCTGTGTCGGTTCACAAAATATTCCCAACTGTCCAATAAGACCACGTCATACACATTCAATTTGCTATCTTCAGGCATTGTTTGTCGGCTTCGGGCCATCATTCAAGCAGAACGAAGTGGTGGCTCCATTTGAGAACATAGAACTCTACAACCTCATGTGTGGTACGTACTATCGAACACTATCTGTGCGCGTTGGAAATCGTGTGAAGTTTGTTAAGTTTGTTGTATTTCGTTGTCGAATCTGATACATGGATGTATTTCTCAGATGTTCTGGGCATAACACCCGCCCCAAACAACGGGACAGAGGGAGGTCTCCACCACCTACTCAAGTCTCCCCCGTCCCTGAAGAAGAACACATTCTCGACAACAAGTTATCTCCCTTGTCACCGGCCAGAGGGCTTGTGGAGTGAGCTTCAGAACTGTACCTGTACCAGCTCGGTAAGAAAACCAGTGTGTCATGAACACTATTATGTCCTTTTACGTTTCAATAACGTCATTTTATTACTCATCCGTGGGCATATAACTTTATTAACGTCGCAGGATCAGGCTTCTAGTTGTCCAGAAAAATATTTTGAAGACGATGTTTTGTTAAAATGTATTTATTTGCCTGCAACGTGAAACGTCCAAAAGTTGATTTCTGTCGGCCATCAAAAGATTGTCCACATTATACATGACACATATGATAATGATTTAAGCACAATAGGCAAAATATATATAACCACTGATAGGCGGCACACAGAAGTTATTCCTTATTCGTCCTTCCTCATCCGGTTAAAGCACTTTCGCATGCGTGCCATTGATATGTTTTATCAGAAACGACATTTAGATATTTAAGAAAGTTCAAGGTATGATACTAATCGTCAGTTGAAGTCATTGCTTGAACCAGAATCTTATTTATCAAACTAACGGTACAGGGATTTTCGTAACATCATTATTCGTTTTAGACTTGGCCTGAATGATCTAAAAACTAACACAGGAAGATTTTCGTCTGTTGAGAAATCCCTAAGATTATGGCCAATTGATGTCGAAAATGAAAGTCATTTTATGTTTATTTGCCCTATAAACGAAAATCTAAGAAACAAGTACTTACCGAAGTGGTCTTTATTTAATTTTAATGCTCTAAGATTTTCCCTGACCTCCCTGGCCTCCTTGACTCCCTGGCTCCCTGACCTCCTTGACTCCCTGACCTCCTTGACTCCCTGGCTCCCTGACATCCTCGACTCCCTGGCTCCCTGACATCCTCGACTCCCTAGCTCCCTGACCTCCTTGACTCCCTGGCTCCCTGACATCCTCGACTCCCTGGCTCCCTGACCTCCTTGACTCCCTGACATCCTCGACTCCCTGGCTCCCTGACCTCCCTGACTCCCTGATATCCTCGACTCCCTGGCTCCCTGACCTCCTTGACTCCCTGACTCCCTGACATCCTCGACTCCCTGGCTCCCTGACCTCCTTGACTCCCTGACATCCTCGACTCCCTGGCTCCCTGACCTCCTTGACTCCCTGACATCCTCGACTCCCTGGCTCCCTGACCTCGACTCCCTGACATCCTCGACTCCCTGGCTCCCTGACCTCCTTGACTCCCTGGCTCCCTGACATCCTCGACTCCCTGCCTCCCTGACCTCCTTGACTCCCTGGCTCCCTGACCTCCTTGACTCCCTGACCTCCTTGACTCCCTGGCTCCCTGACCTCCTTGACTCCCTGGCTCCCCGACATCCTCGACTCCCTGGCTCCCTGACCTCCTTGACTCCCTGACATCCTCGACTCCCTGGCTCCCTGACCTCCTTGACTCCCTGACTCCCTGACATCCTCGACTCCCTGGCTCCCTGACCTCCTTGACTCCCTGACATCCTCGACTCCCTGGCTCCCTGACCTCCCTGACACCCTGACATCCTCGACTCCCTGGCTCCCTGACCTCCTTGACTCCCTGACATCCTCGACTCCCTGGCTCCCTGACCTCCTTGACTCCCTGGCTCCCTGACATCCTCGACTCCCTGGCTCCCTGACCTCCTTGACTCCCTGACTCCCTGACATCCTCGACTCCCTGGCTCCCTGACCACCTTGACTCCCTGGCTCCCTGACCTCCTTGACTCCCTGACATCCTCGACTCCCTGGCTCCCTGACCTCCTTGACTCCCTGACATCCTCGACTCCCTGGCTCCCTGACCTCCTTGACTCCCTGGCTCCCTGACATCCTCGACTCCCTGGCTCCCTGACCTCCTTGACTCCCTGACTCCCTGACATCCTCGACTCCCTGGCTCCCTGACCTCCTTGACTCCCTGACATCCTCGACTCCCTGGCTCCCTGACCTCCCTGACTCCCTGACATCCTCGACTCCCTGGCTCCCTGACCTCCTTGACTCCCTAACTGTCTGACCTCACTGACCTCCTCGACTCCCTGACCTCCCTGAACTCCCTGGCTCCCTGACCTCCCTGACCTCCCTGACCTCCTCGACTCCCTGGCTCCCTGACCTCCCTGGTCATCCTGACCTCCCTGACCTCCTTGACTCCCTGGCCTACTTCCTTCAGGAGCAGCAGCAGTTCGTTATGGACACAGTAGGAGAACAAGCCACACCTGGCCTGCCGCCCCCGACCCTCCACATCAGTGACGACATGTGTATCCTACGGCAGACCCACCACATTGTCGGCTTCAGCCACACCCTGCGCATGCCCAGATGGGTGGCCACAACATGCAGCCAACAGATGGTAGGCATCCAGCAATCAGCCAATAATCTTAAGATAGAATATTCTTTAGCATGTACCTCGGAGATAACGTTTCTGACATAATCGTACAGAATGAGCCAATGTTTCCAAACTAGTGATATGCTGCCCTCATTAAATGATTGGATCAAATCCTTAAGTAGGCGAGAATTTCAAATTTGACCTCTGGTATCTTAGTGTTACAACAGCACACTATCAAAAAGGCCAACACATGACGCGTGAGTCACATGTCCGTGCTACTGGTAGTGTCTCCTCCTTTGCAGCTATTCCCCGACACAACTGGGAGAGTGTGTGTGATACCAGACGGTCGCCTCACCGCTAGGGACAGAACAACGTGGGCAGGGCTGCAGACCGGGAACATCACCCACGGCAATCTTCTCCCAGGTCCTAACCACCCTGAATGTTAACATTTGCCACATTTCCTCTGGAACAACGCACGAACATTTACCACATTTAGTCTGGAACAACACACAAACATCAACCACATTTCCTCTGGAGCAATATACGAACATATACCACATTTCCTCTGAAGAAACGCACGAACATTTACCACATTTAGTCTGGAACAACACACAAACATCAACCACATTTCTTCTGAAGCAATATACGAACATACACCGCATTTCCTCTGAAGAAACGCACGAACATTTACCACATTTCCTCTGGAACAACACACAAACATCAACCACATTTCCTCTGGAGCAATATACGAACATATACCACATTTCCTCTGAAGAAACGCACGAACATTTACCACATTTCCTCTGGAACAACACACAAACATCAACCACATTTCCTCTGGAGCAATATACGAACATATACCACATTTCCTCTGAAGAAACGCACGAACATTTACCACATTTAGTCTGGAACAACACACAAACATCAACCACATTTCCTCTGAAGCAATATACGAACATATACCGCATTTCCTCTGGAGCAATATACGAACATATACCACATTTCCTCTGGAGCAATATACGAACATATACCACATTTCCTCTGGAGCAATATACGAACATATACCACATTTCCTCTGGAGCAATATACGAATATATACATTGTACCACATTTCCTCTGAAGAAACGCACGAACATTTACCACATTTAGTCTGGAACAACACACAAACATCAACCACATTTCTTCTGAAGCAATATACGAACATTTATCACATTTCCTCTGGAGCAATATACGAACATATACCACATTTCTTCTGAAGAAACGCACGAACATTTACCACATTTAGTCTGGAACAACACACAAACATCAACCACATTTCCTCTGGGGCAATATACGAACATATACCACATTTCCTCTGAAGAAACGCACGAACATTTACCACATTTAGTCTGGAACAACACACAAACATCAACCACATTTCCTCTGGAGCAATATACGAACATATACCACATTTCCTCTGAAGAAACGCACGAACATTTACCACATTTCCTCTGGAACAACAGACAAACATCAACCACATTTCCTCTGGAGCAGTATACGAACATATACCACATTTCCTCTGGAGCAATATACGAACATATACCGCATTTCATCTGAAGAAACGCACGAACATTTACCACATTTAGTCTGGAACAACACACAAACATCAACCACATTTCCTCTGGAGCAATATACGAACATATACCACATTTCCTCTGAAGAAACGCACGAACCTTTACCACATTTAGTCTGGAACAACACACAAACATCAACCACATTTCCTCTGGAGCAATATACGAACATATACCACATTTCCTCTGAAGAAACGCACGAACATTTACCACATTTAGTCTGCAACAACACACAAACATCAACCACATTTCCTCTGGAGCAATATACGAACATATACCACATTTCCTCTGAAGAAACGCACGAACATTTACCACATTTAGTCTGCAACAACACACAAACATCAACCACATTTCCTCTGAAGCAATATACGAACATATACCGCATTTCCTCTGGAGCAACTTACGAACGTTTACCACATTTCCTTTGGAACAGTAATCAAACGTTTACCACATTTCCTCTGAAGCAAAATATTCATGAACATTTGCAACAGCTCTTCTGGAGCAATTCAAAACATATGCTACATTTCCTCTGACACAACTCACGAACATTTTCCACAGTTCCTTTGGAACAGTTAACGAACATTTACCACATTTCCTTTGGAACAAGTTACGAACATTGCTACATTTCCTCTTGAACAATAAGCGAACATTTACCACATTTCCTCTGAAACAACTCACGAAGATTTACCACAATTCCTTTGGAACAACTCACAGTTGCCACATTGCTCCTTGAACAACCCACGAACATTTAACACATTTCCTCTGCAACTATTCACGAAGATTTACAACAATTCCTCTAAAACTCACCATATAATGTTCATTTGTCTCGTAACCGTCCTCTGTGCCCAGCATATGTCATCGACTTGAACATCTGATTTGAGATTTGTGTTTATCTTCAGGGAACTACTACCAAGACGCCTGTGGTGATCTCGCCCTGTCGTCGACACTAGTCCCCATGTATGATGGCTTCAGAGCAGGTAACATAATGCTTTTATTGGACAAGCTCCGGGTTTTCTGTGTACACCTTCTTCAGCCTTCTTGCCACCGTATTGTACTAGAACAGGGATGAGCCTAAATACCAGCTACTCGGACATCTATCTTTTAGAAGAGAGCACAATGAGAAAATTCCCCTGAAGATAAAATTTGAAAAACAAATGAAAGGAAAGCTACACACCCGCATCCATGGAACACTCCCCAAACAGCACAAACGCTGAATTAGTTAGGGTTACTAATATAACTCTGACACTGTCCCCAGGCCACTTTCAGATTGTAGAACTATCACTCCACTAACACTAACCCAGGCCCGCCTACACTTGGTAATCGTAGAACTATCACTCCACTAACACTAACCCAGGCCCGCCTACACTTGGTAATCGTAGAACTATCACTCCACTAACACTAACCCAGGCCCGCCTACACTTGGTGATCGTAGAACTATCACTCCACTAACACTAACCCAGGCCCGCCTACACTTGGTAATCGTAGAACTATCACTCCACTAACACTAACCCAGGCCCGCCTACACTTGGTAATCGTAGAACTATGACTCCACTAACACTAACCCAGGCCCGCCTACACTTGGTAATCGTAGAACTATCACTCCACTAACACTAACCGAGGCCTGCCTACACTTGGTAATCGTAGAACTATCACTACACTAACACTAACACTAACCCAGGCCCGCCTACACTTTGTAATCGTAGAACTATTACTCCACTAACACTAACCCAGGCCCGCCTACACTTGGTAATCGTAGAACTATCACTCCACTAACACTAACCCAGGCCCGCCTACACTTGGTAATCGTAGAACTATCACTCCACTAACACTAACCCAGGCCCGCCTACACTTGGTGATCGTAGAACTATCACTCCACTAACACTAACCCAGGCCCGCCTACACTTGGTAATCGTAGAACTATCACTCCACTAACACTAACCCAGGCCCGCCTACACTTGGTAATCGTAGAACTATCACTACACTAACACTAACCCAGGCCCGCCTACACTTGGTAATCGTAGAACTTTCACTCCACTAACACTAACCGAGGCCCGCCTGCACTTGGTAATCGTAGAACTATCACTACACTAACACTAACCCAGGCCCGCCTACACTTGGTGATCGTAGAACTATGACTCCACTAACACTAACCCAGGCCCGCCTACACTTGGTAATCGTAGAACTATCACTACACTAACACTAACCCAGGCCCGCCTACACTTGGTAATCGTAGAACTATCACTCCACTAACACTAACCCAGGCCCGCCTACACTTGGTACTCGTAGAACTATCACTCTACTGACCTTCCCCAAGGCCCGCCTACACTTGGTAATCGTAGAACTATCACTACACTAACACTATCCCAGGCCCGCATTCACTTGGTAATCGTAGAACTATCACTCCACTAACACTAACCCAGGTCCGCCTACACTTGGTGATCGTAGAACTATCACTCCACTAACACTAACCCAGGCCCGCCTACACTTGGTGATCGTAGAACTATCACTCCACTAACACTAACCCAGGCCCGCCTACACTTGGTGATCATAGAACTATCACTCCACTAACATTAACCCAGGCCCGCCTACACTTGGTGATCGTAGAACTGTCACTCTACTGACCTTCCCCAAGGCCCGCCTACACTTGGTGATCGTAGAACTGTCACTCTACTGACCTTCCCCAAGGCCCGCCTACACTTGGTGATCGTAGAACTGTCACTCTAATAACCTTCCCCATGGCCCGCCTACACTTGGTAATCGTAGAACTATCACTCTACTGACCTTCCCCAAGGCCCGCCTACACTTGGTGATCGTAGAACTGTCACTCTACTGACCTTCCCCAAGGCCCGCATACACTTGGTAATCGTAGAACTATCATTCTACTGACCTTCCCCATGGCCCACCTACACTTGGTGATCGTAGAACTGTCACTCTACTGACCTTCCCCAAGGCCCGCCTACACTTGGTGATCGTAGAACTGTCACTCTACTGACCTTCCCCAAGGCCCGCCTACACTTGGTGATCGTAGAACTGTCACTCTACTAACCTTCCCCATGGCCCGCCTACACTTGGTGATCGTAGAACTGTCACTCTACTGACCTTCCCCAAGGCCCGCCTACACTTGGTGATCGTAGAACTGTCACTCTACTAACCCTGCCCCCTTGTGAATACAGAAGTATGTGCAAGTATGTGCAATGTGACCCATCACATGCAGGCATGTTCTGATAGTGTCCCGAGGGAACAGTTATAACGCTAAAAGGTTGCTAGCACAGACTGCAGGGCTGTCTTCATCTAGGTATCTGGCAGTTTGTATGGGAGCTGATTTACAACAACGCTGATGGAGCTGTCGCTGTCATTGCTGGCCCCGTGTTTGATGATGACCACGACGGACGGGTTGATACGGATGACACCAAGATGAGGTCAGTGACACGGGCAGCTGCTGAACACCGACTAGTTACATATAATTAAAGTTCGACCAGTTACATATTACTAATATTCGACTAGTTACATATAATTAATGTTTGACTAGTTACATATAACTAAAGTTCGACCAGTTACATATAATTAATGTTCGACTAGTTTCATATAATTAATCTTCGACTGGTTGCATATTATTAATGTTTGACTAGTTACATATAAGTAATGTTCGACTGGTTGTTAATTAATGTTCGACTAGTAAAATATAACTAATGTTCGACTAGTTACAAATAACTAATGTTCTACTAGTTACACACGGCTGCACATTCCTGACCTGGCCAACCTAGAAGATTAATGATGACAATATATATCAATTCATTTGCGGTCGCCGTCATTTTCACATTAAATAATAATATAGGACGGTAAAACGGTAAGAATATCACAAAAGAAAGCCCAGACGCTGCCTGCTGTCAAGCTTTGCTGTATCACAAATTCCAGTTCAAACTCATTCGCATGCCAGTTACAAAATGGCGTTAGATCTATATTCCTGGCTCGTCACCTTGACAGATATGCCGACACCGCGAGGACTGCTGCACTGCCGTCTCACTTCTTCCTGATCCTGGCCAGGTGTAGGGAGTCGTCGCAGACGCTGCCGTGCGGTGGAAATGTTGACACTCTCTCCTTCGTTCTGCCGCACACACAGCGAGTACCCAACTGTCTTGTAAGTTAATATTCACAATGAAGTAGATCTTCCCGAGGCAAGAGAGTTAAGTGACTGTAAAAGTCCAGTTTCCACCCTTGCCGAAATAGGCTGGTATTATGGAGTTACATTTATGGTGGACTAACGAGTTTATGCATACTCCAATCAAAATCGCGCAACGAAATCGAAATCCTGCTCGTGAACTGTCATGCAGATTTCGGCCGATTGCAGGATTTGCAAAGCATGAGCGCCGACAACTCGTTGTCATCAGATATTTTTCAATTTTTTTCATGTTATTAATCAAGGTGCTCACGTGATTTGATGCACTTCGCGATATAAGATCCGTTTTATCACAATATAGATCTTGATTATCGATCAGATCGTCTTGACCTGGCGCCGCCATTTTGTTTGAAGCAAATGCAAGGGATACGAGAGGTGGAATCTGATTGGTCCATAGGCGAGGCACAGAAGGTACATAACTCTAATTGGCCACTGGTGGCGCTAAGATCGAGCCCAGGAATTCCAGCCTTGTTCGGCAATGGTGGAAAATGGAATTTTACAGTCAGTTAACTCCTTTGCCTCGGGAAGATGAATGAAGTATAAAAAGACAATGAATTTGTGGCGCAGTCAAGTAGCAAACGGATAAGTCTGGCCCATCTGTATACACTCTAGTGTCACAGTCTTGCGTCCAAGTAGCAAACGGATAAGTCTGGCCCATCTGTATACAATGTAGTGTCACATGCTTGCGTCCAAGTAGCAAACGGATAAGTCTGGCCCATCTGTATACAATGTAGTGTCACATGCTTGCGTCCAAGTAGCAAACGGATAAGTCTGGCCCATCTGTATACAATGTAGTGTCACATGCTTGCGTCCAAGTAGCAAACGGATAAGTCCGGCCAATCTGTATGCACTCTAGTGTCACAGTTTAATGTCCAACTGGTATGTGGTTCAGCATCTAGCATATGGCTGCGCCTATTTGTAAGGTAGTTACTTCATTCTTGCCAAAAACCATGGATCTATTGATTGTTGTTTCCCAAATTGAAATCTTCCATTGTACATTACTTTGTATCCCCGGTTGAATCCAGGACTACAACAGCTACCTGGCTGACAACCTTGTCCGTATCCGAGACATTGAGCTCCTGACAGGGCTACATTTTCTGGACGAATACCCCTACCTTTCCCACATCGGTATCCGCCTCCACCTGGCAACAGCGCTGTGGCCGAGTACACTGAAGACTCGGGGTGAGGAACCACGTGCCGCTCGTGCCCCACAGCAATGGCTTGACTGGGCGTGCCCCACGGAGGGCGGCTCCTGCCAGTCAGAGTGAGTTCATGCCTTATTTGGAGAGTGAGTACATGCCTTATTGTAAAAGTGGGTTCATGCCTTATTGTCTTCAATAAGCAATAGAAACCGACAATCAATTCCGGATCGTACCGATTCAGATTTCGCATTAAATGACGGGTAAGTAGGATTGCCATATTCACTAATTACAGTAATGTCCCTTTTATAATAACCTGCAATGTCCAAATCATTATGACATGTAATGTTCCTTTCGTTATAACCAGTAGTGCCACATTCATTATAACCTCTAATCCCACATTTGTAATCACCTGTAATGCACCATTCATTATAACCAGTAATGTCCTACTCATTATAACCAGTAATGTCCCATTAATTATAAACAGTAATGCCCAAATCATAATAACCAGTAATGCCTTATTCATTATAACCTGTAATAGTTATCTCCCCTTTGTAGTGTATCCGTTTTCTCCACAATTTCATCTTCTTGTGCACCACAGACATCTCCCCTTTGTAAATTAAACTTTTTCTCCGAAGTTATCTCCCCGCTGTTTTTTAACCTTCTTCTCTACAGTTACCTCCAAGCTTTTGATTGTCTTGTTTACCTCCCCTGCATTAATCACCCTTATCCTTCACAGTTACCTCCCCTGTATTATTTTATCCTTGTTCTACACAGTTACCTTCCATCTTTTAATTGTCTTGTTCGCCACAATTACCTCCCCTGTATTATTTATCCTTGTTCTCCAAAGTTGCCTCCCTTCTTTTAATTGTCTCGTTCTCCACAGTTCCCTCCCCTGTATTATTTATCCTTGTTCTACACAGTCGCCTCCCTTCTTTTAATTGTCTCGTTCTCCACAGTTCCCTCCCCGGTATTATTTTTACTTGTTCTACACAGTTGCCTCCCTTCTTTTAATTGTCTCGTTCTCCACAGTTCCCTCCCCGGTATTATTTATCCTTGTTCTACACAGTTGCCTCCCTTCTTTTAATTGTCTTGTTCTCCACAGTTACCTCCCCTGCATTAAGTATCCTTATTCTCCAGTTACCTCCCCTCTATAATTTATCCTTGTTCTACACAGTTACCGCCCCTGCATTCATTATCCTTATTCGCCACAGTTACCTCCCCTGTATACTTTATCCTTGTTCTACACAGTTACCTCCCCTGTATTATTTATCCTTGTTCTCTACAATTACCTCCCATCTTTTAATTGTCTTGTTCTACACAATTACATCCCTTGCATTAAGTATCCTTATTGTCCACTGTTTTCCACAGCTACAAGCCTGTCCTCCTCATCTCCCTTGATGGCTTCAGGGCAGATTATCTGTCAAGGAACGTAACTCCTGTTATCCATAAGCTTATCGAGCACGGAGTTCATGCCCCTTACATGAGGCCCGTGTACCCGACCTACACCTTCCCTAACCACTACACAATCGCTACGGTGAGTTCTGAAAACCAGGTGGTTGTTAAGGGAATGTGATGCAGGAAATAAATTCAACTGAAACCGTATTAACGAAATGAGATTATGGCTCAATTGTGACTCAATTCCTTATCATTTGACAGGGTTTATACCCCGAATCACATGGCATCATCGACAACAAGATGTTCGACATAGCGATGAACAAGAGTTTCTCCATCGGGAGTCGCTCCAGTTCCGACTCCAGATGGTGGGGTGGCGAGCCGGTAAACATATTTCCTAGTGAGGTGAGGTGAGGTGAAATGGGGTTTAACGTCGCGTCCAAGATTATTGCACTTACATGGCGACGTGCATGCACGTGTGTGTGGCTGCTTGTGCTAATCCCAACTGATGCCGATTGATAGTGCTAGCTCACTGAGATACAATGGCGCAGTTTAACATGAATACCCCACTCTGACACATTATACTGACTCCGAGCCGACCAGGCCTTGTTTTTAGCCTCAATGCCGAGCGCCAGACAGGGTAACAACAAGTACCATCTTTTAACGTCTTTTGGTATGACGCGACCAGGGATTGAACCCCGGACCTTCCGCTCTCAGGGGGGACGCTCTATCACTAGACCACGGAGGCGGTCCATTCCCTAGCGCGTTGAGGTATAGGTGCAGTAATGTGACTGAACAGAACTGCCCACCATGAACCCGCTTACATTACGTCCTTTATTATGTTTGCAGATGTGGCTCACGTCTAAGCGTCAAGGAAAGAAAAGTGCAACCTATTTCTGGGTAGGATCCGATCTTGAAATAGCAGGTCAGTATTACGGTCTTCATCATGATGTTTTATCATTGACGTGATAAAACTCTTTTGTAACTGCAACCGGGGTGGGTTTTGTGAATAAATCACGCAAACGCGGGTTGATGTTCGGAATCCAGTTGTTTAATACATAGGATTAAATTAACGGATGCCCTGTGGAAATAAATACACAGGGTTAAAAAATAAAAAATACATACAAACAAAATATTACACTATAACTTATTAACAAAAATTATAATCTTATGATCATAACCATTACTATGATCAATCTTAATTAGTTTGATCTTGTTTTTGCTCTAAATATCAAAGAACATTTGTCATATAATAAACTGACAAACAATAGTGGGAGAGTGATGATAAATACATTAACACATAACACTAATTCAGTGCATACCAACATTAATACATATAAAACATAATGCGCACTGTGCCCTTTATTGCCACAACACCATATATACTGTACCGCAAAAGAAACGTCACCATGGATAGATATATGAGAAACCTAATTTGTCCAAACACTGTAAACATACTTTGAGACATATTAAAAATAAAATACTTGGCAAAACTGATCATCAAGGTTGAAATTAAAGTGTCAACTGTTTTTAAAGTGAAACACAACACTAGTCTCTGAGAAAATGGCATCACAAGTCAGTATCTCGTGTGTCCGCCATGTACATTGATGAATGCCGTGCAACGTCGATACATGGAGTGGATGAGACGGTTGATGAAGGCCATAGGCACTTAAGCCCCTGACGCAGTTCAGCTGCAGTTGTCGGCCTTGGTCGGACGTCATTCAGCCATCTTTGAATGTCGTCCCACAGATGCTCAATGGGATTTAAATCGGGACTGGGGACAGGCAGGGGCAGGGGCTGGGGCTGGGGCTGGGGCAGGGGCAGGGGCAGGGGCAGGGGCTAGACAATAGAGAGCCGAGAAACAATACAGAAGGCAAGCGCAATGGTGACTGTGCTATTGTAATAGTGAAGCAGGTTAGATCGGATGGTTGAGCAAGGACTAAGACTTAGGGGTTAAAATAAAAGCTGACATTGCATTGCTCCTTCTGTTGGTGTTGCAGGTGACAGACCAAACTACTACAAACCCTACGCAAAGTAAGTCCACTGTTGATGTTTTATATATTGAGGTAACCAGTATTATGTCACATGGCATATGTGTAAATTTAAAACGCTTTTCAATACTTTTACAATCGTAATTTATGCTCCATGCCCGTTTGTGCCTTTGTGTCTGTATGTCTTTTCGAGTGTCTGTATAGATCCTTTTCCGTAACGGCCATAATGTTCTGGTGCAAATAAACACTATGAAATGTTTGTGAAGATCTAACGGTTTACAGTATCCCTTGGACCTGCGTGTCAGGTCTGTGAATAGAGTAAACCTAAATGAGGTGACTTTACACAAAGTGGAGTTTTACTCCTATGTTATCCAATGTGTCAGGTGTTTGTGTCAGTAGGCATCTTCCCGAGGCAAGGGAGTTAACTGACTGTAAAAGTCCAGTTTCCACCCTTGCCGAACAAGGCTGGAATTATGGAGTTATGTTTTGGCTGGACTGACGAGTCTATGCATAGTCCAATCAAATTCGCGTAACGAAATCGACATCCGGTTCGTAAACAGTCGTGCAGATTTCTGTCGATTGCAGGATTTGCAAAGCATGTGTACCTCCAACCCGGACCCGTTTTATTACAATATAGATTCTAATTATCGATCAGATTGTCTTGACTTGGCGCCGCCATTTTGTTTGAGGGAAATGCAAGTGATATGCTATGAATCTAAGGGACATAGAAGGGACATAACTCGTAATCGCCACTGCTGGCGCTACGATCGAGTCCAGCCATTCCAGCATTGTTCGGCAAGGGTGGAAACTGGACTTTTACAGTCATTTAACTACCTTGACTCGGAAAGATGGTCAGCAGGTGACGCCCCTATGAGGTGACTATATGAGCCCTCCTTTCAGATCCTCTTCAGACATGTTGAATATATCGTTATAGTGCTGTACACTATCGTCATAAGATTTTGGCTATCAGTATCATACTTTTAGTGATGTCCCGTTTGAGGATCGAGTGAACACCGTTGTGGATTGGTTGTCTCTTCCTCCTGACTCTCGGCCGGAATTTCTCACCCTGTACTTCAACCAGCCAGACAGCGCAGGCCACCAATACGGGCCAAACTCAGACAATGTAAGTCAGTCCTCTCTCCCTTTAAAAAAGATTAGCAAAAAGAAAGATCTTACATTTTCCCTTATTCAACAACCGAATGGTATCTTTACTATCTTTATCTATGACCAGGTGTGGACGGCCCTGTCAGGTTCATTTAAAGTCCTTATTTACTATTTGAAAGTTGTACAAAAAGGGGTCAGTCACGTTATGCCTATCTTGTGCTTTCTTCACACAGGTATTTTTCCGGTAATGAAGTATCACATAGGTTTTATACAGATAACGAAGCATGACGGTGCAATTGGTGCAAATATTATTTAACAACTGCCTTTTAATCTATATTAATACAAGATTAAACGGACGAACTGTATCATGACGTGACACGGTGGATGAGTGTTTGCGGGTGCGAACACATATCTGTAAAACACTTCAAAGAATAACAAGGGTGAGGGTGTCAGTCTGTATCATCTGACAACAGTCTCACACCAGCACACCATTGTTCCGGGAGGTAAGGGTGTGTGGCTGTATCATCTGACAACAGTCTCACACCAGCACACCATTGTTCCGGGAGGTGCGTATGCCTGGCTATACTATCTGACAACAGTCTCACTACAGCACACCATTGTTCCGGGAGGTAAATATGCCTGCCTGTATCATCTGACAACAGTCTCACTACAGCACACCATTGTTCCGGGAGGTAAGGGTGTGTGGCTGTATCATCTGACAACAGTCTCACACCAGCACACCATTGTTCCGGGAGGTAAGGGTGTGTGGCTGTATCATCTGACAACAGTCTCACACCAGCACACCATTGTTCCGGGAGGTAAGGGTGTGTGGCTGTATCATCTGACAACAGTCTCACACCAGCACACCATTGTTCCGGGAGGTAAGGGTGTGTGGCTGTATCATCTGACAACAGTCTCACACCAGCACACCATTGTTCCGGGAGGTAAGGGTGTGTGGCTGTATCATCTGACAACAGTCTCACACCAGCACACCATTGTTCCGGGAGGTAAGGGTGTGTGGCTGTATCATCTGACAACAGTCTCACACCAGCACACCATTGTTCCGGGAGGTAAGGGTGTGTGGCTGTATCATCTGACAACAGTCTCACACCAGCACACCATTGTTCCGGGAGGTAAGGGTGTCTGGCTGTATCATCTGACAACAGTCTCACACCAGCACACCATTGTTCCGGGAGGTAAGGGTGTCTGGCTGTATCATCTGACAACAGTCTCACACCAGCACACCATTGTTCCGGGAGGTAAGGGTGTGTGGCTGTATCATCTGACAACAGTCTCACACCAGCACACCATTGTTCCGGGAGGTAAGGGTGTGTGGCTGTATCATCTGACAACAGTCTCACACCAGCACACCATTGTTCCGGGAGGTGCGTATGCCTGGCTATACTATCTGACAACAGTCTCACTACAGCACACCATTGTTCCGGGAGGTAAATATGCCTGCCTGTATCATCTGACAACAGTCTCACTACAGCACACCATTGTTCCGGGAGGTAAGGGTGTGTGGCTGTATCATCTGACAACAGTCTCACACCAGCACACCATTGTTCCGGGAGGTAAGGGTGTGTGGCTGTATCATCTGACAACAGTCTCACACCAGCACACCATTGTTCCGGGAGGTAAGGGTGTGTGGCTGTATCATCTGACAACAGTCTCACACCAGCACACCATTGTTCCGGGAGGTAAGGGTGTGTGGCTGTATCATCTGACAACAGTCTCACACCAGCACACCATTGTTCCGGGAGGTAAGGGTGTGTGGCTGTATCATCTGACAACAGTCTCACACCAGCACACCATTGTTCCGGGAGGTAAGGGTGTGTGGCTGTATCATCTGACAACAGTCTCACACCAGCACACCATTGTTCCGGGAGGTAAGGGTGTGTGGCTGTATCATCTGACAACAGTCTCACACCAGCACACCATTGTTCCGGGAGGTAAGGGTGTCTGGCTGTATCATCTGACAACAGTCTCACACCAGCACACCATTGTTCCGGGAGGTAAGGGTGTCTGGCTGTATCATCTGACAACAGTCTCACACCAGCACACCATTGTTCCGGGAGGTAAGGGTGTGTGGCTGTATCATCTGACAACAGTCTCACACCAGCACACCATTGTTCCGGGAGGTGCGTATGCCTGGCTATACTATCTGACAACAGTCTCACTACAGCACACCATTGTTCCGGGAGGTAAATATGCCTGCCTGTATCATCTGACAACAGTCTCACTACAGCACACCATTGTTTCGGGAGGTAAGGGTGCGTGGCTGTATCATCTGACAACAGTCTCACTACAGCACACCATTGTTCCGGGAGGTAAGGGTGTGTGGCTGTATCATCTGACAACAGTCTCACTACAGCACACCATTGTTCCGGGAGGTAAGGGTGTGTGGCTGTATCATCTGACAACAGTCTCACACCAGCACACCATTGTTCCGGGAGGTAAGGGTGTGTGGCTGTATCATCTGACAACAGTCTCACACCAGCACACCATTGTTCCGGGAGGTAAGGGTGTGTGGCTGTATCATCTGACAACAGTCTCACACCAGCACACCATTGTTCCGGGAGGTAAGGGTGTGTGGCTGTATCATCTGACAACAGTCTCACTACAGCACACCATTGTTCCGGGAGGTAAGGGTGTGTGGCTGTATCATCTGACAACAGTCTCACTACAGCACACCATTGTTCCGGGAGGTAAGGGTGTCTGGCTATATCATCTGACAACAGTCTCACACCAGCACACCATTGTTCCGGGAGGTAAGGGTGTGTGGCTGTATCATCTGACAACAGTCTCACTACAGCACACCATTGTTCTGGGAGGTAAGGGTGTGTGGCTGTATCATCTGACAACAGTCTCACTACAGCACACCATTGTTCCGGGAGGTAAGGGTGTGTGGCTGTATCATCTGACAACAGTCTCACACCAGCACACCATTGTTCCGGGAGGTAAGGGTGTGTGGCTGTATCATCTGACAACAGTCTCACACCAGCACACCATTGTTCCGGGAGGTAAGGGTGTGTGGCTGTATCATCTGACAACAGTCTCACACCAGCACACCATTGTTCCGGGAGGTAAGGGTGTGTGGCTGTATCATCTGACAACAGTCTCACACCAGCACACCATTGTTCCGGGAGGTAAGGGTGTGTGGCTGTATCATCTGACAACAGTCTCACTACAGCACACCATTGTTCCGGGAGGTAAGGGTGTGTGGCTGTATCATCTGACAACAGTCTCACTACAGCACACCATTGCTCCGGGAGGTAAGGGTGTCTGGCTATATCATCTGACAACAGTCTCACACCAGCACACCATTGTTCCGGGAGGTAAGGGTGTGTGGCTGTATCATCTGACAACAGTCTCACTACAGCACACCATTGTTCCGGGAGGTAAGGGTGTGTGGCTGTATCATCTGACAACAGTCTCACTACAGCACACCATTGTTCCGGGAGGTAAGGGTGTCTGGCTATATCATCTGACAACAGTCTCACACCAGCACACCATTGTTCCGGGAGGTAAGGGTGTGTGGCTGTATCATCTGACAACAGTCTCACTACAGCACACCATTGTTCCGGGAGGTAAGGGTGTGTGGCTGTATCATCTGACAACAGTCTCACTACAGCACACCATTGTTCCGGGAGGTAAGGGTGTCTGGCTGTATCATCCGACAACAGTCTCACTACAGCACACCATTGTTCCGGGAGGTAAGGGTGTGTGGCTGTATCATCCGACATCAGTCTCACTACAGCACACCATTGTTCCGGGAGGTAAGGGTGTCTGGCTATATCATCTGACAACAGTCTCACACCAGCACACCATTGTTCCGGGAGGTAAGGGTGTGTGGCTGTATCATCTGACAACAGTCTCACTACAGCACACCATTGTTCCGGGAGGTAAGGGTGTGTGGCTGTATCATCTGACAACAGTCTCACTACAGCACACCATTGTTCCGGGAGGTAAGGGTGTGTGGCTGTATCATCCGACAACAGTCTCACTACAGCACACCATTGTTCCGGGAGGTAAGGGTGTGTGGCTGTATCATCTGACAACAGTCTCACTACAGCACACCATTGTTCCGGGAGGTAAGGGTGTGTGGCTGTATCATCTGACAACAGTCTCACTACAGCACACCATTGTTCCGGGAGGTAAGGGTGTGTGGCTGTATCATCCGACAACAGTCTCACTACAGCACACCATTGTTCCGGGAGGTAAGGGTGTGTGGCTGTATCATCTGACAACAGTCTCACACCAGCACACCATTGTTCCGGGAGGTAAGGGTGTGTGGCTATACTATCTGACAACAGTCTCACTACAGCACACCATTGTTCCGGGAGGTAAGGGTGTGTGGCTGTATCATCTGACAACAGTCTCACACCAGCACACCATTGTTCCGGGAGGTAAGGGTGTGTGGCTATACTATCTGACAACAGTCTCACTACAGCACACCATTGTTCCGGGAGGTAAGGGTGTGTGGCTATACTATCTGACAACAGTCTCACTGCAGTACACCATTGTTCCGGGAGGTAAGGGTGTGTGGCTATACTATCTGACAACAGTCTCACTACAGCACACCATTGTTCCGGGAGGTAAGGGTGTGTGGCTATACTATCTGACAACAGTCTCACACCAGCACACCATTGTTCCGGGAGGTAAGGGTGTGTGGCTGTATCATCTGACAACAGTCTCACACCAGCACACCATTGTTCCGGGAGGTAAGGGTGTGTGGCTATACTATCTGACAACAGTCTCACACCAGCACACCATTGTTCCGGGAGGTAAGGGTGTCTGGCTGTATCATCTGACAACAGTCTCACACCAGCACACCATTGTTCCGGGAGGTAAGGGTGTGTGGCTGTATCATCTGACAACAGTCTCACACCAGCACACCATTGTTCCGGGAGGTAAGGGTGTGTGGCTGTATCATCTGACAACAGTCTCACACCAGCACACCATTGTTCCGGGAGGTAAGGGTGTGTGGCTGTATCATCTGACAACAGTCTCACACCAGCACACCATTGTTCCGGGAGGTAAGGGTGTGTGGCTATACTATCTGACAACAGTCTCACACCAGCACACCATTGTTCCGGGAGGTAAGGGTGTGTGGCTGTATCATCTGACAACAGTCTCACACCAGCACACCATTGTTCCGGGAGGTAAGGGTGTGTGGCTGTATCATCTGACAACAGTCTCACACCAGCACACCATTGTTCCGGGAGGTAAGGGTGTGTGGCTGTATCATCTGACAACAGTCTCACACCAGCACACCATTGTTCCGGGAGGTAAGGGTGTGTGGCTGTATCATCTGACAACAGTCTCACACCAGCACACCATTGTTCCGGGAGGTGCGTATGCCTGGCTGTATCATCTGACAACAGTTTGCTGTGCATAGTTGCGTCCCTTATCTGTGCCAAACACCTATGCTCGTTCTGGGTTCGAATTCCTGATTCTACCTGAATATGTTGCTAGATTTGTCAGCGCAGTATCTCGTTTTTTGTGGTTTTCATCATAGTTGGAAACGCAGCCAACATCAAGCTGTCTCGTTGTGATGCAACTGAAGCTCTTTAAAGTGGGAATTACTCACTCACTCACTTATTGTTCTCGTATGCCATATTGTATATATGGACCACAACAAGTATCCCTGCTATCACATGGTGCATTTCAAGTAGCGTATTTACAGTATTATGTATTTCCTCGCCAATGTAGTGATCTTTAATTGGCATATAGTGTTTTTTTGTTTGTTTGTTTTGTTAAACGCCGCACTCCAGAAAATTCCAGCTATATGACGGCGGTCTGTAAAACATCGAGTCTGGACCAGACAATCCAATGATTGACATCATAAGCATCGACTAATACAACTGGGATACGACGACAAGCATTACCCAAGTCAGCGAGCCTACCACCCGATCCCATTAGTCGCCTATTACGACAAGCATGGATTGCTGCAGACCAATTCTATTTGTGTAATTTTATGCATATCTATGTGATTAACTGACATTGATAAAAGTTGCTGTCCCATTTCGGCAACTTTATTCAATTCTATATGAACAAGTACAGCAACAACACAACTCAAATGTGTTGAGATAGAATCAGTTTGGTTAACACTAACTTAAAACAATGTCATTTGGACCACAGCGTAAACCTCCTCCTCACCTCCTAACGTGCGCTGAAACTTCCCGTGCGTTGTTCCTCATCCTGGCAGGGATGAGGAGTGAGGTTGAGAGTCTACAGTATCACGGGTGAGGGTCACGTGAATTGTGTTGTTGATGAGGACGGTTGTGTGTTTGTGGCACGGCTGGCACAGGATCAGCTTCCTCAACTCCTTTCGGAACTTTGTGCCTACGACGCAGTAGACGAAGATGTTCACGCAACTGTTCAGTACGTTCAGGATGTTAGCAACAACAACGGACACAAGATACGTTTTGGAGTAACTAGGGTTGGACGCACGTGTGTCCTTAAGGCAGTTGGAGTTGTTGGTATCCACTAACTTCATAATAGATATGATGCATCTCGGGAAGTTGCAGATCATGTACACCACCACGACGAGGATGATGAGGAGGGAGAGGTTGCGGTTGGGGTTGAGGACGTTTGGAACGCCAACCCTGATTCTTGAAGATCTTCGGACATGGAGCGCGAGGAGAGTGTTGACAATTGCGAGGAGCAGCCAGGGAAACATGTACCAGACCAGGGGCAGGACGTAGTGTGTGTAGGTACACACGTAATGCTGGTGGATGCCGAAGTCTGTTGGGTAGGCGATAGTTGTCTGGATTCCATGGAACATAATGTGTCGAATTTCATAACTGAAGAAGATGGGAATAGTTATGACGGTGACGATGAGGACTACAGCTACGATGCAGACACTTACCAGATGAACGGTGCATGTACGCTTCACGGTGAGCGGGTATTTCACCGCCAAGTAGCGCTCTGTGGAAAGAAGCAGCGTAACAAAGCTAGACACTCCCAGAAAGATCCAGAAAAATGGTTCCACATATACTTCGATATATGCGTCCAAGTGGAACACAGCCTCTGTGTTGTCCTTTTCGGTCAGTAGAACCTTGTAGCTTTTGTACCGGAAAATAGAAGTGAGAAGCACCAGAGTGTCTGTCAGGGCCAGGACCTGTAGGTACACTGCCGTGGTGGAGGTGCGCAGGGCCTTACGGGTGAGTACACAGAACACAAGCAGGTTGCCGCACACTCCGGCAAAACAGATTGTGAACAGCACATATCCATAACCGATACGGAACAGTCTCGCCTGGAAGAAGGCCTTTGCAAGGTCCATTGTTGTTTCATTCTTGAGGAAGAAAGTCTCAGTTGAGTTGGAACCTCGCCATGTTGTGTTTGATCCCCCGTACCATGCGTCGGGCATGTCATCCATTTGGTCTGTCAACAAAACGTTGTCCTCTATTTCTTGCATTGTCAGATTAATGAATGTACGTTTTCAGAATGGCAAAGTTTAGTTTTTATCTATCTGACGCAAACAATGTCCACGTTAACTGTTTGATTGGCATTCTGAAATTGCTGGGAAAATGTCCATGTTATAACTGTTTGGCACCTTAACTTGTTTGCTCCATTGGTTTTCAACTGGATGGTCACACTTGAAACAATATGTTAATATTTGCACAGCCAAGTATCCCAGTGTTCACCCAGGGCTATTATTTCATCACTACCAGACAAGCACCGAACGCAGTGAAATGTATATCTCAGCAGAAACACAACACCACATCAACGTGAATGCAATGTCTTGACTATTACCGTGATGGCGGATTCCTTATTTCTTGACAGAACTAATCTAAAGCACCAGGCCTCAATCCGTGTGAATTCGTCACGCCTCAAGTTGATCAATATTGAGTATTTCAAACTGTCACGAGAAACGATCTCTCTATCAGTGGCAGGATGGAGTCAGGATAGAAGCCCACTTCTGTCGCAGGACCCTTATCATACATTATGACCCCACTGGGTTAAGAGAGAAGCAAACATTTGTATTAATCAGCTCCAAAGACATTTAATTCACGTTATGATAAATCATCAATTCATGTCCCAAGTTTCGATTAGGTCTGGGAAATAGGATTATGTGCCTGCTAGCAAATACTGTACATTCGGTTTGTTATGAGTAATGGCCATGAGATGTGTGACCAGCACTGGGTCAGCCGTGGTTTCAATGGCTACACATGGTTACCGGGCTGAAGAGTTTCTAAGATATGACAGAAGAAAGAATGGCGCACAATCAATCCCTGCACTCCAGTAGAGCTGATAGGCTGACTGGAACAGATGGCTGATTTGGAATATACAGTTGAGTGTGTGTACATATTGAACCTGACAATAATTTTGTATCAGCCGATATTAAACCTACAGTCAACTCAGGGCCATCTTTATTTCAGTGATATATGTACAGCAGTAAACTGTTCCTCCAATAGAAACGTTGAGTGATGTAGGTGACGTCATGTATGGTACATCTACACCTGGACCCTGTGTTGAGAGATGTAGATGGCGTCATGTATGGTACATCTACACCTAGACCCTGTGTTGAGAGATGTAGATCACGTCATGTATGGTACATCTGCACCTGGACCCTGTGTTGAGAGATGTAGATTAGAGTGTGTATGGTATATCTGCAGCTGGACCCTGTGTTGAGAGATGAAGATGACGTCATGTATGTTATATCTGCAGCTGGACCCTGTGTTGAGAGATGTAGATGACGCCATGTATGGTACATCTGCAGCTGGACCCTGTGTTGAGAGATGTTAATGACGTCATGTATGGTATATCTGCAGATGGACCTTGTGTTGAGAGATGTAGATGACGTCATGTATGGTATATCTGCAGATGGACCCTGTGTTGAGAGATGAAGATGACGTCATGTATGGTATATCTGCAGCTGGACCCTGTGTTGAGAGATGTAGATGACGCCATGTATGGTATATCTGAAGATGGACCCTGTGTTGTGATATATAGATGACGTCATGTATGGTATATCTGCAGCTGGACCCTGTGCTGAGAGATGTAGATGACGTCATGTATGGTATATCTGAAGATGGACCCTGTGTTGTGATATATAGATGACGTCATGTATGGTATATCTGCAGCTGGACCCTGTTGTGTAAGTTCCTCTTGTAAAGAGAGATGTTGAAGACGATGTGTTGTATATCTGCAGCTGGATCCTGTGTTGAGAGATGTAGATGACATGATCGGGTTGCTGATGCAGAAACTTTACAAGAGGAACTTACACAACTGTGTCAACATAATCCTGTTGGCTGATCATGGTACGTCTCTCATCCGTTAGATGTATTACGTATCTAGTTATAACTACAGAACTACAATGACAAAATAAAGCAGTACACATATAAAGCCATGCTAGGACCGGCTGTGGCCGAACTGACGGCGGCGTTGTTTGCAAGGTTCAGATGCTTGTGTTCTGTCAAAATTCAAAGTCAACAATGACCATGCTATCATCTGACATTGCAAATCAGGCTTGGGCAATACACGCATACAGTAACCAGAAAGCGACAAGTTGATATTCCTTGTGGGCCCTGGGATATCTATTTAAAGAACAATTTGTTATGTCTTCACATAGTGACCACAAAAGATGACAGTTTAAAAATAAGAATTGTTTGTCCCTTATATTTCTGCTTTGTGTAGCTGTCATCATTAATAGGGACAGTGGGTAGCTGTTAGCATTAGTAGGGACAGTGGGTAGCTGTTAGCATTAATAGGGACAGTGGGTAGCTGTCAGCATTAGTAGGGACAGTGGGTAGCTGTTAGCATCAATAGGGACAGTGGGTAGCTGTCAGCATTAGTAGGGCTAGTGGGTAGCTGTTAGCATTAATAGGGACAGTGGGTGGCTGTCAGCATTAGTAGGGATAGTGGGTAGCTGTCAGCATTAGTAGGGGTAGTGGGTAGCTCTCAGCATTAGTAGGGATAGTGGGTAGCTGTCAGCATTAGTAGGGACAGTGGGTAGCTGTCAGCATTAGTAGGGATAGTGGGTAGCTGTTAGCATTAATAGGGACAGTGGGTAGCTGTCAGCATTAGTAGGGATAGTGGGTAGCTGTCAGCATTAGTAGGGGTAATGGGTAGCTCTCAGCATTAGTAGGGATAGTGGGTAGCTGTCAGCATTAGTAGGGACAGTGGGTAGCTGTCAGCATTAGTAGGGATAGTGGGTAGCTGTCAGCATTAATGGCATTGAGACATTGAAAATGCATTCATGAAAGTTTATTCCATGGCCAAGGAATGACTCCCAGGTCATGTGACCGGGCAGTGGCGCTGAATGATGTTCTGTTCGAGGATGAACTGAGCCACGTGACTGCTTACACCGCCATGTTTGGTCGTATCAGCAACAAGTACTCCAAGAAGGGGAGCCAGTACACAGTGTATGACACGCCTCTAGGTGAGTCCGTGTCCTGGTGATGAACTCACTAGTCAGGGTAGTGTGTACACACATAAAGTAGGTAGTTTGTTGCCATTTGTAGTGCCCTAGTTTGTACACACATAAACAAAATAGTCTGTTCTCCGTTATAGTGCCCCTAATGTGTACACACATAAAGGAGATAGTTTGTTCCCCGTTATAGTGCCCCTAGTGTGTACACACATACAGGAGATAGTTTGTTCCCCGTTATAGTGCCCCTAGTGTGTACACACATAAAGGAGATAGTTTGTTCCCGTTATAGTGCCCCTAGTGTGTACACACATAAAGGAGATATTTTGTTCCCCGCTATAGTGCCCTAGTGTGTACACACATACAGGAGATAATTTGTTCCCCGTTATAGTGCCCTAGTGTGTACACACATAAAGGAGATAGTTTGTTCCCCGTTATAGTGCCCCTAGTGTGTACACACATAAAGTAGACAGTTTGTTCCCTGTTGTCGTGCGGCCAGAGTGTTACAGATATGGAATATATATGGTTTGCTGTTGTAGTGTCTGAATCTATGGTATATCTGCAGCTGGACCCTGTGCTGAGAGATGTAGATGACGTCATGTATGGTATGTCTGAAGATGGACCCTGTGTTGTGATATATAGATGACGTCATGTATGGTACATCTGCAGCTGGACCATGTGTTAAGAGATGTAGATGACAGTGTGTATAGTATATCTACATCTGGAATCTGTGTTGAGATATATAGGTCACTCTGTATTGTATATCTGCAGCTGGATCCTGTGTTGAGAGTTGTAGAAGACTATGTGTTGTATATCTGCAGCATGATCCTGTGTTGAGAGATGTTGAAGACTATGTGTTGTATATCTGCAGCTGGATCCTGTGTTGAGAGATGTAGATGACATGATCGGGTTGCTGATGCAGAAACTTTACAAGAGTGTGTGCACACATACAGGAGATAGTTTGTTCCCCGTTATAGTGCCCCTAGTGTGTACACACATAAAGGAGATAGTTTGTTCCCGTTATAGTGCCCCTAGTGTGTACACACATAAAGGAGATAGTTTGTTCCCCGTTATAGTGCCCCTAGTGTGTACACACATAAAGTAGACAGTTTGTTCCCTGTTGTCGTGCGGCCAGAGTGTTACAGATATGGAATATATATGGTTTGCTGTTGTAGTGTCTGAATCTTCCATCCTGGAGCGACTGCAGTGTCTCTCCCCGCACATGCGCACATACAGGAAGGCCGACCTACCCAAGAGACATCACTATGCCAACAATGACCGCATTGATAACATTATAATGGATCTCGACAACGAATGGATTGTCACTAAGTAAGCTTTGTCATTTATAACTAACTGTCAAAATATATACAGTGTCACCAGGTCGGGTTTTCTCTTGTTGACCTTGGCTACTTCAACAGCAGTGAAGAACTCGTAAGGATAACTGTAGATGGACAACCGCATCTCCCATGACAGTCAACGCAAACTGTTTAGTCAAAGATAATTAGTGAAGCCGCTAGTTTGTTTGTTTGTTTGTTGTTTAACGCCGCACTCAGCAATATTCTACCGATATAACGTCGGTCTGTAAATAATTGAGTCTGGACCAGACAATCCAGTGATTGATATCATGAGCATCGACCCACGCAATTGGGATACGATGACATGCATCAACCAAGTCAGCGAGCCTGACCACCCGATCCCGTTAGTCGCCTCTTTGGACAAGCATAGTCGCCTGAATCCGCTGGTGTTTAGTACTTTGTGTGAGTTGTCCAGCTGAACTGTGTAATAGCCTTTAACAAAGTTTGGCGTTGTCTATGCTGAACAACATCTACATATACTGCCGGGAAATAGAAGGAATACACTGTAAAATTCACACTGCACTCTGCTTGTGACTGTGTACTGTGAAATTGCGACCTCATGTTCCTTGAGACTTCGTGTGCACGTCAAATGTTGGTAGATATCATATCAAATTCATCTCCATCGAATAACCATGTCTTGTTTTGTTAAATTTTCAACGGCAGTTTACTCCACTCGCACATATCAAAGTGTGTTGCCCAGCTACTCTCGAAGTCAACATTTAGTGTGCATCCCTTAAAGCAAACTGAACAAGCATTGTAGGGTTTTGTTCCACACCGCTGGTCAATATTATCTCACATAGCTCATTTGGACGTAAACGATGTGATGTTACATTTGGAAATAGAAAAGCGCCACATGTCAAGCTCTCTGTTGTTCCTCTAGCCTGAAATACATTCTCTTTGTCGATTTCAAACGTGTTCTGTTCCCCAAATATAAAGTAATACACACTGAGAGGATTGTTGTAATGGAACTCTGCATTTTGTACCCTCCATTTACACATGGTTATTTCAGAATGCACACCAGTATGCATTCAGCATACCCTTAGCTTAGTGGCCTACGCGTTTGCTTGGCACACTGGGTTCTATTGTCCGTATAGTTTTGATCTACTTGTGCAACCCACTCCAGATCTTGTCATTACTAAGGGCGCGAGTACATATGCACCTACGACTCACTCATCACTGGAGACTTAATTCCAAACACCTATTGATGTGAACACCTGAGACAAAGACAGCATTCAGCCATCGTTGTGATTTGACCTGGGCTCGTGGTTTGTTTCAGAACACGGAACCCGACATCAGGCTGCAGTGGAGGCAGCCATGGGGAAGATAACATCTACGCCAGTGAGGGGGTGAGTGACCTCTCACGTGTTGCTTAGCAACCTGCTCATGCTAGTCTGGGGCCAATTAATACTTTTATCTTCAATTCTTAGTGGTTGCCTGGACTAAGGCTTATATAAGTTCAATACAAACAAACAACTCTATTTGAATTAAAAGGTAGCCACCGTGAGATGGAAACTTCAGAACCTGAGGAATATCGAAACTGCTTCATCTAGGGTTATTCCATTACAGTAAGGGCTGGGCGGAAAGGAAGATAGACAGACTAGGGATTGTCCAGCAAGGCTACCTTGCGCTGGCCATGTTGTTGGAGAGTTATATCCTCAACCACTTCCTTAAGAGGGGAGCGAAACCTTATATACTGTCTCAAAGTAATTGACATTCGCAATCCTTCAGATGTCTCCCTAGGAATTTCCGGATTCTTCCACGAATTGCACCACGATACTAGTAGTGTGTATATATCCAATCTATACAAGATTAAGCTGTATATATTCTCCAAATATGAAACGTTACTTCCAATTTCTTCCTGATATAATTTCATTTCATTTCAATTTTTTCTTCGTCCGGTTTTGGAAATCTGGGGTGTCGGGTTGGAGATCCTGTCATGTTTATATCCCGGCAGTGGATGCACACGGTAAAGGAAACCCCATGTTCCGTGTGAATGTGTACGTAGCGGCAATACGTCATACATTCTCTGCGCTTGGCGGAGTTCTGCTTAGTTCTTTGCATTTTAACGTTCAAGCCAGGCTCGGTTGTAACTAATTGTATAAGAATACCACGAATGTAACTAAATTGTATAAGAATATCACGAATGTAACTAAATTGTATAAGAATATCACTAATGTAACTAATTGTATAAGAATACGACGAATGTAACTAAATTGTATAAGAATACCACGGTTGTAACTATGTAGTGTATCAGAATAACACAAGTGTACCTTTAGTGTGCCATAAACCATAACTACAGTTACACCGCGAGTGCAACCACAGTTTTTCAGAACACCACGAGTGTAACTATAGTGTATCAGAATACCGCGGATGTACTATAGCATATCCGAGTATCACAGGTACAATTAAAGTGTTTTTTCAAACCTCATAATAACCCGATTTCTACGTAAGTTCATATTTACAAACCTTATAATAACGTGATCACCACAGAAATAGGTCTTTGCAAACCTTATAATGACCTGATTTCTACTGAAGTTCATATTTACAAACCTTATACTGACCTGATCTTTACTAAAGTAGGTAAATACAAACATTATAACAATTGATCTGTTCTCTGATCTTCCTACACCACCTGCTTCCGATGCTGTACTCTGTCATGCCTGAAATTATTTCTCTTCTCTTCAAATATTTCCCAATCTGCAGTTTGACATGCACCACATATCATTCGGCCAAAGCAACAAAACACTTTCCACAATCATAAAAAAACAATATATGCTAAAAGCAGAGGCCAATATACGAAATCATGCTTGTGAAAATGTTAGAAATATGTATTTGGAATCAGTCATAACATACGTTGTAATTATATCTTGTAAAATTATAATAAACTAAAATGTGCCGTCGCATCTGCATTATTCCATAAAGCTACTTACTGTCTTTCTTTACTTTTCAAAAGAAATAGCTGTGCAGAGGTTTTGTCACAAGAAACATGTGCTGCACATGCAAAATTGGCATGTGATGTTCGATTCGGCTGATGATAGGTGACATTTCACTCGATTTGTTTAAGTAGTCGTCCTTTATCGGTATCTGAGCAAGGTAAACACTCCTTCTCTGAAATCCTACACACAAAATACTCCATTTCCCCTATACACCTGACCACTTCGAGGGGAGGGCGGGTGCCATAACATATATATGTTATCACATCGATAGGGATTTTCATATTATTTTCTTCCAAATGTAGTATACACTGGTTAAATGCAACAGTCAGGACATACAGTGAACATAGATGCATTTTTATTGACAACAGTTTGACTTGTGCGTCTTTTCGCTTCAGGCTCTGTTTGTTGCTCATGGTCCTGCCTTCAAGAAGGGGCTCGAGATAGAGCCGTTTGAGAACATCGAAGTTTACAATCTCATAGCTGGTGAGTCTTTTGTGATCAAAGATAAAGGTATTTATTTTGGGAACCTTTGTGGTCACTTTAGAACTATGTTTTGCCTATATATAAGTTGACGTGTTCTTGGTTTGGTTCTGACAAAATGACAAGCATAAAAACTTCAACGTGTGGTGCATCATTATTACTTCGAGCCAAAGCTGGGGCGGTCGGGTAGCCTAGTGCTTAAAGCGTTCGCTCGTCACGCCGAAGACCCGGGTTCGATTCCCGACATGGGTACAATGTGTGAAGCCCATTTCTGGTGTCCCCCGTCGTGATATTGCTGGAATATTGCTAAAAGCGGCGTAAAACCATACTCACTCACTCACTCGAGCCAAAGCCAGTGGGATGATGTCAAATATGACTTTGTATGAATGTTGCCACAGATGTTATGACTATTTTCATTTTGAAGAAATGATTGACTCCATGATCTCAACTTCAGTGCTTTCGCGTGACGTTTGGGTACATATGCAGGTATCTTTATCAAGCATGTGCCAAACAACTGAAGACGATCATACGTTTTCCGACATTATGCGTATTTCGCACACGGCCCGCCGGGCCATTTGGTGTGGTTTGCCAAAGGAGGAAGCAGGAGTTTGTCCGAAAGGAGAGGCAACCTGAGGGTTGTGTATTTAAATTTTGAAGAATTGAGAATTTTGCCTGAGTTAGAGGGACTAAGGGAGGGTGGGGGTGTATGGTTTGTTTTGGTTTTGTTCGTTTTGGGTTTTAGATTAGTGGTGATTTATTTGTGTGGGTAATCATATACGGCTTAGAAGGCCAGTTTTAATTCAAAAATGCCTAATGCTTTAAAGGTTTGTGTATTATATAGCGAGATTAGGAGAGTTTGTAATGTTGGGTGTGTGTTGATGCCCAGTTTGCTCTGAAGCATCGTTCAGTGTTGTTTGTAGTGCGTGCAGTGTAGTAGGACATGTTCTGGTGTGTCTGTTTGCTCGCAGTATGTGCATTTACCCGTTGGGTATTTCTTTATTTTCTGTACGTGGGAGTCTTTTGTGGCATGGTTTTAATTTTGTTATTACCCTGTCAATAGTTTTAGATTTATGGTAGGTTTTTAGTGCAACCTCCAATCGGTGATACCCCTAATGTTGGGGATGACGTGGATCATTTGAATTGTGCTCGGGTCTAACACACACATATATGTTGGTTCACTGGTGTTTCTTCTTTTGATTTTGAAGAGTGAGTGAGAAGTTACAACAAAAGTTTTTATCAACTTAACATTGTGTTAAATGACAACTAACATACAATAGTAAATACTTGAAAAGTTGCTAAAATAACCCAATTCTGTGATCGTCATATAACAAAATGCTTTGCAATCAGGGGTAAGACGTGTTTGTGTAGAATTTACAGGGTGTAGATTCCGGTATGCGTGTAATTGATTGGTTTCTACAGACATATGTTTGCTATGACCAATGTGTGATTGTGTTGATAATGATATTTATTGGTGTTGATACCAACGTGTGTCTCTTCTTAGACGTGCTCAACATCACACCTGCTCCCAACAACGGCACCCGTGGAGCTCTGTTCCATGTATTGACTAACCCCCCCAGGCTGGAGGCTGAACCCAGCACAAGCTACACGGATTGCACCGCCACCTCCCAGACTGTCCTCCAGCAAACTGTCAGTCAACACTGTGGCTGCTCTAATCAGGTAGGTGACTCTCACATCAATCAACACTGTGGCTGCTCTAATCAGGTAGGCGACTCTCACGTCAGTCAACACTGTGGCTGCTCTAATCAGGTAAGTTACCTGCACATCAGTCAACACTGTGGCTGCTCTAATCAGGTAAGTTACCTGCACATCAGTCAACACTGTGGCTGCTCTAATCAGGTAGGTGAATCTCACGTCAATCAACACTGTGGCTGCTCTAATCAGGTAGATGAATCTCACGTCAATCAACACTGTGGCTGCTCTAATCAGGTAGGTGAATCTCACGTCAATCAACACTGTGGCTGCTCTAATCAGGTAGGTGAATCTCACATCAATCAACACTGTGGCTGCTCTAATCAGGTAGGTGACCCTCACATCAGTCAGCACTGTGGCTGATCTAATCAGGTAGGTGAATCTCACATCAGTCAACACTGTGGCTGCTCTAATCAGGTAGGTGACCCTTACATCAGTCAACACTGTGACTGCTCTAATCAGGTAGGTGAATCTCACATCAGTCAACACTGTGTTGCTGCTCTAATCAGGTAGGTGAATCCCACATCAGTCAACACTGTGGCTGCTCTAATCAGGTAGGTGACCCTTACATCAGTCAACACTGTGACTGCTCTAATCAGGTAGGTGAATCTCACATCAGTCAACACTGTGGCTGCTCTAATCAGGTAGGCGACTCTCACGTCAGTCAACACTGTGGCTGCTCAAATCAGGTAGGTGAATCTCACATCAATCAACACTGTGGCTGCTCTAATCAGGTAGGCGACTCTCACGTCAGTCAACACTGTGGCTGTTCTAATCAGGTAGGTGAATCCCACATCAGTCAACACTGTGGCTGCTCTAATCAGGTAGGTGAATCCCACATCAGTCAACACTGTGGCTGCTCTAATCAGGTAGGTGACCCTTACATCAGTCAACACTATGACTGCTCTAATCAGGTAGGTGAATCTCACATCAGTCAACACTGTGGCTGCTCTAATCAGGTAGGTGAATCTCACATCAGTCAACACTGTGGCTGTTCTAATCAGGTAGGTGAATCTCACGTCAATCAACACTGTGGCTGCTCTAATCAGGTAGGTGACCCTCACATCAGTCAACACTGTGGCTGCTCTAATCAGGTAGGTGAATCTCACATCAGTCAACATTGTGGCTGCTCTAATCAGGTAGGTGAATCCCACATCAGTCAACGCTGTGACTGCTCTAATCAGGTAGGTGAATCCCACATCAGTCAACACTGTGACTGCTCTAATCAGGTAGGCGACTCTCACGTCAGTCAACACTGTGGCTGCTCTAATCAGGTAGGTGAATCTCACATCAATCAACACTGTGGCTGCTCTAATCAGGTAGGCGACTCTCACGTCAGTCAACACTGTGGCTGCTCTAATCAGGTAGGTGAATCCCACATCAGTCAACGCTGTGCCTGCTCTAATCAGGTAGGTGAATCCCACATCAGTCAACACTGTGGCTGCTCTAATCAGGTAGGCGACTCTCACGTCAGTCAACACTGTGGCTGCTCTAATCAGGTAGGTGAATCTCACATCAATCAACACTGTGGCTGCTCTAATCAGGTAGGTGAATCTCACGTCAATCAACACTGTGGCTGTTCTAATCAGGTAGGTGAATCTCACATCAGTCAACGCTGTGACTGCTCTAATCAGGTAGGTGAATCTCCCATCAGTCAACACTGTGACTGCTCTAATCAGGTAGGTGAATCTCACATCAGTCAACACTGTGGCTGCTCTAATCCGGTAGAGGACTCTCACATCAGTCAACACTGTGGCTGCTCTAATCAAGTAGGTGAATCTCACATCAGTCAACAGAGTTGCTGTTCTAATCAGGTAGGTGAATCTCACATCAGTTAACACTTTGGTTGCTCTAATCAGGTAGGTGAATCTCACACAAGTTAACACTGTGGTTGCTCTAATCAGGTAGGTGACTCTCACATCAGTCAACACTGTGGCTGCTCGAATCGGGTAGGTGACTCTCACGTCAGTCAACACTGTGGCTGCTCGAATCGGGTAGGTGAATCTCACATCAGTCAACACTGTGGCTGCTCTAATCAGTTAGGTGAATCTCACACCAGTCAACACTGTGGCTGCTCTAATCAGGTAGGTGACTCTCACATCAGTCAACAGTGTGACTGCTCTAATCAGGTAGGTGACTCTCACATCAGTCAACATTGCGGCGGCTCTAATCAGGTAGGTGACTCTCACGTCAGTCATCACTGTGGCTGCTCTAATCAGGTAGGTGAATCTCACATCAGTCAACACTGTGGTTGCTTTTATGAGGTATTTTCACATTGGTCGGCACTGTCAGGTTTAATCAGGTAGGAGGGTAGGAGAATCTGTACAGTAGATTATTTAAGTGTGTGGACCATCATTGATTATCCAGTTTAGTTGATCTTCGTTGTGATATATACCCGAAAGCCCTCGGAAAGATCGCTTTGGTCTGATTTGAGTGGCCAAAGAATGACTGATGTCACTGATAGGAAAGACCCGCGTGATGACGCTACTTCACAAAGAAAGTCACGGGAATGAATTTATCAAATTTATCATTGCCAATACCATGCCCTGGATCATCAAGTATGCGTCTGATTCATCCGTGAGTGTACAAACAATGTTTCATACTTTGGGCGGCTGCACGTGGCGGAAGTGACACTTTTGTAAACCAAGGAAACTGATTGATGAAGTATTGGAATTGTATTTCAGTCGGATATGATGACCACCAGCTTCATTGACGTCCCCACCACGTCTGAGGTGTCGATACAGTGTCAGGTACATTATGGCAGTCAGACGTCCGTCTTCAACTCAGACCGGGGCATGCCAGGGTGGACGACGGTCTACCTCAACAAACAGAAGGTAAGGGGGTCAGGATCTCCTTGTTAAGACACGTTTGACAGGCAGCGGGCCTGCGGGCTGGCAGACATGCACTGTTTTCTGTTTTCACTTTAAACTTAAAGTTAACATTTTACAGCAGTTTTCACTATAATTGTGACCTGGGTATGGTTTTTTCAGCGTGTGGAGGCGAGCAGCGAGTGTATTGTTCCAGATCCAAGTCTCCACCCACAAGACAGAGCCAGGTACAAGCAGTACACCAGTCCACAGCGCGGCATCACAGCGACCGGCATGGTCCCAGGTAGTGTTCATCCCCTCACGTTCATTTCTCTTAACACATCTGACACATATGACCCATCATTATACAAGTTAAATTCCTGTTTTCAAGACATTCAACAAAAAGCATAGATGCAGACAGACGTTTTAACTAGTCGATATTGCAGCACGAGTTAGGGATACGCTCAACATGACGGGTGAAGTTTCGTAACATACGAAAATTGGTTTCGCCCTCAGCTGCATGTTTCCATATTTGTGTCGATCTATCATCAGATACTTTATTGTAGGATCATCGTCAAAGTCTTGCAAAGAGCATTCATTCGCTTCATTGTATGAGGACGTATACTCTTTAAGTTTGTTTGTTGTTTAACACCGCACTCAGCAATATTCCAGCTTTATGACGTCTGTCTGTAAATTATCGAGTCTGGACCAGACTGTCCAGTGATTTACATCATGAGCATCGATCCACACAATTGGGAAACGATGCCATGCATCAACCAAGTCAGAGAGCCTGACCGCTCAATCCCGTTACTCACCTCTTACGACAAGCATAGTCGCCTTTTAGCTCTTTTCTATATCCCGGATTTTCACGGGTCAAACAGATATATTTATAGTAACCAATAGATCCCTGAACAGATATCAAACAGATATCCAAACAAAACATGTGAAACAACGACATACTGATATCATACATGAAAGCTGTTTGCATGAACATTGATCTGTACCGCAGAAACAGGTGTCTAAGTTGAACTCTTCCTTCTCCAGCCCGGTTTAGTAGCTGCGGTCGGGTCAGTCTGTCCTCGTCGGTGGTGCCCATGTTCACAGGTTTCAAACAAGGCAAGTATCAAACCAGCATGGGTTGATGTCTGATCATTGCGTCAGTCATGTGAATCGTGTCATCCGAACACTTGTGAAAGAGAACTCAATACTAACACAGCATTAGATCGTCGCTTTGAAGGACAAATAATGTTACACAGGTAGTGTAAATGTCGAACCATTAAACAAATGAGTTTGTGAAAATGGCTTCATCTGCCTCAATATACAAAGAAACATGCGATCATCAAATGGTTCTACAGTAAAGGGTGATTCGGTAGGAAAACCATATGCATAAAACACAAATGTGGTTGGAAATTTGGTTGAATTTATTAAGTGGCTCGACACTCAACTCGGCAGGGTATGAACTTTTAGGAATTGTCCATGGGTCATCTAAAGAAAGAACTGTTTTTATCAACTTTTCGTCAGCACATCAGTATACCTAATGAGGGAAAAGTTGTGTATTGCATAAAGAAAATGCCTTCTGCTTCTTCAGGTTTGTGGGCGTATGCCTGGCGGGTGGTGGAGACGTACCTGGCCGGGGATGTGGAGGTGCAGGTGACGGCGGGGCCCATCTGGGACTACAACAGTGACGGCCTGTACGACACTCCCACCAATAAGTAAGCACTGTTGCTTTACAGCACTGGCACCATTGTTCCAGCTGTATCGATACTCAATCAAACAAGTCACCGACCCTTACCGTAACCCTTACCCTGTTACTAAGTCTAAGGACCCGATATATTTTAATGGACCACAAGTTTCATTATTATATTTATGAAAAACGCTTTGTCATCCTGATCTCTCTGGCAAACCCATGTCAAACCTTTATATCAATCTCATGACAACCCCTGTATTATTTACTTAAAACTCTTTTAAAGGTTTATATGTCTGAATTTCATCCTTGCAGATTTTTGCATACATTCCCTCCCACTACATTTCCATTGCATGACAACTTTTCCACTATTATATTGATAAAAGATATTTGTTTTTTCTTGTCAACTTCAGTCGATGAGATAAACATGCTATTCGACAGGAAAAGACAAAAGTTCTCGAGTGATATACCGATATTCAAATTAAGTATTTAATCCCTAAACACGTCATGAATATGTAAATCAAGAGAGATGTGCCACAATTGATGCGTATGTGTATTGTCAGCGCTAGGTGTTCATATGAACATAGTGGATACAAAATATCTGCATATTTCCCTATCCATGTGCTACATGAACATCACTGTATCTGCGTGTTCCAGGACAAGGGAAGATGGCAGTGGTATAAGTATCCCGACTCACTTCTTCTTAGTGATCTATAAGTGTGGCAGATCCGGCGACAGATTCCCCTGTGGCGAAAAAGTGGACATTCTACCTTTCATCCTGCCCCACACCCCGACACTGGTCACCTGTGAGGTGAGACATTCACCCTTGCAGCGTCAAAAAGCCCATCTGATTCAGATCCGAAAATATATGTTGTACTAAGGTGCATTTGTCTTATCATGTGTCTCATCATCTCCAGTCACCAGCTCACTACATGAGAGAGAACATGGCCCGTCTCCGAGACATTGAGCTTCTTACAGCCCTGAGGTTCTTCCCTGACCTTGATCTTGCCAAAGCCGCCTCACTGCGCACCTTCCTGCCAAGCGAGTGGGAGAGTCCACTCACGGCCCCCACGCAGACGGGATCCTGGATGCACCACACATGTAAAGATGAACCACAGCAACACTGTACCACAGAGTAAGTTCACTGTTTACAACAGAAACCATTGATGTCCATACAGATGATCCTTAGTCTGTCATACAGACCCTGAAACAAGTATATCCAATACAGCCCATGCAAGTCTATAATGTTTGACAAGTCTAGAATACTGAATATGAAGAAAGTCTCAAGGCTCCTTTTTATTAAATTTTATAACTATAATTTAACAACTGTTTTCTGTAAAATATGTTCATTTCAGAGACCAGTTGTTAGTCTCAGATGACTCTTTGAAAGGTAACTATATGTGACCCAGATCTAGTCATAGCTACTTGCATGTGTATCTGAATCAAACAAGCACAGTCCTGTCAAAGAACTGTTCCGCAGTATAGTAAAACAGGACCTTGCATAAAGGACCAGGGTAACAAGACACTCGCAACAAGACTGTATGACAGGAGGGAGGACTTCAACTTTCCCTTTATGTCGAGCAAAAATCCAGCAGCTCCAGCCTTGGTGTCTATATTTCACAACTTTTGAGATGCAATCGAGTATGCCCTTTCTACCAACATTTCAAAGAACGTCATACGACTCTTGTTCAGACGTTGTTTGATCAAGGTTACAACATTCAAGGCCTCAGTAAAGCCTTCAAAAAGTTTTACAGTAGACATGTGGAGGACATTTCAAAATTTGACGTATCAGTGACAAACATGATGTCCGATGCAATTCCCTATTTTGACTTGTACTATATGTCCAGGTCTTTTCAGGTGAACAATTGACTTGCCTTTGCATGAGTTTGTAACGGATGCCACCGGTGAGGCAGGATACGCTCACCTTTTCGCGAACACCTGGTATCATTACTATTTGAAAGTGATTCATACATACATGCTTATGATATAGTCGGAATAGTACAATCGGCTTTATTATGCAGAGATTTCTATTGGAAATGGAAAGATGTTTGTCGCTGTGTGTAGATGTGATCGTGTCACTGCACCCAATCTTTAGTAGGTCCCATGTGTATTATACCCGCTTCAGTTACAAACCCCTACTGCTCATCTCTGTGGACGGGTTCCGGGCCGACTACTTACAGGACTACAACGTTACCCCTGTCATCAAACGCCTGTCAGAGTGTGGAGTCCGCACACCCTTCATGAGATCTGTCTACCCCACCAAGACCTTTCCCAACCACTACACTATCGTCACAGTGAGTCTCCATTGCTGCAGGACAAGTTCCATCTCCAACCTGAGGATAGATCATGTTTATTACTATTTGTTCACTACTATCACGATGTGTTTATCCCCATGAAAATATCGAGACCTGTGAAACCATTTCATCTGTTTCATCAAGATTCAGAAGGGAAAATACGATCCTCCATATTGTATGACAAGAGGGATGAATTCAACTTTTCAATAATCAACATGCCGTTTATGTTGAGCAATATTCCAGCATTTCGCATTCTCTTTATACAGAGATTTCAAAAAGCCTCGTTCGACTCTTGCTCAAAAAGTAGTTTGATCAGGGTTGCATCATTCTTTTTGTAGCATGACGTGTAAAAAGGTTTATGGTAGACACGTGAAGGACTTTCCAAATTTGATGCATTAGTGACCAAAATTATGTTCGATGCAATCCTTGTTTTGACTTGAAATTGTACCGAGGGCTTGTGCTGATATATATGATTCTCATTGCAGGGTCTGTACCCCGAATCCCATGGCATCATTGATAACAATATGTATGACTCTGAACTGCATCAGAAGTTTGGCCTTAAACTGGATTCCAAGGAGGATCCAAGATGGTGGCAGGGAGAACCAGTGAGTAGTGACTGGCTCTGTCCTTCATAAAGCTGTAATACAGCAAGCTAAGTCAACACATCGGTGTAGTCAGGATTGCAATGGTGCATAAAACCTTTACATACAAAGCTGTGTTAACACATAGGTGTAGTCAGGATTACAATGGTGCATAAAACCTTTACATACAAAGCTGTGTTAACACATAGGTGTAGTCAGGATTACAATGGTGCATAAAACCTTTACATTCAAAGCTGTGTTAACACATCGGTGTAGTAAGGATTGCAAGGGTGCATAGCACCATTATATACAAAGCTGTGTTAACACATCGGTGTTGTCAGGATTGCAAGGGTGCATAACACCTTTACATAGCAAGCTATTTTAACACATCGGTGTAGTCAGGATTGCAAGGGTGCATAGCACCATTATATACAAAGCTGTGTTAACACATCGGTGTAGTCAGGATTGCTAGGGTGCATCGCACCATTATATACAAAGCTGTGTTAACACATCGGTGTAGTCAGGATTGCTAGGGTGCATCGCACCATTATATACAAAGCTGTGTTAACACATCGGTGTAGTCAGGATTGCAAGGGTGCATAGCACCATTATATACAAAGCTGTGTTAACACTTCGGTGTTGTCAGGATTGCAAGGGTGCATAAAACCTTTACATACAAAGCTGTGTTAACACATAGGTGTAGTCAGGATTACAATGGTGCATAAAACCTTTACATACAAAGCTGTGTTAACACATCGGTGTAGTCAGGATTACAATGGTGCATAAAACCTTTACATACAAAGCTGTGTTAACACATAGATGTAGTCAGGATTACAATGGTGCATAAAACCTTTACATACAAAGCTGTGTTAACACATAGGTGTAGTCAGGATTACAATGGTGCATAAAACCTTTACATACAAAGCTGTGTTAACACATCGGTGTAGTCAGGATTGCAAGGGTGCATAGCACCATTATATACAAAGCTGTGTTAACACATCGGTGTAGTCAGGATTGCAAGGGTGCATAACACCTTTACATAGCACGCTATGTTAACACATCGGTGTTGTCAGGATTGCAAGGGTGCATAGCACCATTATATACAAAGCTGTGTTAACACATAGGTGTAGTCAGGATTACAATGGTGCATAAAACCTTTACATACAAAGCTGTGTTATCACATCGGTGTAGTCAGGATTGCAAGGGTGCATAGCACCATTATATACAAAGCTGTGTTAACACATAGGTGTAGTCAGGATTGCAAGGGTGCATAACACCTTTACATAGCACGCTATGTTAACACATCGGTGTAGTCAGGATTGCAAGGGTGCATAAAACCTTTACATAGCAAGCTATGTCAACACATTGGTGTGGATTTGTTGATTCATACGAGAACATAATGTGACCTGGCTACTGAAGCTCACCATACTTTCTTCATTATCAGACTGACACTAGTCAGAATTAATCCAACATCCGATTAACATGAAATCAACATTAACCAACATATATATTATAATGCATTTCTCCCGTAGATCTGGGAGACAGTCATGAAGTCAGGCAAGAAAGCAGCATCCATTTTATGGCCCGGGTCAGATGTCAAAGGTTAGAACAACAAACATTCAATCCTGAAATATGTCATTAATGTAATTCTATCAAATATCTTTCACAGCACTACGTCTCACAGTGTCGTTTATTGACGGTTTACCTCTAATTCTACCAAGACGTCGACACAACCAGATTCACATGCTTAAGATATCGTGTAAAGGAGCTATGTTTTATTGCTGAAGTTTTGTGAAATGTTACTAATGATAAATATTGTGAATGAATGAGTGAGTGAATGTTGTTTTAACCTAAGTTTCATGACGGCCTGTAAATAATTCAACAAGCAATTACTTCAACCTAGCTATCAGGATAGAATCACACTCGGTGACAAACAATGACACACATCAAGCATTATAACCACTCGATCTATATCAATCAGATCCTAACACTTTTATCAAGCAAGTGATCATCACTTGCTTGATAAAGGTGTTAGGACCGACACCGAAACGTCGCACTATTGTAATAAAGAAGTTGTTCATCCATAGAACTTGTCTTACTTCATCACACCAACTCCTAAATGCCACTGAAAGAAATCAAAACGTAATTAATCGCAAGAGTGAAGTATGAAAGATTATGTTAAAGAAATTCTTTCTATGTGTTTGTGCCCAGATGGAAATTGTGACTCATCTCTGATATCAATTACCTTTTAGCACATTCCCCCAACTACTTCAAGAGATACCTGAAAGGGTAGGTACACTGTTCAACTCCCACTTGTATGCACTATGCGTCATATCTCATCAACATGGTATGGATGAAGTGTTAGCAACACTACACGTACATGAATACATGTGATTTTAAATGGATAACAACATTTATCTATTCTTTGTAGGGGCGGTGGCGTAGCCTAGTGGTTGAAGCGCTCGCTTGTCACGCGGAAGACCCGGGTTCGATTCCCCCCATGGGTACAATGTGTGAAGCCAATTGTTGGTGTTCCCCGCCCTCATATTGCTGGAATATTGCTAAAAGCGGCGTAAAACCATACTCACTCACTCACTATTCTTTGTAACGACGTTTTAGAGCTTCTTCTTGTCCCTTCTTCAGGTGAATACTGAGTAAGCACATATGTATGTATATGTAAACTCATTGGCTTCTTCATTATATTGTAATATGTGTAGACATTTAAACATATTTTCGTTTGTAGGGTAAAATATAAATTATACAGCTCATCTTTGGACTTTACTGTTTTATCTGGAGTGAAGCCAATGGCTTTCCCCTTTGTTTCCACTCATTTCAGAACTTTAACACGCTCAACAAACATCACACAGCACGTTCCACATAACATGCATCACGCTTCACGCTTCACATAACATGCATCACACAGCACGTTCCACATAACATGCATCACACAGCACGCTTCACATAACATGCATCACACAGCACGTTCCACATAACATGCATCACACAGCACGCTTCACATAACATGCATCACACAGCACGCTTCACATAACATGCATCACACACCACGTTCCACATAACATGCATCACACAGCACGCTTCACATAACATGCATCACACAGCACGCTTCACATAACATGCATCGCACAGCACGTTCCACATAACATGCATCACACAGCACGCTTCACATAACATGCATCACACAGCACGCTTCACATAACATGCATCACACAGCTCGCTCCACATAACATGCATCACACATACAGCACGCTCCACCTAACATGCAACATACAACACGCTTCACATATCAAGCATTACACAACACACTTAACATGCATCACACAACACGCTTCACGTAACATTCATAAAACAACACGCTTCACATAACATGCATGACACAACACACTTAACATGCATCACACAACACGCGTTACATATCAAGCTTCACACAACACACTTAATAAGCATCACGCTTAAAAAAACGAGCATCACGCAACCCACTTCACATAATAAGCATCACGCAACCTGCTTCACATAACTAGAATAAATAAAATCTCTTCACATAACAAGCATCACGCAACCCGCTTCACATAACAAGCATCACACAACCAGCTTCACATAACAAGCATCATACAACAAGCTTCACATAACAAGCATCATACAACAAGCTTCACATAACAAGCATCACACATCCCGATTCACATAACAAGCATCACACAACCAGCTTCACATAACAAGCATCATACAACAAGCTTCACATAACAAGCATCACACATCCCGCTTCACATAACAAGCATCACACAACCAGCTTCACATAACAAGCATCATACAACAAGCTTCACATAACAAGCATCACACATCCCGCTTCACATAACAAGCATCACACAACCAGCTTCACATAACAAGCATCATACAACAAGCTTCACATAACAAGCATCACACATCCCGCTTCACATAACAAGTATCACATAAGCCGCTTCACATAACAAGCATCATAAAACCAGGTTCACATAACAAACATCACGCAACCCGCTTCACATAACAAAAATTAAGAAAACCTCTTCACATAACATGCCTCACATAACAAGCTTCACGCAACAAGCGTCACAAGGCTAGATTTTGTTGTACATTACTCATTCTACATAATATACACCGTCAGCTCTATCACTCGTTTTACATAATGTACACAATCAGCTCTAATTTATTGTATCATCTCACCAATAATTCAGTTTTTTCTTCGTGTTGATTTTCATAATCTGGCTCATTATAAACAATGTGGATATCGGTTAACGTATTGCATAGGACGAGTCTGACCAAGTAGTAGGTCGGCAGAAGATGAGAGTCTCGGGTGATGCTATAAGGTGTTTTCCCCTACAGCGATGTGGCCTACAGTGACCGGATAGACCAGCTGCTGTACTGGTTGACGCGCCCCGCGGACCGCCGCCCGGCCTTCCTCACCCTCTACTTGGATGAACCCGACCACACCGCGCACGATGACGGGCCAGTCTCGCCCAGGGTCAGACACATTCTTTAAAAGTGCAACACAATCGGCATACGTCCTATCACCCAAAACAAAACCCCACCATTCAGATTACACAGGACCCAATGTTTAAAATGCCTTCAGACCAGATCATTCATACTCTTGCAGAGTCCCTGTGAGACAAAGTGGATATGTGAACAAAACAAGCCTTCAGCCAAAATCTCAAAAACCTTCTTCATGATAACACAAGGGAGTCATTTTGCTGTCACATGCTAAAAATGCTGTAGAGGTCAAGAGTTACGTTCAGCCATGTTCGTATTCTGTGTCAGGTGATGGATAAACTGAACTGTTTCGTGTTGTGTTAGGTAGAGGTCAAGTGTAACGTTCGGCCATGTTCGTATTCTGTGTCAGGTTGAGGTCAAGTGTTACGTTCAGCCATGTTCGTATTCTGTGTCTGGTGATGGATAAACTGAACTGTTTCGTGTTGTGTTAGGTAGAGGTCAAGTGTAACGTTCGGCCATGTCCGTATTCTGTGTCACGTTGGGTTCAAGTGTTACGTTTAGCCATGTTCGTATTCTGTGTCAGGTGATGGATAAACTGAACTGTTTCGTGTTGTGTTAGGTAGAGGTCAAGTGTTACGTTCAGGCATGTTCGTATTCTGTATCACGTAGAGGTTAAAGCTTACGTTTAGTCATGTTCGTATTCTGTGTCACGTAGAAGTCAAGTGTTACGTTCAGCCATGTTCGTATTCTGTATCACGTAGAGGTTAAATGTTACGTTCAGCCATGTTCGTATTCTGTGTCACGTATAGGTCAAGGGTTACATACAACCACGTTCGTATTCTGTGCCACGTATAGGTCAAGGGTTACATACAACCATGTTCGTATTCTGTGCCACGTATAGGTCAAGGGTTACATACAACCACGTTCGTATACTGTGTCACGTATAGGTCAAGGGTTACATACAACCACGTTCGTATTCTGTGTCACGTATAGGTCAAGGGTTATATACAACCATGTTCGTATTCTGTGCCACGTATAGGTCAAGGGTTACATACAACCACGTTCGTATACAGTGTCACGTATAGGTCAAGGGTTACATACAACCACATTCGTATTCTGTGTCACGTATAGGTCAAGGGTTACATACAACCACGTTCGTATACTGTGTCACGTATAGGTCAAGGGTTACATACAACCACGTTCGTATTCTGTGTCACGTATAGGTCAAGGGTTACATACAACCACGTGTGTATTCTGTGTCACGTATAGGTCAAGGGTTACATACAACCACGTTTGTATTCTGTGCCACGTATAGGTCAAGGGTTACATACAACCACGTTCGTATTCTGTGTCACGTATAGGTCAAGGGTTACATACAACCATGTTCGTATTCTGTGCCACGTATAGGTCAAGGGTTACATACAACCACGTTCGTATACTGTGTCACGTATAGGTCAAGGGTTACATACAACCACGTTCGTATTCTGTGCCACGTATAGGTCAAGGTTTACATACAACCACGTTCGTATTCCGTGTCACGTATAGGTCAAGGGTTACATACAACCATGTTCGTATTCTGTGTCAGGTGATGGATAAACTGAAGGAGGTGGACGCCCTGATTGGTCAGCTGATGGATAAGCTGTTCCAGCAGAACCTCCACAACTGTGTCAACATCGTCCTTCTGGCGGACCATGGTAAGGCGACTGTAGTATACCGTCACAGGGAGGGAGGGGCGGACCATAGTAAGACAACTGTAGTATACTGTCACAGGGAGGGAGGGGTGGACCATAGTAAGACGACTGTAGTATACCGTCACAGGGTGGGAGGGGCGGACCATACTGAAACGACTAGTATACCGTCACAGGGAGGGAGGAGCGGACCATACTTTGACGACTGTAGTATACCGTCACAGTGTGGGGTGGACAATACTAAGACGACTATAGTATACCGTCACAGAGAGGGAGGGGCGGACCATAGTAAGACGACTGTAGTATACCGTCACAGGGAGGGACGGGTGGACCATACTAAGACGACTGTAGTATACCGTCACAGGGAGGGAGGGGTGGACCATAGTTAGACGACTGTAGTATACCGTCACAGGGAGGGAGGGGTGGACAATAGTTAGACGACTGTAGTATACCGTCACAGAGTGACAGCGGTGGACCCTACTGAAACGACTGTAGTATACCGTCACAGGGTGACAGCGGTGGACCATACTGAGACGACTGTAGTATACCGTCACAGGGAGGGAGGGGTGGACCATACTAAGACAACTGTAGTATACCGTCACAGGGAGGGAGGGGTGGACCATACTTAGACGACTGTAGTATACCGTCACAGGGAGGGAGGGGTGGACAATAGTTAGACGACTGTAGTATACCGTCACAGAGTGACAGCGGTGGACCCTACTGAAACGACTGTAGTATACAGTCACAGGGTGACAGCGGTGGACCATACTGAGACGACTGTAGTATACCGTCACAGGGAGGGAGGGGTGGACAATACTAAGACGACTGTAGTATACCGTCACAGGGAGGGAGGGGTGGACAATACTAAGACGACTGTAGTATACCGTCACAAGGAGGGAGGGGTGGACCATAGTTAGACGACTGTAGTAAACCGTCACAGGGTGACAGCGGTGGACCATACTGTGACGACTGTAGTATACCGTCACAGTGTGGGGTGGACAATACTAAGACGACTGTAGTATACCGTCACAGTGTGGGTTGGACAATACTAAGACGACTGTAGTATACCGTCACAGGGTGGGGTGGACAATACTAAGACGACTGTAGTATACCGTCACAAGGAGGGAGGGGTGGACCATAGTTAGACGACTGTAGTATACCGTCACAGAGAGACAGCGGTGGACCCTACTGAAACGACTGTAGTATACAGTAACAGGGTGACAGCGGTGGACCCTACTGAAACGACTGTAGTATACCGTCACAGGGAGGGAGGGGTGGACCATAGTAAGACGACTGTAGTATACCGTCACAGGGTGACAGCGGTGGACCATACTGAGACGACTGTAGTATACCACCACAGGGAGGGAGTGGTTGACCATGGTAAGACGGAGACGTAAACATGTTTCATCTATATTGACAAACTATAGTTATATTGACATCTCCCATCTATGGGCTGCCTCTATGGTCTTGTGGTAGAGGCGTCCGCCCGGGGAGCAGATGGTCCGAGGTTCAATGCCCGGCCGCGTCATACCAAAAGACGCTGAAAGATGGTTACCCAAGGACTGGTCGGCTCAGTCCGGACTAGTACAAGCAGCCACACATTACGTTGACATCTTTCATCTATGTTGACAGAATGTAGTTCCATATTTGCATATTGATAGAATGTAAGATACATATTTGCGTATTGACAGAATGTAAGACACATATTTGCATATTTACAGAATGTAAGATACATATTTGCATATTGACAGCCACACACTATGATGACATCTTTCATCTACTAGAATATTGAAAGAATGTAAGATACATACAACGTGTGCATATGGTTCAGCATTGTGCGCTTCTGACATACAGCTTACATTATGTGAGGGTCACCGTTGCGTGTGCCTGTTTGCAGGTATGACCAGTAAGTGTGAGGGTCACCGTTGCGTGTGCCTGTTTGCAGGTATGACCAGTAAGTTTGAGGGTCATTGTTGCGTGTGCCTGTTTGCAGGTATGACCAGTAAGAGCTGTTCGCGGATGGTGAGCCTGAAGTCGTATTTCACACGATCCCAACTGAGAAAGCTGTTTGTGTATGATGGAGCAGCAGGCCGGATCAGCAACATGTACACCTACGGCAGCTCCAACAACGTCCCCCTCCAGACGCCGCAAGGTAGCAGGAGCATTCTCGACATTCGTAACAGCACAACAGCTCAGTGTATCATCTGTCATGTACATAAATGGCGATAACTTATACAATGTAAACATAACAGAATAGATCACGTGTCATACTTCCTATATGTAGTTGCGCAATGAAACTAGTCATACTAATGATGTGTATTCTACATTTAAACAGATGCAAAACGTAATTGTTGTCATTTGCGTCCTAGTGAGCAAGGACACCATTCTGGAGAACCTGCAATGTAGAAATTCCCACCTCCGTGTGTACGACAAGAACCAATTTCCTGTTCGCCATCACTACGTCAACAACCGTCGCATTGATAGTGTCATCCTCGACTTGGATGAACGATGGATTGTTTCAAGGTTACGATTTTAGATGTCTTTTCGTCATCACTGTTGTCTCTCGATGACCTCATTGTCACCTCTGGTGTATCTCGATGACCTCATCATCACATCTGTTTATCTTGACGACCTCATCGCCACATCTGTTTATCTCGATGACGTCATCGCCACATCTGTTTATCTCGATGACCTCATCGTCATATCTGTTTATCTCGATGACCTCATCGTCACATCTGTTTATCTTGATGACCTCATCGTCACATCTGTTGATCTCGATGACCTCCTCGTCACCTCTGTTTATCTTGAAGACCTCATCGCCACATCGGTTTAACTCGATGACCTCATCGTCATATCTGTTGTATCTCGATGACCTCGTCGTCACCTCTGTTTATCTTGACGACCTCATCGTCATATCTGTTTAACTCTATGACCTCATCGTCATATCTGTTGTATCTCGATGACCTCGTCGTCACCTCTGTTTATCTTGACGACCTCATCGTCATATCTGTTGTATCTCGATGACCTCGTCGTCACCTCTGTTTATCTTGACGACCTCATCGTCACCTCTGTTTATCTCTATGACCTCATCGTCACCTCTGGTATATCTTGATGACCTCGTCGTCACCTGTTTATCTTGATGACCTCATCGTCACATCTGTTGTATCTCTATGACCTCATCGTCACCTCTGGTATATCTTGATGACCTCGTCGTCACCTGTTTATCTTGATGACCTCATCGTCACATCTGTTGTATCTCGATGACCTCATTATTTCATTCTCATTCAGATGCTCTCTCCGCCATCTATCTTTTATCTGAGTATACTCTCTTCAGTTTATTCATAAAGTGCATCTTCTTTTGTCACAGAACCGGGTCCTTCAGCAGCTACTGCATGGGCGGTGACCACGGCTACGACAATCTCTACAAGAGCATGGGGGTAAATATTTATCAAGCTTTAAGATAGAGGGAGTGAGTGAGTGAGTATGGTTTTACGCTGCTTTCAGCAATATTCTATCAATATCACGGTGCGGGACACCAGAAATGGGCTTCACACATTGTACCAATGTGGGGAGTCGAACCCGGGACTTCGATGTGACGAACGAACGCTTTAACCACCAGACTACCTCACCGCCCCCTTTATCATAGAACATTGTGTTCAAATACAATATGGAAGTTGATCTTCTGTGCTCGATATACCGTACGATGTAACAATCATACAATCATATATTATCAAAGTCACGAAAGCCATCCTTCTCTATATGACAGATTTACAATGTTACAATGAACTCGTCCTTCATTCCCAGGCCCTGTTCCTGGCCCATGGCCCTGCCTTCAAGCAACAGTTCTCGGCGGACACATTTGAAAATATAGAAGTTTACAACTTGATGACAAGTAAGCTGTGATATTTACGTCTTTGGTAGAGAAAGGGTGAAGAGTGTGCAACTTGGGGACAAGTAAGATGTGATATTTACGTCTTTGGTAGAGGGTGGGTGAAGAGTGTGCAACTTGAGGACAAGTAAGATATGATATTTACGTGTTTGGTAGAGGAAGGGTGAAGAGTGTGCAACTTGAGGACAATTAAGATATGATATTTACGTCTTTGGTAGAGGAAGGGTCAAGAGTGTGCAACTTGAGGACAAGTAAGATATGATATTTACGTGTTTGGTAGAGGGAGGGTCAAGAGTGTACAACTTGAGGACAAGTAAGGTGTGATATTTACGTGTTTGGTAGAGGGAGGGTGAAGAGTGTGCAACTTGAGGACAAGTAAGATGTGATATTTACATCTTTGGTAGAGGGAGGGTGAAGAGTGTGCAACTTGTGGACAAGTAAGATATGATATTTACGTCTTTGGTTGAGGAAGGGTCAAGAGTGTAAAACTTGAGGACAGGTAAGATGTGATATTTACATCTTTGTTTGAGTTAGGGTGAAGAGTGTGCAACTTGAGGACAATTAAGATGTAATATTTACATCTTTGGTTGAGGAAGGGTCAAGAGTGTACAACTTGAGGACAGGTAAGGTGTGATATTATATCTTTGTTTGAGTTAGGGTGAAGAGTTTGCAACTTGAGGACAATTAAGATGTGATATTTACGTGTTTGGGTGAGGAAGGGTCAAGAGTGTGCAACTTGAGGACAAGTAAGCTGTGATATTTACGTGTTTGGTAGAGGGAGGGTGAAGAGTGTGCAACTTGAGGACAAGTGAGATGTGATATTTACGTGTTTGGTAGCGGGAGGGTGAAGAGTGTGCAACTTGAGGACAATTAAGATGTGATATTTACGTGTTTGGTAGAGGGAGGGTGAAGAGTGTGCAACTTGAGGACAATTAAAATATGATATTTACGTGTTTGGTAGAGGGAGGGTGAAGAGTGTGCAACTTGAGGACAAGTAAGATGTGATATTTACGTGTTTGGTGGAGGGAGGGTGAAGAGTGTGCAACTTGAGGACAAGTAAGATATGATATTTACGTCTTTGGTTGAGGAAGGGTCAAGAGTGTACAACTTGAGGACAGGTAAGATGTGATTTTTACATCTTTGTTTGAGTTAGGGTGAAGAGTGTGCAACTTGAGGACAATTGAGATGTGATATTTACGTCTTTGGTTGAGGAAGGGTCAAGAGTGTACAACTTGAGGACAGGTAAGGTGTGATATTATATCTTTGTTTGAGGAAGGGTCAAGAGTGTGCAGTCTGAGGACAAGTAAGCTGTGATATTTACGTCTTTGGTGGAGGGATGGTGAAGAATGTGCAACCTGAGGACAGTTAAGCTATGATATTTACATCTTTGGTTGAGGAAGGGTGAAGATGTCAATTAAGATGTGATATTAACGTCTTTGTTGGAGGGAGGGTCAAGCGTGTGCAACTTGAGGACAAGTAAGCTGTGATATTTACGTCTCTGGTTGAGGAAGGGTGAAGAGTGTGCAACTTGAGGACAATTAAGATGTGATATTTACGTCTTTGGTTGAGGAAGGGTCAAGAGTGTACAACTTGAGGACAAGTGAGATGTGATATTTACATCTTTGGTTGAGGAAGGGTGAAGAGTGTGCAACTTGAGGACAATTAAGATGTAATATTTACATCTTTGGTTGAGGAAGGGTCAAGAGTGTACAACTTGAGGACAGGTAAGGTGTGATATTTACATCTTTGTTTGAGTTAGGGTGAAGAGTGTGCAACTTGAGGACAATTAAGATGTGATATTTACGTGTTTGGGTGAGGAAGGGTCAAGAGTGTACAACTTGAGGACAAGTAAGATGTGATATTTACATCTTTGTTTGAGTTAGGGTGAAGAGTGTGCAACTTGAGGACAATTAAGATGTGATATTTACGTCTCTGGTTGAGGAAGGGTCAAGAGTGTACAACTTGAGGACAGGTAAGGTGTGATATTATATCTTTGTTTGAGGAAGGGTCAAGAGTGTGCAGTCTGAGGACAAGTAAGCTGTGATATTTACGTCTTTGGTGGAGGGATGGTGAAGAATGTGCAACCTGAGGACAGTTAAGCTATGATATTTACATCTTTGGTTGAGGAAGGGTGAAGATGTCAATTAAGATGTGATATTAACGTCTTTGTTGGAGGGAGGGTCAAGCGTGTGCAACTTGAGGACAAGTAAGCTGTGATATTTACGTCTCTGGTTGAGGAAGGGTGAAGAGTGTGCAACTTGAGGACAATTAAGATGTGATATTTACGTCTTTGGTTGAGGAAGGGTCAAGAGTGTACAACTTGAGGACAAGTGAGATGTGATATTTACATCTTTGGTTGAGGAAGGGTGAAGAGTGTGCAACTTGGTGACAAGTAAGCTGTCCTATAGGTCGATGTTTGTCGCTCAAGATTACCTGGTGGAATCATCAAATGCATACCTAGTTATCAGTGTATGTGATGTGTTGTCAAGCGCCAGTGGCCAGTTTTGTCCATGTCAGCGTTCGATGATCGTGGGTTCGAATCTCGTTGACGCCCAGATATTAATTCCTTAGTATGTCAGCACATTCCAGTGGATTTCTTCAAAGTGATACACGTCTGCGTTTTTGGCATTTTTCTTGTTCAAACATTGCTATTGTGTCATATTTCAAAGAAAGCAATAATGCAATCGATAATCGTACCATTGAGTATGAGTTGGACTTTGCAACTGCTACTTTAAATCCACCCTTACCCCCTATATGTCTTTATTTCGGGATGTTTAACGCGATACTTACACGTTCTCGCTTGCCGAAGAATCGACGCGGTGAGGACGTCACATACATATTCGCACTGGATAAAGCTATCATTTAGTCCGCCGAAATGTTAAATTAACATTTCAGGAATAGCACAATATGGAATTAAACCAAGGCGTCCTAGAGCAAAAACTCTGTCTACTTGGCTACCAAACGTCCTCATCAAAATCTTAGTGAATGACTTTGACTTGTACCATATGGTCCCGCGTTGCTTCAGGTGAACAACTGACTTGCCTGTGCATGTGTTTGTGGAGGGTACCGCGGGCCAGGATACACTTCTTAGTGAACACTTGGTGTCATCTCTATTTGATAGTGATTCATAAACACATGCTCGTGATATAGTCGAAATACGTATACCATATTATGAGTAGGCTTTAAAATCTGGAGTAGAGAATACTCTATCTGACGGTGTAGGTATAATGTGCCTGCGCTAGGCAGCTATTCCTGCAGTAGTCTACTATATCTGGGTAGGTATACTCAATCAGTTGGTACGAATACTACATCTTCAGTAGGCTACTACATCTGCAGTAGGCTTTATGTCTGCAGTGGGCTATTATATCTACATTAGCTACTACATCAGCAGTAGGCTATTATATCTGCAGTAGGCTACTATATCAGCAGTAGGCTATTATATCTGCAGTAGGCTACTATATCTGCAGTAGGCTATTATATCTGCAGTAGGATACTATATTATGCAGTAGGCTACGATATCAAGATTGTTTACTCCTTTGTTCTGTTTTGTAAAGTTTGTTTTGTTTTGTCAGGTGTACTTGGTGTCACCCCTGCGCCAAATAACGGCACCCCCGGGGCGCTGAACCATATGCTGAAGGACCCCCCTGCATCTCTGGAAGCTGACCCACCACCACCGGCATACAGGAACTGTTCTGATACACAACAAACATACACAGAACTGTTGCAAGGCACCTGTAACTGCAGCCTCACTGAACAACAGGTACATGTTTAAATTAAGTTTAGTGCGCGTACGACTATCCATAATGTTTTCTCTGTCGAATGTCTTTAAACAGGCCAGTCTCCGTTCCTGAAGCAGGGAGCTGGCAGCAATGCCGTGTCTACCATTAGGTCTCCGATCTGCACTTGGCAAGGAGATAAGACACAAGTAAGGTCGCGACTGGCCGGGAACCGCCCTCTTCTCGTTCTTCTAAAAACTGTTCTATTCCTTAATTTCTCAAACAACCAAGTTTGTCATGTTCAGATTTTTACAAAGGCTGACAACTCTAAACTACTCGCTGTCAACGTCTGCCGCTACCATCTGGCCACGACAGCTCTCGACATTTTACCTGCGCTTCAATCATTTGCTGCCACTGAAAATCACTACTAATATAAAATCTCTACTGCCACATAACACTGAAATTCTTGGGTATTCAGGCTGCCGACATCTCTACACTGAACACCCCCGCCGTCTCCCCCGCCATCATCCCCGCCGTCACCCCCGCCATCACCTCCGCCGCCTGTCTGCTGCACCATGGAGACAACATCGCCGCCTACAGCCACGACCTGCATTTGCCTCTGTGGGTCGCAGTCACTGTCAAGCAAGAAAATGTATGTTTTGCTTTAAAATATATAATCTTTCATTCTATTTTCTCGCAAATTTTCTCCCACGAGTTTTTCTAAATAGAATGCACAACCATACCATATCTTGATCTTTAGCTCAGAGAAACAAAGACGTTTGTATGTGTCAAATCATCCTATTCCATCGTCAACAAGTGTCTCCCTCGGTTATCTTGGGTCAAGAGGTGATGCACACGTCATCCAGTGTGGTCCCTCGCACGTTGATCGTTACAATATTTTTAGTTTGTTTCCTTCCCGATAAAAGAAAATACATTTTCAATGAAACCCGGTGAAGCTTTGATCGTACCCTGATCACATACTATAGGTAAGCTACAGTACTCGATTGATCTCTTCTGCTCCAGGCAAACTCCACGCATTACTCCCAGGAGCCCGTCTGTGTAGTGGCCGACCCTATGCTGGACGTCAGTGAGAAACGCGTGTACACCAGATACCAACATGGCGCAATCACTGCAGGGAGTCTTGTACCAGGTGAAAGAAGACACGATTTATGTAAAACAAGGTCTTGCACTATTATAGAGACGTTTTGGTATAGATCCTTAGGGGTCTCCTCACTTTGCCACCACCTGTTGTTTGGAATAAGTGACGCAGTCATGTGTGTTGATTGGAAGAACAATAAGAGTCACTAGGGCTCATCTCAACATTTTATAGCACATTGGAAGATAACTACAAATGTTATACTGCATGTTATACAGATTATTTTAAGAATTCATACATTCATACATTGCACAGCAATTAATCTGATGTGTCTATACGTCATAATCTATTATTAATACATGCATTAATACATACACTACACAGCACATTCCCATTCCTTGTGATAACACCACCACTGTTAATCCCCACCAGCCTGGTGGCTAAGTGAGGATAAGCTAAAAATACTGGACAACCAGAAGACAGACCAAATACAGATGCAGGGCAGATGCAGGGCAGATCGAGGACAGACAGAAAGGAGACATACAGGCCACAGGCTGGGACAGACAGGGTGTAATAACACCTGGTTTCACTGATCCATTCACACAATTTACATCACTACCGTGTCTGTTATTCCCTGTGTAATCTATTTCGGCATACATTCGCGACTGGAGACTCCTTGTAATTGGCGTTTTGGACGCACGTTGTATCTGCATAGAGAGTGGCGACTTTGTAATGTTGATAGTGAGCTGATCTGTTGAATTTCCAGGAAGTGATGCCAGCTGCAGCTCAGCCCAGCTCTCCTCCGTGGTGGTGCCCATGTACGACACCTTCCGCACAGGTATTGTGTTCTAATCAGCACAGGTATTGTGTTGTAATCAGCACAGGTAATGTGTTGTAATCAGCACAGGTATTGTGTTGTAATCAGCACAGGTAATGTGTTGTAATCAGCACAGGTATTGTGTTTTAAAAGCACATGTTATATGTTGTAAAAGCACATGTTATATGATGTAAAAGCACAGGTATTGTGTTGTAAAAGCGCATGTAATATGTTGTAAAAGCACAGGTATTGTGTTTTAAAAGCACAGGTGTTGTGTTGTAGGCAGGATAATAGAGATACCAAGACGTTTTACATTGTTTATTGATTTTTAGGGTTTGTACGAACTTTTTTCTGTATTAAGATTTCTTAGCTTGATCCAGTGTTACGTGAGTGTGCATGGGGTGTGACATCTGTGTGCAGGAATCTGACGGTACATGTGTGACAGTGTGACATCTGTGTGCAGGAATCTGGCGGTACATGTGTGACAGTGTGACATCTGTGTGCAGGAATCTGGCGGTATATGTGTGACAGTGTGACATCTGTGTGCAGGAATCTGGCGGTATATGTGTGACAGTGTGACATCTGTGTGCAGGAATCTGGCGGTACATGTGTGACAGTGTGACATCTGTGTGCAGGAATCTGGCGGTACATGTGTGACAGTGTGACATCTGTGTGCAGGAATCAGGCGGTACATGTGTGACAGTGTGACATCTGTGTGCAGGAATCTGGCGGTATATGTGTGACAGTGTGACATCTGTGTGCAGGAATCTGGCGGTACATGTGTGACAGTGTGACATCTGTGTGCAGGAATCTGGCGGTACATGTGTGACAGTGTGACATCTGTGTGCAGGAATCAGGCGGTACATGTGTGACAGTGTGACATCTGTGTGCAGGAATCTGGCGGTACATGTGTGACAGTGTGACATCTGTGTGCAGGAATCTGGCGGTACATGTGTGATAGTGTGACATCTATGTACAGGAATCTGACGGTACATGTGTGACAGTGTGACATCAGTGTGCAGGAATCAGGCGGTACATGTGTGACAGTGTGACATCTGTGTGCAGGAATCTGGCGGTACATGTGTGATAGTGTGACATCTGTGTGCAGGAATCTTGCGGTACATGTGTGACAGTGTGACATCTGTGTGCAGGAATCTGGCAGTACATGTGTGACAGTGTGACATCTGTGTGCAGGAATCTGGCGGTACATGTGTGATAGTGTGACATCTGTGTGCAGGAATCTGACGGTACATGTGTGATAGTGTGACATCTGTGTGCAGGAATCTGGCGGTACATGTGTGACAGTGTGACATCTGTGTGCAGGAATCTGGCGGTACATGTGTGACAGTGTGACATCTGTGTGCAGGAATCTGGCGGTACATGTGTGACAGTGTGACATCTACGTACAGGAATCTGGCGGTACATGTGTGATAGTGTGACATCTGTGTGCAGGAATCTGGCGGTACATGTGTGACAGTGTGACATCTATGTACAGGAATCTGGCGGTACATGTGTGATAGTGTGACATCTGTGTGCAGGAATCTGGCGGTACATGTGTGATAGTGTGACATCTATGTATAGGAATCTGGCGGTACATGTGTGACAGTGTGACATCTGTGTGCAGGAATCTGGCGGTATATGCCTGACAGTGTGACATCTGTGTACAGGAATGTGGCGGTACATGTGTGATAGTGTGACATCTGTGTGCAGGAATCTGGCGGTATATGCCTGACAGTGTAACATCTATGTACAGGAATGTGGCGGTACATGTGTGACAGTGTGACATCTGTGTGCAGAAATCTGGCGGTACATGTGTGATAGTGTGACGTCTATGTGCAGGAATCTGGCGGTACATGTGTGACAGTGTGACGTCTATGTGCAGGAATGTGGCGGTACATGTGTGACAGTGTGACGTCTATGTGCAGGAATCTGGCGGTACATGTGTGACAGTGTGACGTCTATGTGCAGGAATGTGGCGGTACATGTGTGACAGTGTGACATCTATGTACAGGAATCTGGAGGTACATGTGTGACAGTGTGACATCTGTGTGCAGGAATCTGGCGGTACATGTGTGATAGTGTGACGTCTATGTGCAGGAATGTGGCGGTACATGTGTGACAGTGTGACATCTGTGTGCAGGAATCTGGCGGTACATGTTTGATAGTGTGACGTCTATGTGCAGGAATGTGGCGGTACATGTGTGACAGTGTGACGTCTATGTGCAGGAATGTGGCGGTACATGTGTGACAGTGTGACATCTGTGTGCAGGAATCTGACGGTACATGTGTGACAGTGTGACATCTGTGTGCAGGAATCTGGCGGTACATGTGTGATAGTGTGACATCTGTGTGCAGGAATCTGGCGGTACATGTGTGATAGTGTGACATCTGTGTGCAGGAATCTGGCGGTACATGTGTGATAGTGTGACATCTGTGTGCAGGAATCTGGCGGTACATGTGTGACAGTGTGACATCTATGTACAGGAATCTGGCGGTACATGTGTGATAGTGTGACATCTGTGTGCAGGAATCTGACGGTACATGTGTGACAGTGTGACATCTGTGTGCAGGAATCTGGCGGTACATGTGTGACAGTGTGACATCTGTGTGCAGGAATCTGGCGGTACATGTGTGACAGTGTGACATCTGTGTGCAGGAATCTGGCGGTACATGTGTGACAGTGTGACGTCTATGTGCAGGAATCTGGAGGTACATGTGGCAGTTGGTGACTACTTACGCTGGCCAGTATGGTGACCTCGGGGTGACGGTGGGGCCGGTGTTTGACGGCAACAGTGACGGCAGATACGACGGTCATGATGGTCTCTCAAGGTACCTGAAGAGAGCATGTTTTATGTTTCTAATGAGAGATCAGTACCTATGTTGCTTTTTATTTTCAAGACAGTAACGCGAAACCCACTCGCTGCAAACAAAACCTGAAAAAGATCAATTTTATCCTAAACTTAATATCCATTTTACTTGGATATGGACTTTTTGTTATTAATATGTACGTGTATTTAAGTGGGAAACTAGAATATAGTTCCCTGCACCCTTTTCCCCTAGCTGTGTTTTAACGTTGAAAGTTACATGCTGAGATACATAAAAACATTGTATTTGTATTTCCAGATATGTCGATGACATTGAAACAGTTCCCTTCCCAACTCACTTCTTTGTGGTGATTGTGCGATGTGGGAATGACAGTTCTCTCCCTTGCACAGACCAGCTGCAGCTGCTTTCATTCATTCTCCCACATGTGAAGGAATCGCCCAATTGTTTAGTGAGGACAACTTGTATCTTAAATGAAATGAAAACTGTCATATATTTCTGCTTCTGCCACAACACCTAGAACTCATCTGGGATGTTGGACCAGATAAACCCAATAGTAAGCTGTGAGACAAGCTAGTTATTGACGACCTCCATGTGAGACACGCTAGTTACTGACGACCTCCCTGTGAGACACGCTAGTTACTGACGACCTCCCTGTAAGACACGGTGGTTACTGACGACCTCCCTGTGAGACAAGCTAGTTACTGACGACCACCCCGTGAGACACGCTAGTTACTGACGACCTCCCTGTGAGACAAGCTAGTTACTGACGACCACCCCGTGAGACACGCTAGTTACTGACGACCTCCCTGTGAGACAAGCTAGTTACTGACGACCTCTATGTGAGACACGCTAGTTACTGACGACCTCCCTGTGAGACACGCTAGTTACTGACGACCTCCATGTGATACACGCTAGTTACTGACGACCTCCCCGTGATACACGCTAGTTACTGACGACCTCCCCGTGAGACACGCTAGTTACTGACGACCTCCCTGTGAGACAAGCTAGTTACTGACGACCTCCATGTGAGACAAGCTAGTTACTGACGACCTCCCTGTGAGACACGCTAGTTACTGACGACCTCCATGTGATACATGCTAGTTACTGACGACCTCCCTGTGAGACACGGTAGTTACTGACGACCTCCATGTGAGACACGCTAGTTACTGACGACCTCCCTGTGAGACAAGCTAGTTACTGACGACCTCCATGTGATACACGCTAGTTCCTGACGACCTCCCTGTGAGACACGCTAGTTACTGACGACCTCCCTGTGAGACACGGTAGTTACTGACGACCTCCCTGTGAGACAAGCTAGTTACTGACGACCACCCCTGTGAGACACGCTAGTTACTGACGACCTCCCTGTGAGACAAGCTAGTTACTGACGACCACCCCGTGAGACACGCTAGTTACTGACGACCTCCCTGTGAGACAAGCTAGTTACTGACGACCTCTATGTGAGACAAGCTAGTTACTGACGACCTCCATGTGATACACGCTAGTTACTGACGACCTCCCTGTGATACACGCTAGTTACTGACGACCTCCCCGTGAGACACGCTAGTTACTGACGACCCCCCTGTAAGACAAGCTAGTTACTGACGACCTCCATGTGAGACAAGCTAGTTACTGACGACCTCCCTGTGAGACACGCTAGTTACTGACGACCTCCATGTGATACACGCTAGTTACTGACGACCTCCCTGTGAGACACGGTAGTTACTGACGACCTCCCTGTGAGACACGCTAGTTACTGACGACCTCCCTGTGAGACAAGCTAGTTACTGACGACCTCCATGTGATACACGCTAGTTCCTGACGACCTCCCTGTGAGACACGCTAGTTACTGACGACCTCCCTGTGAGAAAAGCTAGTTACTGACGACCTCCCTGTGAGACAAGCCAGTTACTGACGACCTCCATGTGAGACACGCTAGTTACTGACGACCTCCATGTGAGACATGCTAGTTACTGACGACCTCCCCGTGAGACAAGCTAGTTATTGACGACCTCCATGTGAGACACGCTAGTTACTGACGACCTCCCTGTGAGACAAGCTAGTTATTGACGACCTCCATGTGAGACACGCTAGTTACTGACGACCTCCCCTTGAGACATGCTAGTTACTGACGACCTCCATGTGAGACAAGCTAGTTACTGACGACCTCCATGTGAGACAAGCTAGTTATTGACGACCTCCATGTGAGACAAGCTAGTTACTGACCACCTCCCTGTGAGACATGCTAGTTAATGACGACCTCCCCGTGAGACACGCTAGTTACTGACGACCTCCCCGTGAGACATGCTAGTTACTGACGACGTCCCTGTGAAACACGCTAGTTACTGACCACCTCCCTATGAGACACGCTAGTTACTGACCACCTCCCTGTAAGACACGCTAGTTACTGACGACCTCCCTGTGAGACACGCTAGTTACTGACAACCTCCCTGTAAGACACGCTAGTTACTGACGAACTCCCTGTTAGACACGCTAGTTACTTACAACCTGCCTGTGACACAAGCTAATTACTGAGGATCCCATGTGATACACGCTAGTTACTGACCACCTCCATTTACAGGAGAACCATATGCAACTTCTGGAGAACACGGCCAGGGTCAAGGACATTGAGCTGATAACTGGTTTCCAGTTCTTCACAGATGTTGACAGAAACAAGGCGGCCCGACTCGCCACCTTCCTGCCAGATGCATTATGGGATGCTCCTGGGATATCTGAACCAGAACCGACTGTTGAGTGGAAGAACCTGCCCTGCCCGGGGGAAGGGAACAATACGTGCAGTTCAGAGTAAGCTTCCCTCACCTCTTTTTTGACACTCCTGTATTGTGATAGAAGACAATGGACTCACCAAACCAATATGTGTTCTTTTTTATCAGCTATAAACCCTTGCTACTGATCTCCTTTGATGGCTTCCGTGCCGACTACCTGTCTCGTGGCCTCACTCCAGTACTGCAGCGTCTGGTGGAATGTGGAAGCCACTCACCCTACATGAGGCCATCCTACCCAAGCAAGACCTTCCCGAACCAGTACACTCTAGTCACAGTATGTGATCACAGCCCACAGGACACTATACTCACAGCCTGTCCCCTACCAGTACACTATAACCCCATCAATACACTTTACCCCTACAGTACACTTTAACCCTACCAATGCACTTTACCCCTACAGTACACTATAACCCTATCAATACACTTTACCCCTACAGTACACTATAACACTATCAATACAATTTACCCCTACAGTACACTATATCCCTATCAATACACTTTATCCTACAGTACACTATAACCCTATCAATACACTTTACCCCTACAGTACACTATATCCCTATCAATACACTTTACCCCTACAGTACACTATATCCCAATCAATACACTTTTCCCCTACAGTACACTATAACCCTATCAATACACTTTACCCCTACAGTACACTATAACCCTATCAATACACTTTACCCTTACAGCACACTATAACCCTATCAATACACTTTACCCCTTCCCCTACCAGTACACTACAAGAGATAAAACAGACATAGAGAATCTCACCCACGTGTCTTTTGATATCAAATATATCAACACGAGTTGATAAAAGTGGAAAAATTCCGAGGCTTGCCGAGGAGTTTTTCAACTTTTATCAACGAGTGTACACAATATTCCTACCAGGACACTATAACCCTACCAGTACATTACAACACAGACAGTACACTATATCCCTACCAGTACACTATAATACAGACAGTACACAATAACCCTACCAGTACACTATAACACAGACAGTACACTATAACCCTACCAGTACATTACAACACAGAGAGTACACTATATCCCTACCAGTACACTATAATACAGACAGTACACAATAACCCTACCAGTACACTATAACACAGACAGTACACTATAACCCTACCAGTACATTACAACACAGAGAGTACACTATATCCCTACCAGTACACTATAATACAGACAGTACACTATAACCCTACCAGTACACTATAATACAGACGGTACAATATAACCCTACCAGTACACTACAACACAGAGAGTACACTATAACCCTACCAGTACACTATAACACAGAGAGTACACTATACCCCTACCAGTACATAACAGCACAGACAGAACACCATATCCCTACCAGTACACTATAATACAGACAGTACACTATAACCCTACCGGTACACTATAATACAGACAGTACACTATATCCCTACCAGTACATTATAATACAGACAGTACACTATAACCCTACCAGTACACTATAATACAGACAGTACACTATAACCCTACCAGTACACTATAACACAGAGAGTACACTATACCCCTACCAGTACATTACAACACAGACAGTACACTATACACCTACCAGTACACTATAACCCTACCAGTACATTACAACACAGACAGTACACTATATCCCTACCAGTACACTATAATACAGACAGTACACAATAACCCTACCAGTACACTATAACACAGACAGTACACTATAACCCTACCAGTACATTACAACACAGAGAGTACACTATATCCCTACCAGTACACTATAATACAGACAGTACACTATAACCCTACCAGTACACTATAATACAGACAGTACACTATAACCCTACCAGTACACTACAACACAGAGAGTACACTATAACCCTACCAGTACACTATAACACAGAGAGTACACTATACCCCTACCAGTACATAACAGCACAGACAGTACACCATATCCCTACCAGTACACTATAATACAGACAGTACACTATAACCCTACCAGTACACTATAATACAGACAGTACACTATATCCCTACCAGTACATTATAATACAGACAGTACACTATAACCCTACAAGTACACTATTATACAGACAGTACACTATAACCCTACCAGTACACTATAACACAGAGAGTACACTATACCCCTACCAGTACATTACAACACAGACAGTACACTATACACCTACCAGTACACTATAACCCTACCAGTACACTAGAACACAGACAGTACACTATAACCCTACCAGTACACTATAACACAGAGAGTACACTATACCCCTACCAGTACACTACAACACAGACAGTGTACTATAACCCTACCAGTACACTATAACACAGACAGTACACTATACCCCTACCAGTACACTACAACACAGACAGTACACTATAACCCTACCAGTACACAAAACCCAACCAGTACATGACAACACAGACAGTACACTTTAACACCGACCAGTACGCTACAACACAGACAGTACACTATTACACCGACCAGAACACTATAACACAGACAGTACACAATAACACCGACCAGTACACTACAGCACAGACAGTACACAATAACACCGATCAGTACAATACAACACTGACAGTACACTATATTATAGCTAAAATGGATAGAATTATCATTAAACCGCCCGCATGTTACCAGAAATGAGGCGGGCCACTGTAACTTGATAATGCCCTCATATTGCTTGACGATGGGCCATTATCACGCCCGTTGTTAGGTAACGTCATAGGGATAGGAAAAGGTGACATCACGTTTAATAGTGACGTCATCTGGTTTGTTCTATGACGTTTCCATATTGGTAAAAGTGGGTCAGTGTAATTCGTGTTGATTGCACTAAATGTTTTAAAACCGATATTGTTTATTTTTATTTTATAACAAATTCTATCCATTTAGCTATAATAACGGTAAAGCTATTTTTCAGGGCATTATCATTTGCAGAAGCCCTCAGTCTTTTCAACTGCCCTCCTTCGTCGGACAGTTAATGGAATACATCGGTCTTCTGCAAATGATAATGCCCTGAAAAATAGCGTTACCTTTATAACACCGACCGGTACATTACAACACAGACAGTTACTATAAAACCGACCAGTACACCACAGCACAGACAGTACACTACAACACAGACAGTACACTACAACACAGACAGTACGCGTTATCATCATTGTCTTCTTCTCCACACAGGGTCTGTACCCGGAGTCGCACGGCATCGTGGACAACACCATGTACGACTTTGACATGGGGAAGAAATTTGCCATGGGAGGAGAACACTCCTCTGACCCAGGCTGGTGGCGTGGGGAGCCGGTAAGTCTACCGTCCATCAATGAAGGAGTGGGGTAGGTGCCGGCAAGTCTACTGTCCATGAATGTAGGAGTGGGGTGGGAGCCGGCAAGTCTACTGTCCATGAATGTAGGAGTGGGGTGGGAGCCGGCAAGTCTACCGTCCATCAATGAAGGAGTGGGGTAGGTGCCGGCAAGTCTACTGTCCATGAATGTAGGAGTGGGGTGGGTGCCGGCAAGTCTACTGTCCATCAGTGAAGGAGAGGGATGGGTGCCGGCAAGTCTACTGTCCATTAATGTAAGAGCGGGGTGGGTGCCGGCAAGTCTACTGTCCATTAATGTAAGAGCGGGGTGGGTGCCGGCAAGTCTACTGTCCATTAATGTAAGAGCGGGGTGGGTGCCGGCAAGTCTACTGTCCATGAATGTAGGAGAGGGATGGCAGCTGGGAAGTCTCCGGTGATTGCGGAGACAAACAATCTTTGAAAAAAGAAGCGCACGGGTAGATTTTAAGTAAATTTATTGTACCTCATAAAGGCGATATATTTAATTCAATATCATAGATACAAATGTGAAATTTTGGAGCTCGATAGTCACATGTTGTTGTACAACGGCATTGAAAACAATTCATTGTCATGTCACCTAAGGCCACAAGGTTGCACTGAATTTAGTATCTCGTGTGACCGCTCCGGGCAGCAATCACGGCTCTGCATCTCCTCGGCACTGACTGGATAAGTGTACAAATTCTGTACTGCGGAATTCTGCTCCATTCTGCTTGTAACGCGTTGGCCAGTTGTGGGGGGGTCTGTGGGAGTGTGCTGATGTTGACGTACATGTCGATCGAGTTCATTCCAGAAGTGTTCGATTGGGTTGAGATCTGGAGATCTCGACGGCCAGGGCAAGGCGTTGATGTTGGCCTTAGGGAGGTAGATTCTCCTCTTAGGATACTTCCTATGGCGATGTTCGGATCGGCAGCGCTGAGTCTCGGCATTTTCGAACTTGAAAGATGTTGACAATTTAATGACAAATTATTGGCTTATGCTTGCCTTTTTATAGCCACTACCACGAGTTACGAATGTCATAACATGCACGTGCATTTTGCTTTACTGTTTTGCTCCATGACATTTTGTGTGAAAACAATACCGTTTAAGACATTGCAAATCGACAGTGGCTGGATTTTGACGCACTGTTTGTCGAATATCAGGCAACCAACATTTTCCAAAAACATATATCCCTTTTTATGCCGGATTTTTTTGTGTAGTCAGGTTCAAAGAACATACATTGATGTTGCCACTCCAATCTTCATTCCCCACATTACACGTATATACCAGGCAATCTAGGCCATTTTTTTCACCCAATTAAGAGATAAATATTGATATTTAGTGGTTTTATTGGATTTATGCAAACGATTGAGTATTCTACATGCATCCTTGGGTCTGTTTACCCCAATGTAGAAGTTCAGTTCACTCAAATATGTCATCAGAGACCAATAGTGGATTGATATTCTGCCTAGCCATCAATCTATTCAAATTGGTCGCCATCTTGATTTTTTGCAGATTTGTCAATAGTCGAAAACGTTCAGTAGTTATGAATATCACATGCACATGCTTTTTTTCATCAAAACATTGAACCTCATCTGAAATATGGAAGATATATTGATAATTGGTTGCCATATTGGATTATGCAAATTAGACATATTTCCTAAACTAGGATTGTTTGGGACTTTCAGTATGTTGTTTTGGGGACCTTGTAGAAATGCATTGTGGTTAAATACATTCTGTTGCAGTTTGTTCCCTGCAAAACCTTATTTTGCCTGGACTATTACTCAATGTTATGACAAGGATGACAAACTATTCTACTCATGAATATTTAGCAACCGCATGTTACATATGGAACTACTTGCATTGCGTTTATACTTGTCATAACAGCTATGGTTGACAGCTCAGAGGCAAGGGAAGAGGTCTGCAACCTACTTCTGGCCAGGGTCGGATGTACAGATTGATGGTATGTACGCCACGGAATGGTTGACACTTAAATGACATGGGTCGGATGTATAGATTCATCGTACGTACTATACGAATGGTTGACACTTATATGACATTGGTCGGATGTATAGATTCATCGTACGTACTATACGGAATGGTTGACACTTATATGACATTGGTCGGATGTGTAGATTCATCGTACATACTATACGGAATGGTTGACACTTATATGACATTGGTCAGATGTATAGATTCCTCGTACGTACTATACGGAATGGTTGACACTTATATGACATGGGTCGGATGTATAGATTCATCGTACGTACTATATGGAATGGTTGACACTGATATGACATTGGTCAGATGTGTAGATTCATCGTACGTACTATACGGAATGGTTGACACTTATATGACATTGGTCGGATGTGTAGATTCATCGTACGTACTATACGGAATGGTTGACACTTATATGACATGGGTCGGATGAGTAGATTCATCGTACGTACTATACGGAATGGTTGACACTTATATGACATTGGTCGGATGTTAGATTCATCGTACGTACTATACGGAATGGTTGACACTTATATGACATTGGTCGGATGTGTAGATTCATCGTACGTACTATACGGAATGGTTGACACTTATATGACATTGGTCGGATATGTAGATTCATCGTACGTACTATGCGGAATGGTTGACACTTATATGACATTGGTCGGGTGTGTAGATTCATCGTACGTACTATATGGAATGGTTGACACTGATATGACATTGGTCGGATGTATAGATTCATCGTACGTACTATACGGAATGGTTGACACTTATATGACATTGGTCGGATGTGTAGATTCATCGTACGTACTATACGGAATGGTTGACTCTTATATGACATTGGTAGGATGAGTAGATTCATCGTACATACTATACGGAATGGTTGACACTGATATGACATTGGTCGGATGTGTAGATTTATCGTACGTACTATGCGGAATGGTTGACACTTATATGACACTGGTCGGATGTGTAGATTCATTGTACGTACTCCACGAATGTTGAACTGTATCAATGATAAATAGTTTTATTCGGCACACTGCCATGTACAATTCATGATCATGTTACATGTATCCACCTCCCCAGGGTCCTATCCAGACACATATCGCAGATACGACGGGTGAGAAAGTTTTAATCATTCTTCATTATTTAATCAAATACATACGTTGCCTTCTCGGGCAGTAGTGTTAAAGCCTCAGTCACACAGACAATGCAACCGCGATGCAACCTCCTGGCGACTAAAATATTTGACGATCGCAATGAGGTTTCAGTGGTCTCTGAAAGGTTGCACGGAGGTCGCTACAAGGTTTCTGGGCGTTCGCAAAACCATTCGGTCGCAACTGGTCTTTTGAACATGCACAAAAGACTGGCTGCGGCCGATTTGGTAGCTCGGAGGTTTAATTGGTCTCCTAGAGGTCCCCAAGTGGTGTTATTTTAATCGCAAATAAGTTTCCACTGTGCGGCGATCGGTTTCGTCTACACAAGGGTATGGACCCTTTGCAACCTAGTGACGACCTATGGGTGATTGATCAGTGATGAGGCGGTGATCTGGTTGTCGATCGGTTGCAAAGTGGTTTCCAAGCGTGCGTCGATCATTCGCCGTTGGGTTGGCAGCATGTCACCGTCTATAAAAGACCTGTCTGTGCATCACAGCATCATTTTGTCATAAGTACTCAGAGAATTCACATCAATTATTTCCATTCATCACTATGGTCTGTAAAAGCAGGGAAACAAAAAGAACCAGAAATTGTAGAAGATACAAAAGAGACAACTGCTGTGGTGCACAGGTGTGCTACAATTGAGCCAGAGCCAACAACATCTCAACGAAATGAGAGGCAGATTCCTGATGAGGAAGAAGAGCCGGAGATGTCCGATGTTGACAGGCTCCATTCTGAGGTAGCCCACGAAATCCCCACGACTTTCTTTCTTCAATCCTACCATCAGATTCTCATAGTCTCCTGGTTGTGGCGTCTTGCGTCTCAGTCAATACAGCTTTCGCCTTGTCCTCATTCTTCTGTACACCATCATCGCAGCAACTGCGGCATTTTTATTTATTCTTTGCAGGCGGAGCAACAGCAACTGCAACTGTTCTGCTGTTAACATCTTGGCAACTTGCAAACAAATGATTTAATTCAGAAAAGCATCCTTTTTATATGCATTATGTTTTGATCGGTGATCGATCGACATCTAGTCACCAACCAGTCCCCGTTCAGTTGCAACAAGTCACCGAAGATTCGCTGACTATAGTCACCGATCGGTCTCAACCAGTTGCAAACATTTCGCCGTATCTTCGGTGAACAGTTGCAGATCAATCACTAACAAGTTGCAAAACCTATCGGTGATTGATCAGCGATCATACCCTAATTCCAAATATGGGCAGAAGTAGTTGCACCGGTCTCAGCGATCGCCAGTCGGTCGCAAAGGAAATCAGTCGCCAAGAGGTTGTATCGTGGTCGCATTGTCTGTGTGACTGTAGCTTAATTTACTATTCCACACATAGCACGAATCCCACGAATCGCCACGATTTGTAAATTTTAGGATTCATGGAATTTAGCAAATATTCTGGTTCAGTTCGTGACGCTCTACGATCTAGTTACGATACAGGTACGATAGAGTTACGAATATTCGTGGGATTCGGCTGGATTCGCATGAATATTGTCAAGAATTCACTACGATTTACAAGAAGCTATTAAGAATACTGCACGAAAGTTAGGAATCAGTTACGAATAAGTTAAAAATACGCCGAATGCATGTACGAATCAGTACGAATAAAAATGAATTCGTGACAATTCTTGACAATTTTTGAGGTTTTCCCTCAAGATAGCTATAAAAAGGCCTCCCACCCATGCATCAGCTTCAAAATGGATGTCCAACGGAGAGTAGCTGTATTATTGGCCCTGGAACTGGAGTATCAACACCAGCTGCTGATAGCTAGAAGCAGCTAATGACCTGAAATCAATGTTAATTTCCTTATATACCCAATTTGCTGGCAATCGTAGCTGATTCGTGATTGGATCGTGAGCTTCGTACCTGCTTCGGCGTGTATTCGTGGGATTCGTGACAGATTCGTAGCCGATTCATCGTAAAGCCACGAATTCACGAGTCCCCGAATGAGTTAAGAATACCTACGATTACGATTCAGTTACGATGCCTAAGAATGCATTACGAATTTGTTACGAATTAACTACGATATTTTTGAATCAGGAGTTCGTTGCCAAAATTTTGAACAGCTCAAAATCCAAAAAAATACCAATTCGTGGGATTCGTGGTCTGTGTGGAATAGTAGCATTAAGCAGACAACACGTGTGTTGTGTACAACATGCATATGACTGAAGGCAGCAGTCCAGGCCTTACTGCAGAATGAGGGGGCGCCACTTTCGTCCACAGTTCGTTTCGTCGACAGTGTTATCAAAACAAAGTTATGCACCAGTGCTTGGAAGGGTAATACGCTGACTCCTTCAGAAATATAGTAGTGAGTGAGTGAGTAAGTATGGTTTTGCGCCGCTTTTAGCAATATTCTAGCAATATCATGGCAGGGGTCACCAGAAATGGGCTTCACACATTGTCCCCATGTTGGGAATCGAACCCGGGTCTTCGGCGTGACGAGCGAACGCTTTAACCACTAGCGTACCCACCACCCCCAGAAACATAATAGACCTGACCGTGTTAAATAAGATAAAGAAGAATAAGAGAGATCGTTGAATAGATTTATTATATACATATATCATATTACCAAATATAGCATATCATAGTATCAACAAACAATATTCGTTGGTACTTATAAGAACTTCGCTCAATTCATCTTTTAAGTCAGCAATCTTTCGGCCATGGGAGTCGTGTCAATTTTCATTTGTCAGAGGGGTACACAAACTACGTGATCTAGACTGCCAGTTCCATTTTTCTGGAAGTCTCGGTGGCTGAGTGGGCTAGATCACTTACTTTGTGTGCTGGCGATTAGGTGCCTCACCCTGGCAGTGTGGGTTCGAATCCCGGATGGGACTCAACCAGAAAATGTACTAGAATCTGTACTTTACTAAGAAAATGTTATCCCAAGTAAAACATTTGTTACATTCATAATAATTGCTTTAGTAAAAGAGTGCTTACCCTTATTTACTTCTAAGCTACTCCTTAGCAGGGTATTTTTCATTATTCGATCGTCTTCATTTCAAGTGTTAATTGTAATAAGTTTGTTCTCCAGTTTAATGGATCTTGGATCCGCCCATTATCAAGTGAGGGATGAGATTTACTGAGTGTAGTCGAATCACCTCGATCTCACCACAATTACTGTAGTCGAGCTGACTAGACGAAATGAACTGCAGTCAAAAGAAGGCTGCACCCAGAATGACAATGGTGACGGGTTGGTTTGAGGAAGCTATTATCGATCCTACACAAAAGACATTAAACACATGTAATTTCTTTCACTAAATATGCGGCGTATGTGATCATGTTGTTTGAGCGTTACAGTCACCATCTCGTGTGGACACAGTATCATGCTGCAGTGTCTCCTGCACAGGTCAGTGCCGTTCAGTGACCGCGTGGAGACTGTGGTCAGCTGGTTGACCAGGCCCGCCGCCGAGAGACCGGACTTCATCACGCTCTACTTTAACCAACCCGACTCTGCTGGACACAGCGATGGCCCCAGATCTGACGAGGTGACCAGCACTGTTGTCATTTAACATATGGATAGAATATAGTACGGATTCGCAAATAGCACACTTATAGTTTGATTTTGAATTGTTAGTTTGCGCTTTGACCATCATCTCAAGTTAACTAGTCTGAATTACAACACTTGCAATGCTATATTGTTGAGTATACAACATTGTTACAATACATAGAGGGTTGTGCAAACCAATGACACAAAGGAATAATCTAACATAACATGCGCTGTCTTGGTAGAAGCGGGACACGTGATACAGAATACATTTGACAAGTCTAACTGACAACCTACTCCAGGTTAATGACAGTCTAAGGATGCTGGACGAGTTGATGGACACACTGATGGCCCTACTGTACCAGAGCAACCTCCACAACTGTGTCAACATCGTCATAACCGCCGACCACGGTAAGTATATAGTACACTGATGACAACCTCCACAACACCGTCATCACCACAACCACGGTAAGTATATAGTAAACCGATGACAACTCCACAACATCGTCATCCCCGCCGACCACGGTAAGTATATAGTACACCGATGACAACCTCCACAACACCGTCATCACCGCCGACCACAGTAAGTATATAGTACACCGATGACAACCTCTACAGCACCGTCATCCCCGCCGACCACGGTAAGTAAATAGTACACCGATGACAACTCCACAACTGTGTCAACACCGCCGACCATGGTAAGTATATAGTACACCGATGACAACCTCCACAACACCGTCATCACCGCCGACCACGGTAAGTATATAGTACACCGATGACAACCCCCACAACTGTGTCAACACCGTCATCACCACGACCACGGTAAGTATATAGTACACCGATGACAACCTCCACAACTGTGTCAACACCGCCGACCACGGTAAGTATATAGTACACCGATGACAACCCCCACAACATCGTCATAACCGCCGACCACGGTAAGTATATAGTACACTGATGACAACCTCCACAACACCGTCATCACCACAACCACGGTAAGTATATAGTAAACCGATGACAACTCCACAACATCGTCATCCCCGCCGACCACGGTAAGTATATAGTACACCGATGACAACCTCCACAACACCGTCATCACCGCCGACCACAGTAAGTATATAGTACACCGATGACAACCTCTACAGCACCGTCATCCCCGCCGACCACGGTAAGTAAATAGTACACCGATGACAACTCCACAACTGTGTCAACACCGCCGACCATGGTAAGTATATAGTACACCGATGACAACCTCCACAACACCGTCATCACCGCCGACCACGGTAAGTATATAGTACACCGATGACAACCCCCACAACTGTGTCAACACCGTCATCACCACGACCACGGTAAGTATATAGTACACCGATGACAACCTCCACAACTGTGTCAACACCGCCGACCACGGTAAGTATATAGTACACCGATGACAACCCCCACAACTGTGTCAACACCGCCGACCACGGTAAGTATATAGTACACCGATGACAACCTCCACAACACCGTCATCACCGCCGACCACGGTAAGTATATAGTACACCGATGACAACCTCCACAACTGTGTCAACACCGCCGACCACGGTAAGTATATAGTACACCGATGACAACCCCCACAACTGTGTCAACACCGTCATCACCACGACCACGGTAAGTATATAGTACACCGATGACAACCTCCACAACTGTGTCAACACCGCCGACCACGGTAAGTATATAGTACACCGATGACAACCCCCACAACTGTGTCAACACCGCCGACCACGGTAAGTATATAGTACACCGATGACAACTCCACAACTGTGTCATCACTGCCGACCATGGTAAGTATATAGTACACCGATGACAACCTCCACAACTGTGTCAACACCGCCGACCACGGTAAGTATATAGTACACCGATGACAACCTCCACAACTGTGTCAACACCGCCGACCACGGTAAGTATATAGTACACCGATGACAACCCCCACAACTGTGTCAACACCGCCGACCACGGTAAGTATATAGTACACCGATGACAACCCCCACAACTGTGTCAACACCGTCATCACCGCCGACAATGGTAAGTATATAGTACACCGATGACAACCTCCACAACTGTGTAAACACCGTCATCACCACGACCACGGTAAGTATATAGTACACCGATGACAACTCAACAACTGTGTCATCACCGCCGACCACGGTAAGTATATAGTACACCGATGACAACCCCCACAACTGTGTCAACACCGCCGACCACGGTAAGTATATAGTACACCGATGACAACTCCACAACTGTGTCATCACCGCCGACCATGGTAAGTATATAGTACACCGATGACAACCTCCACAACTGTGTCAACACCGCCGACCACGGTAAGTATATAGTACACCGATGACAACCTCCACAACTGTGTCAACACCGCCGACCACGGTAAGTATATAGTACACCGATGACAACTCCACAACTGTGTCAACACCGCCGACCACGGTAAGTATATAGTACACCGATGACAACCCCCACAACTGTGTCAACACCGCCGACCACGGTAAGTATATAGTACACCGATGACAACCTCCACAACTGTGTCAACACCGTCATCACCACGACCACGGTAAGTATATAGTACACCGATGACAACTCCACAACTGTGTCATCACCGCCGACCACGGTAAGTATATAGTACACCGATGACAACCCCCACAACTGTGTCAACACCGCCGACCACGGTAAGTATATAGTACACCGATGACAACTCCACAACTGTGTCATCACCGCCGACCATGGTAAGTATATAGTACACCGATGACAACCTCCACAACTGTGTCAACACCGCCGACCACGGTAAGTATATAGTACACCGATGACAACCCCCACAACTGTGTCAACACCGCCGACCACGGTAAGTATATAGTACACCGATGACAACTCCACAACTGTGTCATCACCGCCGACCACGGTAAGTATATAGTACACCGATGACAACCCCCACAACTGTGTCAACACCGCCGACCACGGTAAGTATATAGTACACCGATGACAACTCCACAACTGTGTCATCACCGCCGACCATGGTAAGTATATAGTACACCGATGACAACCTCCACAACTGTGTCAACACCGCCGACCACGGTAAGTATATAGTACACCGATGACAACCCCCACAACTGTGTCAACACCGCCGACCACGGTAAGTATATAGTACACCGATGACAACTCCACAACTGTGTCATCACCGCCGACCATGGTAAGTATATAGTACACCGATGACAACCCCCACAACTGTGTCAACACCGCCGACCACGGTAAGTATATAGTACACCGATGACAACCTCCACAACTGTGTCAACACCGCCGACCACGGTAAGTATATAGTACACCGATGACAACTCCACAACTGTGTCATCACCGCCGACCATGGTAAGTATATAGTACACCGATGACAACCTCCACAACTGTGTCAACACCGCCGGCCACGGTAAGTATAAAGTACACCGATGACAACCTCCACAACTGTGTCAACACCGCCGACCACGGTAAGTATATAGTACACCGATGACAACCCCCACAACTGTGTCAACACCGCCGACCACGGTAAGTATATAGTACACCGATGACAACCTCCACAACTGTGTCAACACCGTCATCACCGCCGACCATGGTAAGTATATAGTACACCGATGACAACCTCCACAACTGTGTCAACACCGTCATCACCACGACCACGGTAAGTATATAGTACACCGATGACAACTCCACAACTGTGTCATCACCGCCGACCACGGTAAGTATATAGTACACCGATGACAACCCCCACAACTGTGTCAACACCGCCCACCACGGTAAGTATATAGTACACCAATGACAACTCCACAACTGTGTCATCACCGCCGACCATGGTAAGTATATAGTACACCGATGACAACCTCCACAACTGTGTCAACACCGCAGACCACGGTAAGTAGATAGTACACCGATGACAACCTCCACAACTGTGTCAACACCGCCGACCACGGTAAGTATATAGTACACCGATGACAACTCCACAACTGTGTCAACACCGCCGACCACGGTAAGTATATAGTACACCGATGACAACCCCCACAACTGTGTCAACACCGCCGACCACGGTAAGTATATAGTACACCGATGACAACCTCCACAACTGTGTCAACACCGTCATCACCACGACCACGGTAAGTATATAGTACACCGATGACAACTCCACAACTGTGTCATCACCGCCGACCACGGTAAGTATATAGTACACCGATGACAACCTCCACAACTGTGTCAACACCGCCGACCACGGTAAGTATATAGTACACCGATGACAACCCCCACAACTGTGTCAACACGGCCGACCACGGTAAGTATATAGTACACCGATGACAACTCCACAACTGTGTCATCACCGCCGACCACGGTAAGTATATAGTACACCGATGACAACTCCACAACTGTGTCATCACCGCCGACCATGGTAAGTATATAGTACACCGATGACAACCTCCACAACTGTGTCAACACCGCCGACCACGGTAAGTATATAGTACACCGATGACAACCTCCACAACTGTGTCAACACCGCCGACCACGGTAAGTATATAGTACACCGATGACAACCCCCACAACTGTGTCAACACCGCCGACCACGGTAAGTATATAGTACACCGATGACAACCTCCACAACTGTGTCAACACCGCCGACCACGGTAAGTATATAGTACACCGATGACAACTCCACAACTGTGTCATCACCGCCGACCACGGTAAGTATATAGTACACCGATGACAACCCCCACAACTGTGTCAACACCGCCGACCATGGTAAGTATATAGTACACCGATGACAACCCCCACAACTGTGTCAACACCGCCGACCACGGTAAGTATATAGTACACCGATGACAACCCCCACAACTGTGTCAACACCGTCATCACCACGACCACGGTAAGTATATAGTACACCGATGACAACCCCCACAACTGTGTCATCACCGCCGACCACGGTAAGTATATAGTACACCGATGACAACCCCCACAACTGTGTCATCACCGTCAACACCACGACCACGGTAAGTATATAGTACACCGATGACAACCCCCACAACTGTGTCATCACCGTCAACACCGCCGACCACGGTAAGTATATAGTACACCGATGACAACCCCCACAACTGTGTCATCACCGTCAACACCGCCGACCAAGGTAAGTATATAGTACACCGATGACAACCTCCACAACTGTGTCATCACTGTCAACACCACGACCACGGTAAGTATATAGTACACCGATGACAACCCCCACAACTGTGTCATCACTGTCAACACCGCCGACCACGATAAGTATATAGTACACCGATGACAACCCCCACAACTGTGTCATCATCTTCAACACCGCCGACCAAGGTAAGTATATAGTACACCGATGACAACCTCCACAACTGTGTCAACACCGTCATCACCACGACCACGGTAAGTATATAGTACACCGATGACAACCCCCACAACTGTGTCATCACCGCCGACCACGGTAAGTATATAGTACACCGATGACAACCTCCACAACTGTGTCAACACCGTCATCACCACGACCACGGTAAGTATATAGTACACCGATGACAACCTCCACAACTGTGTCAACACCGTCATCACCACGACCACGGTAAGTATATAGTACACCGATGACAACCTCCACAACTGTGTCAACACCGCCGACCACGGTAAGTATATAGTACACCGATGACAACCCCCACAACTGTGTCAACACCGCCGACCACGGTAAGTATATAGTACACCGATGACAACCTCCACAACTGTGTCAACACCGTCAACACCGCCGACCACGGTAAGTATATAGTACACCGATGACAACCTCCACAACTGTGTCAACACCGTCATCACCACGACCACGGTAAGTATATAGTACACCGATGACAACCTCCACAACTGTGTCAACACCGCCGACCACGGTAAGTATATAGTACACCGATGACAACCTCCACAACTGTGTCAACACCGTCAACACCGCCGACCACGGTAAGTATATAGTACACCGATGACAACCTCCACAACTGTGTCAACACCGTCATCACCACGACCACGGTAAGTATATAGTACACCGATGACAACCTCCACAACTGTGTCAACACCGCCGACCACGGTAAGTATATAGTACACCGATGACAACCCCCACAACTGTGTCATCACCGTCAACACCGCCGACCACGGTAAGTATATAGTACACCGATGACAACCTCCACAACTGTGTCAACACCGTCATCACCACGACCACGGTAAGTATATAGTACACCGATGACAACCTCCACAACTGTGTCAACACCGCCGACCACGGTAAGTATATAGTACACCGATGACAACCCCCACAACTGTGTCAACACCGTCATCACCACGACCACGGTAAGTATATAGTACACCGATGACAACTCCACAACTGTGTCAAGATCATCAGCATTTGCATGTAACAGTTGTCAGTGTCAGACATTCAGAATGTGTGTTTCAGGCATGGCTCCCCTCCAGTGTGACCGACTCTTCCTTTTGTCCAACTTCTTCTCCAGGGATGACATGCGCACCTTCTACGTCTATGAGGGAGCCTTTTCTCACATCAGCAACAAGTACAGCTACAGGAATAGAGACTCCGTCACTCTGGTTACCAACCCCCAGTGTACGTGTGGCGGGCCACTTGCTCCTCGCAGCCCATGTCAAACTATGTTTCCTTCTTTGGAATCAAAGCATTGTCTCTTTGTAATGAGGGGAGTCACTCTTTGAATATTAGAATCTCAACTGAACAACTCTACAATATCTACCATAGTGTTGTTTTGTTAATAGTTTGAGCTTCAACATATTAAGTTTTCCTCTGGCCTTAACTTTGATCACATAAGCTGTGGAATGAATATCCAGATGATGGCTTCAACCAATTTAGATTACTTTGAGCCAACTTGTGGGCAGTCCATATGTCAGGTTCAATATTGAACCAATTCCGGGAATAATGAATTGTTAAAGGTGCCAGAACTACCCTTGTGACCAGTACGCCAGTCTCCAGTGCCCCAGTTCAGTACCCCAGTCTCCAGTGCCCCAGTCTCCAGTACCCCAGTCTCCAGTACCCCAGTCTCCAGTACCTCAGTCTCCAGTACCCCAGTCTCCATTACCCCAGTCTCCCGTACCCCAGTCTCCAGTACCCCGGGAATAATGAGGTTGTTAAAGGTGCCAGAACTACCCTTGTGACCAGTGCCCAAGTCTCCAGTACCCCAGTCTCCAGTACTCCAGTACTCCAGTCTCCAGTACCCCAGTCTCCAGTGCCCCAGTCTCCAGTGCCCCAGTCTCCAGTACCCATGTTCCCCGGTACCCCAGTCTCCAGTACCCCGGTACCCCAGTCTCCAGTACCCCAGTCTCCAGTGCCCCAGTCTCCAGTGCCCCAGTCTCCAGTACCCCAGTCTCCAGTGCCCCAGTCTCCAGTACCCGTTCCCCGGTACCCCAGTCTCCAGTACCCCAGTACCCCGGTACCCCAGTCTCCAGTACCCCAGTCTCCAGTGCCCCAGTCTCCAGTGCCCCAGTCTCCAGTACCCCAGTCTCCAGTGCCCCAGTCTCCAGTACCCCGGTACCCCAGTCTCCAGTGCCCCAGTCTCCAGTACCCCAGTCTCCAGTGCCCCAGTCTCCAGTCTCCAGTACCCCAGTCTCCAGTACCTCAGTCTTCAGTACCCCGTGAATACCGAGGTTGTTAAAAGATCCAGAACTACCCTGGACTGATAACAGCTACACAGACACACGCTTTTAGTATATATTAATGATATCTCCTAAACGGTGATCGACCATGTGGTCCCTTTGCTGGTAACCATCCCCTTATGTTCTAGCCATGGTCCACATACGTTTTACAACAAATGTATGAAGCAATATGATTTGTCCTGCCAGATATTTAGGGTCTGAAAGCCAGACATGAAACCATTCTGAACATTCAGCGAGCGTGTCTGTACGCAGTGGACACATGCTTTGATACCACAATGAGTTTATTGGATTCATTTTGCTCAGTATTTAGAAACAATTCCAGAAACCTGAACATTTTCCTTTACTGTGTAGTTATAGTTGGCTGACCTCGTCAGCTGTCGCCCCGTAATAAGGACATGTCACACCCAGTGTCCTCCCTGTACAGCATGTGTCGCTCCTTACATTCATCCAATAGTTTAAAACACCAGCATGTTAGACGGCATGGAGGCCAACTGTTACTCAAAGTGAGCGCTTAAAACTGATTTCAAGGTGATACTTGTTGCTTTTGATTAGGTGTTAATAAGTAAACAGAACAATGTTTATTTTTGTCCAATAGTCGTCAAACAGCAAAAGGGTCACGGGAACTCACACAGCCATGTTTCCAGGTTGCCAAACGTTATAAAGCTGATTGTAATATTTTCATGTCCAAAAGCGGACGTTTTACGGTAGGCGTCCAAAAGATCTATTGTCACGGGCTCAATCTTTTCCTACCCTTTGTGTTCGCTCTCATGTCATTTTAACTACCGCTACCCATATTCCAAGCGACCGCCTCCGTGGTCTTGTGGTAGAGCGTGCGCCCGGAGAGCGGAAGGTCCGGGGTTCGATCCCCGGCCGCGTCATACCAAAAGACGTTAAAAGATGGTACTTGTTGTTACCCTGTCTGGCGCTCGGCATTAAGGGGCTAAAACAAGGACTGGTCGGCTCGGAGTCAGTATACTGTGTCTGAGTGGGGTATTCATGTTAAACTGAGGCATGGTATCTCAGTGAGCTAGCACTATAAATCGGCATCAGTCCGGACTAGTACAAGCAGCCACACAAACACACACACGTACATGCACGTCGCTATATAAGTGCAATAATCTTGGACGCGACGTTAAACCCAATTTCACCTCACCTCACCATATTCCAAGCTGAAGATGGTAGGGTTACTACAATAATAATAAGAAGAAGAAGTCCGTTTATTATGCGGCATTCCATTCAAGAGAAAACTCATGGCGCTTTAATATTATATCCTCTTCTGTGAACCAATGTGATTTTCATCCTCAGTTATCTTGGGAGCATATGACCCAATCATGAAGTTCATTATCATCATATGCTTTCCGTAAATCTGCCGATTAGTTATTTTAAATCACAACGAAGCTGACATGAGTAGAATGTAGTAGCAGGAAGCAATAGTCGTTATCTGTGTTGTGATGTTGCAGTTAGCCTGGCGGAGATTGCCGATAATCTCCGCTGTAATAACAGCCACGTGCAGGTGATGTACAAGACGGACCTGCCCCGACGCCTCCACTACGCCAACAACGACAGGATCGAGGGGATCTACCTTGACGTCGCTGCCAATTGGACAGCATCGAGGTACACGCCAGTTTCAAAAACCGAAACACCAGTTCTCTAGTCTCCAGTACCCGAGTCTCCAGTCTCCAGTCTCCAGTACCTCAGCCTGCAGTACCCCAGTCCTTAATCCCTAGTATCCCAGTACCCGAGTCTCCATTCTCAAATGTCTGGTATCCAGTATCTCGGTGCTCTACTCTCACTGTACCTTAATCCCTAGTTTTCAGTCCCTCAATACCCTAGTCGCCCATACCTCAATCCCCAGTTTTCAGTCCCTCAATACCCTAGTCGCCCTTACCTCAATCCCCAGTTTTCAGTCCCTCAATCCCCTTGTCGCCAATACCTTAATCCCTAGTTTTCAGTCCCTCAATACCCTAGTCGCCCATACCTCAATCCCTAGTTTTCAGTCCCTCAGTACCCCAGTCGCCCATTCCTTAATCCCTAGTTTTCAGTCCCTCAATACCCTAGTCGCCCATTCCTTAATCTCTAGTTTTCAGTCCCTCAGTACTCGACTCCAGGACATCAGCAGCCTCAACTACAGAACCACAATCCGTCGTCTCAAGTACCTTGATTCATATTGCCAAGTACCTCAATGGCCAACCCTTAATACCCAGTCTCCAGTACCTCTGCGCCATAGTCTCATGAACAATAATCCCCAGTCCTCCGGACCTTACTCCCTAGTCTTGTTGACCTTAATCCCTAGACTCCAATAGCCCTATTTTCCTGTACCTCAGTATCCTAGTCTCCAAGTACCTTAATCCCTTATTCCCGTTAGCTTAATCCTCAGTTTCCTGTACCTAAATTTCCAGTTTCCAATAACCCAGTACCCCAGTACTGCCCTCTCCTGTACCCAGTACCCCAGTACTACCATCTTCTTTACCCTACACCCCAGTACTACCATCTCCTGTACCCTACACCCCAGTACTACCGTCTCCTGTACCCTACACCCAAGTACTACCGTCTCCTGTACCCTACACCCCAGTACTATCGACTCCTGTACCCTACACCCCAGTACTACCGACTCCTGTACCCTACACCCCAGTACTACCATCTTCTTTACCCTACACCCCAGTACTACCGTCTCCTGTACCCTACACCCAAGTACTACCGTCTCCTGTACCCTACACCCCAGTACTATCGACTCCTGTACCCTACACCCCAGTACTACCGACTCCTGTACCCTACACCCCAGTACTACCATCTTCTTTACCCTTCACCCAAGTACTACCGTCTCCTGTACCCTACACACCAGTACTACCGTCTCCTGTACCCTACACCCCAGTACTACCGACTCCTGTCCCCTACACCCCAGTACTACCGTCTCCTGTACCCTACACACCAGTACTACCGTTTCTAGTATTTTTACCTCCAGTCGCAAGTCTCCAGTAACCCAGCCACCCAATGTGTTGTCTGCTGCAGATACCGCAACAACAGATATTGTTCTGGTGGAACTCACGGGTACGACAACGCCTACAGAACCATGCATGTGAGTAACCTCTTGTTAGTCTCTAGTCACAGCTGCACTGCACTGCACTGCCCTCTAGTTAGTCTCTAGTCACAACTGCACTGCGGTTCCCTCTAGTTAGTCTCTAGTCACAGCTACGCTGCAGTGCCCGCTATTTAGTCTCTAGCCACGGCTGCACTGCGGTGCCCTCTACGTGGTCTCTAGTCACAGCTGCACTGCAGTGCCCGCTATTTAGTCTCTAGTCAAAGCTGCACTGCACTGCACTGCCTTCTACGTGGTCTCTAGTCACGGCTGCACTGCAGTGCCCTCTAGTTAGTCTCTAGTCACAGCTGCACTGCAGTGCCGGCTATTTAGTCCCTAGTCACGGCTGCACTGCACTGCCCTCTACGTGGTCTCTAGTCACGGCTGCACTGCAGTGCCGTCTAGTTAGTCTCTAGTCACAGCTGCACTGCGATGCCCTCTAGTAAGTCTCTAGTCATAGTGAAATCTCGGGTGTGCCCATGGAAGAACAAAATTGACAGTTAAATAGTTGTTCCTTTTTTTCAATTCTGTTTGCAGGCACTATTCTTGGCATATGGCCCAGCCTTCAAGATCAACAAAACCATCCCTGGCTTTGACAATATTGAAGTATACAATATGATGGCAGGTATTGACAATATTGAAGTATACAACATGATGGCAGGTAATGACAATATTGAAGTATACAATATGATGGCAGGTAATGACAATATTGAAGTATACAATATGATGGCAGGTAATGACAATATTGAAGTATACAATATGATGGCGGGTAATGACAATATTGAAGTATACAACATGATGGCAGGTAATGACAATATTGAAGTATACAATATGATGGCAGGTAATGACAATATTGAAGTATACAACATGATGGCAGGTAATGACAATATTGAAGTATACAATATGATGGCAGGTAATGACAATATTGAAGTATACAATATGATGGCAGGTAATGACAATATTGAAGTATACAATATGATGGCGGGTAATGACAATATTGAAGTATACAACATGATGGCAGGTAATGACAATATTGAAGTATACAATATGATGGCAGGTAATGACAATATTGAAGTATACAACATGATGGCAGGTAATGACAATATTGAAGTATACAATATGATGGCAGGTAATGACAATATTGAAGTATACAATATGATGGCAGGTAATGACAATATTGAAGTATACAATATGATGGCAGGCAATGACAATATTGAAGTAGACAACATGATGGCAGGTAATGACAATATTGAAGTATACAACATGATGGCAGGTATGAGTGTCAGTGCATTCCTGGTTGTGTCAGTATATCTAGGGAGGAGTACATGATGTGAAGAGGGTCAGTGCATTCCTGGCCGAGTGAGTGAGGGAGAGGTGTGAAGTGAAGGGTTGTGTGTTCTTGTTGGTGGTGCTGAGGCGCCAGGCTGGACAAGGAGAGTGGAAACGACAGATGCATTATATCTTAGCATGGACCCATCAGAAGAACGGTTTGTTATTAGCACCGTCAATGTGGAGAGGTATGAACATGTTCAGACATTCAACTCATAAGCTTGGCTACATTGCAGACGTGCTGGGGATAACTGCAGCTCCCAACAACGGTACACATGGGTCGCTGAATCCCATCCTCCTGTCGCCTCCAAACATCACACGCACCGCAGGAACTCCCTATCTGAATGTGTCTGATGTGGATGAAGCGGACCTCCTCAACATCAGCTCCGTCTGTAGCTGTCCTCTGTCAGCCCAGGAGGTGAGGGGATGGAAAGTGTGAGACTGGTGTGGTGGAGTGGAGTGGAGTGAGTGGGTGTGGGATAGTGTGTGTGGTGGGGGGAGGAGTGGGGGAGACAGTGTGAGAGTAGTGAAGCGGGGGAGGGTGGTGTAATGGAGTGGAGTGAGTGGGTATGGGATATTTTAGGGGGTGGGGGGGTGAGACAGTGTGAGAGTGGTGAAGCGGGGGAGTGTGGGGTAGTGGAGTGGAGTGAGTGGGTGTGGGATAGTGTGTGTGGGGAGGAGTGGGGAGGGGAGACAGTGTGAGAGTGGTGAAGTGGGGAAGTTTGGTGTAGTGGAGTGGAGTAAGTGGGTGTGGAATAGTGTGTGTGGGGAGGGGAGACAGTGTGAGAGTGGTGAAGTGGGGAAGTTTGGTGTAGTGGAGTGGAGTAAGTGGGTGTGGAATAGTGTGTGTGGGGAGGGGAGACAGTGTGAGAGTGGTGAAGTGGGGAAGTTTGGTGTAGTGGAGTGGAGTAAGTGGGTGTGGAATAGTGTGTGTGGGGAGGGGAGACAGTGTGAGAGTGGTGAAGTGGGGAAGTTTGGTGAAGTGGAGTGGAGTAAGTGGGTGTGGAATAGTGTGTGTGGGGAGGGGAGACAGTGTGAGAGTGGTGAAGTGGGGAAGTTTGGTGTAGTGGAGTGGAGTAAGTGGGTGTGGAATAGTGTGTGTGGGGAGGGGAGACAGTGTGAGAGTGGTGAAGTGGGGAAGTTTGGTGTTGTGGAGTGGAGTAAGTGGGTGTGGAATAGTGTGTGTGGGGAGGGGAGACAGTGTGAGAGTGGTGAAGCGGGGGAGTGTGGGGTAGTGGAGTGGAGTGAGTGGGTGTGGGATAGTGTGTGTGGGGAGGAGTGGGGAGGGGAGACAGTGTGAGAGTGGTGAAGTGGGGAAGTTTGGTGTAGTGGACTGGAGTAAGTGGGTGTGGAATAGTGTGTGTGGGGAGGGGAGACAGTGTGAGAGTGGTGAAGTGGGGAAGTTTGGTGTAGTGGAGTGGAGTAAGTGGGTGTGGAATAGTGTGTGTGGGGAGGGGAGACAGTGTGAGAGTGGTGAAGTGGGGAAGTTTGGTGTAGTGGAGTGGAGTAAGTGGGTGTGGAATAGTGTGTGTGGGGAGGGGAGACAGTGTGAGAGTGGTGAAGTGGGGAAGTTTGGTGAAGTGGAGTGGAGTAAGTGGGTGTGGAATAGTGTGTGTGGGGAGGGGAGACAGTGTGAGAGTGGTGAAGTGGGGAAGTTTGGTGTAGTGGAGTGGAGTAAGTGGGTGTGGAATAGTGTGTGTGGGGAGGGGAGACAGTGTGAGAGTGGTGAAGTGGGGAAGTTTGGTGTAGTGGAGTGGAGTAAGTGGGTGTGGAATAGTGTGTGTGGGGAGGGGAGACAGTGTGAGAGTGGTGAAGCGGGGGAGTGTGGGGTAGTGGAGTGGAGTGAGCGGGTGTGGGATAGTGTGTGTGGGGAGGAGTGGGGAGGGGAGACAGTGTGAGAGTGGTGAAGTGGGGAAGTTTGGTGTAGTGGAGTGGAGTAAGTGGGTGTGGAATAGTGTGTGTGGGGAGGGGAGACAGTGTGAGAGTGGTGAAGTGGGGAAGTTTGGTGTAGTGGAGTGGAGTAAGTGGGTGTGGAATAGTGTGTGTGGGGAGGGGAGACAGTGTGAGAGTGGTGAAGTGGGGAAGTTTGGTGTAGTGGAGTGGAGTAAGTGGGTGTGGAATAGTGTGTGTGGGGAGGGGAGACAGTGTGAGAGTGGTGAAGTGGGGAAGTTTGGTGTAGTGGAGTGGAGTAAGTGGGTGTGGAATAGTGTGTGTGGGGAGGGGAGACAGTGTGAGAGTGGTGAAGTGGGGAAGTTTGGTGTAGTGGACTGGAGTAAGTGGGTGTGGAATAGTGTGTGTGGGGAGGGGAGACAGTGTGAGAGTGGTGAAGTGGGGAAGTTTGGTGAAGTGGAGTGGAGTAAGTGGGTGTGGAATAGTGTGTGTTGGGAGGGGAGACAGTGTGAGAGTGGTGAAGTGGGGAAGTGTGGTGTAGTGGAGTGGAGTGAGTGGGTGTGGGATAGTGTGTGTGGGGAGGGGAGACAGTGTGAGAGTGGTGAAGTGGGGAAGTGTGGTGTGGTGTAGTGGAGTGGAGTGAGTGGGTGTGGGATAGTGGGTGGGGTGTGTGTGGGGGGGGGGAGGAGTGGTGGGGGGATACTGTGGGGGGTGGGAGGAGGAGTTGGAGACACACTGTGAGAGTAGTGAAGCGGGGAAGTTTGGTGTAGTGGAGTGGAGTGAGTGTGTGTGTGTGTGTGTGTGTGGGGGGGGGGGGGGGGGGGGGGGGAGGGGCAGCGTGAGTGGTGGTGGGATTGAGTGTGTGGGAGTGCAACTGAACATTAGGCCCACCTAATCAGAAAAGTGGTATTTGTTTGAGGTGAGGTGAGATATGAATAGAAAATCTTGATGTGATATTAAGCACAGCCTTCACAATGACTTTGATGCTGATTACATACATTGTTGTTTGTTTCAAGAATAATCATTTGAATCGTTCCCGTCCAATTTTTAACTAACTATTTCCGATTTATCGGTCCTTATCTATTTTTGAGTTCCATGATCTACACAGAAGTAACGAAGCTATTAATATTAACTACTTCTGATACTCCAGGCGTACATGTTAAGCAGTCAGCTGATGACACCTGTCGCGATACACCTCCCCTTCGGGCGTCCCTCCCTGCAGCATCCCATGATGGCAGTCCACCTCCTGGAACAGTCCAGCTTCGTGGCCGGATACTCCTCCCAGCTCCGACTACCGCTGTGGGTCTCCTACACAATCACACAGAGCATGGTAGGTTGTGGATCACCTACACCAACAAACACAGTATATTCTGAAACTGTATTATACAACTGTATTCTACAACTGGGTATATTCCACAACGGTATATATTCTACAACTGTGTATGTTCCGTAACTGTGTACTACAATTTAAGTTGTAGCAGGATCACGAGGGTTACATGGGTTTTTTGCGTCCTTCGGCTCCTGGTATAAAACCTAACACGGGACGCATTAAACCCCATGTAACCCTCGTAAAGGAATATATCTTAGGACATGTTTTAACATGACATTGTAAACGAATTCAAACAAATTCAAAGTGATAGAAAACAGGAGTTCGACTGAGCTGAGGTTAATTTTTGCTATGTCACGTGACTTCCATTGACTCGCAAAAGACGTGCTGCTTTTTGCTTTGAAGCGGAGTATAAGGGATTTATACTGCCTCTCAGAAATCCACGTGGAGCCTGTATTGCTCTTGGCGGGGTATATGAGATTTATTCCCCCGCTGAGAAATTGATTATACAGTATTTTATCAAGATCCCATGGACCAATAAGATCTAATCATTGTGACATCGAGGTATGACAGCTGGCTATATTCCTCAGCAGTACACTACAGCTGTGTATATGGCACAACTGTGTACTACAACTGTGTATATTCCACAACTGGGTATATTCTAGCTCCCTCAGGCTGGGACGGGTTCCCCGTACACCAACTGCAGTCTTCCCGACCCCCGCCTTGCCACGCCCACCACCTGGTCATGCGACACAGAGGCACCTGGAAATACATCCTATGTGTCTCTGATACCTCCAGGTTGGTAACCATGGTGACTGCGTTAATTATGTTTGCATAACTTCTTTTTCATAAGCCTTATATGTGCAGTCTTTTAAAATCCTATACTAGCCTGAAAATGTTCCTGTGCATCACTGACCTATGGTGGTAAATAATATTAAAGCAAACAAAGTACCCTTTTGCAATAGAACATATATTTTTAACCATGAAACATGACTTCATCATGACAGTCTCAACACAAGTCCTTCGTAAACGTCATCTCAGGCTGAAAGTGGCGTGGGGTCAATTGTCAGTTCACAAGTCCGTGTCGGGTATGACCACCACCACAAGCTGTGACACACACTTGACAATGCAGCCTCATTAACGACAAAAGATGGTTGCGGAAGGCTTTGTTACAACTCCTCGTGTTCACTAACCCTCAGTGTAACTATGAACACTAACGGTTGCAACTGCAACCCCTAGAGTTGCACCCGCGACTAGTGTTAACTAGTGTGCACTAAGGGTTGATGCCGTGCATACATCGTGCAGTTGCAACCCTTAGTGTTCACATGTTTCAGATAAGACGTGGAACCAGTTTTCGTGACACACGTACCTTATAAAGCAGATTACAATTCAATAATTCGCTTTCTGTGTTGAGAAAATTTACAAAAATGCCTTGTTATTACTATTTCGTGTATCACTGCTCAGAATACCCAAAATATGACACTTTGTGCTTTTGTTTTGAAATATAAGAAACATTTTTAAAATGTGTAATTAATTTTTAAATGCGTGTAGATCATTCTTAAACCATACCCATCAATCTGTTCGTAATTATAGCTGCAACCCAAAAGTTTGTTCACCTCCTTTTGATATTACTATATTATTTCAAATAATAACAGTCCTATTCAAATAGCCATAATTAAGGAGACGGGTCTGCTTCTGGCTTTTGTCCGGAGTTTTTGAAACACATGTGCTAAAAGTCTTGTTACCAACTCTCCGAAAAATCTTTCGTTCAAATTTCGCCAAACCAGCTTTTGACGGATATCAGTCCAACAGTCACGATCAAGCAAAGGTTAAAACATTGAGAAAATCGTTTCACCAACTTTTCGAACAAACCGTCATTTAATGTTTCACGAAACTTGGCAAACGTCATCTCCTCCCTAAGGATGAGAGCCCAGGGACTTTAAACAGAAGGTTAAGGTCACGAAGAGGTCGAAACTTTCGGAAATTTATTGAAATTGTATCTCAGAATGTTAATGCATGCCTAATTGGTTTCTGCAGACATGTTTATGTATTTTACATGAGAAGAAGACCACTGAAAGAAAACTCTAAGGTTATCCCAGTGTTTCAAATCTTACCAACCTCTAAATAAAACTAATGGGTATGTTTTCATGAAACTTGGTACATGTTATCTATTTACTAAAGTTGCGGGCCTACTGACTTTTGACGAAAATTGATCTGAAGGTCAAGGTCATACAGCGGTTGAAACTTTTGGGAAAAAATCTTTGTTCGAATTTTCTCTCTTTTTCGCTTGTCAATAATTAAGCAACATGCAAACTGGCCGAGTCGCGGAAAGTTGGGCTGCTTCGGTGTTTTTGGAACAAACACCGTTTCTAGTTGAAGCTTATTTCAAAATGTTTTCGATGAAATATGCATAAATCATTTACGTTCACCATACAAAAGTGAGGGCTTCATCTTTATGGCAGTACTATTTTGGCAAAGCTTGAAAGAGGCCGTGATAAGATCTTTTTTTTAAAATCGAATCCTTGAACCTTTGACAACTATTTCTTATTTGGGTAAAATATTTCACTTATCCTGCTTTCTGCCAAGAACTGAGCATAATACAGGAATGAAAAACATTGGGGTCATTATGCAACAAAAATCTAAAATGACCATTTTCTGTTTTTGAACCATTCCCTACTGGAGATTACTTTACTATCAAACCGAAAAAACGGATAAGGAAAGGGTTTATCGGGAACAAGGTTAGGATCAATTGATGACACATCAAATAACATGAATTTAAATGGGTTTTCAGAAGTAGATGAACAGACTTTTGGGATGCAGCTGTATCAGAGTATATTGGCCCTAGTTACCGTTAGTGTTCATTTTGCAATCCACCGTTAGTGTGAGAGTCACCATAGGAACACGAGGGGATGCAGTATGAACCCTTAGTGTTGACTTTTGAAAGAATGTGTATTTTCTACCTCTGTTTTCCAAACCAAATCCAATCTTAAAACTGGTTTTCAAAAATACAATAATTGCATAACTTTCTAGACAGAGACATTAAATCAATTCGGGCAAACCAACACTAGCAGTTGCAAATGTAACTATTAGTGTCACCGTATTAACACCAGAGGTTACAGCATCAACTTCGTTCATTTGCGCATATTGCTATATAATCTCTCTGTTGGGAAAGTTATTGCAATTGTGTTTTGAAAAATTATTTTAGAATGATATTTGTTTCTGGAAAAGAAACTAAAAACTATACATTCATATCAAAAGGTAACACTGAGAGTTGATGGTGCAACCCCTAGTTTTCATGTGGTGACACTGGGGTTATATTTACAACTGCTAGTGTTCATTTGCCAAAAATGATCTAATATCTGTTTTTTTTAAACATGCTTGAGAATGCTATTTGTTTTGAAAAATAAATATCCATGTGGTGACACTAGGGGTTACATGTGCAGCTGTTAGTATTCATGTAATGCTCAATCTACGCAATCTGAGATCGAGACAGAAAGGCCAAATATGCAAAGTTTGAACAAAATCCAATCAATATGTACAGAAATATGGCTTTGAATTTGGTTTGTGTCAGCCAAGCCCTAAGCTTACTTATCATGCTTATGGTTACAACATAACAAAACTCCTAACAGAGTATTAGCCTTGGCCATCGCTCACAATGGTGTTCTCTCACATGTCAACTCAAATTCTCGACTAGTTTAACAACATAGAGTAACGTCCCCTTGTGATGTATAAAATATTTAAGGAAGCACTCATAAAATATCCTTAATTATTCCTTACACATAAATTATATCTTCCAAAGGTTAGATTTAAAGATTTTTCTTTCAAGTGTCACAGAAAATGTTCCTAATTTGCCAAAGAGAAAGCGAACTAGTGACCTTGACACTGATTGCTCATATAACTAACACTATTAAACTGAGACCTTTACGTACAGGCCAAATATGCTAAGTATCCAAACAACATCTTGATAAATATGAGGAGCATGTACTGTTGGTCAAGCTGACCTCCATTTCATATCGACCAGTGAAGATCCGGGGTAGAATAGGTCCTCAGCAACCCATGCTTGACGTAAAAGGCGACTATGCTTGTCGTAAGAGGCGACTAACGGGATAGGGTGGCCAGGCTCGCTGACTTGGTTGATGCATGTCATCGATCCCAATTGCGTGGACCGATCCTCATGATATTAATTACTGGATTATCTGGTCCAGACTCGATTATTTACAGACCGCCGTCATATCGCTGGTTGAATAACAAACCAAGCAACCGTTTTATATCAATGAAATGAACTCAACAAATTTCATCAATTTTGGACTAAAATATTACATGTAACAAAAAGGTCCCTCAAATGCCAAACTGAAAGTTTTAGTGACTTGACCTTGGTCCCTTAGATGCCCCAAACTAATCAATCCGACTCCCTTGGGTTACACCACGGACGTATATACGTCTTTGGTTACACATATGGTATACAAAGTTTTAATGCTAGGATCATTTGCATGAAGAAGCTGTTGCATAAACATAAGCGGCAGGAGCGAACAAATTCATTGAAAAAATGAAAGGAGCCCGTTTTCATGGAACTGCTTATCCAAATACATGTACAAGCACAAACACTTCCATATAATCTGTGTACACACCAAACCCACACGTCCTCCATCCCCACCTTCTTGAACGCTGCCATCCCCTCTCACTTTCAGCGTTGAAGTTGCAACCGTTAGTGTTCTTTGTTACAGTAAGGGCTAGGTGAACACTAAGGGAATGTAACAAGGGTTGTAGGATGACATTCCAGATCTGGACCAAGGCTTGTCGCGACCCGTGAAGATGCGGGGTAGAATTGGTCTTTCGCAACTCATGGTTGTCGTGAAAGGCGAGTATGCTTGTCTTAAGATGCGACTAACGGGATCGGATGGTCAGACAGGCTGTCTTGATTGATGCATGTCATCGATGCTCATGATGTCAATCACTGGATTGACTGGTCGAGACTCGCCGTCATATAGCTGGAATATTGCTGAGTGCGACGTTAAAAAAAGAAACAAACAAACAAACAAACAAACAAACCAAAAGTTGTCACAGCTGGACCAACGTCACCGGTTGGTTTGGAAGTCGGTGTAAACAAGGCTGCATTTCATCCAAACAGGTTCGTTGGGCGACAGATCTGGCGAAACAGCAGCCCAAAGGAGCGTGGGGATGTTTTGTCCAATGAAATCTGTGACACCTCAACGATTTATTGTGGGGTTGAATTGATTCGGCACCGTGTGTGAATGTGTGACGAATTCGTACTCATGGGATTTTATGCACGCAATGACCGGGATGCACGTGCAACTTCTAAGCGTTTCTAAGGCAATTTTATTTTATGTGATGTTTTATGATGCACGTGAAAACTTTCCGTCTGTATTTAAAACTCATTTCGTCTTCTTTTCTCATGTGTAACATTACCTGTTCAGATTTCCACCTCCCGGGTGATCTGACGTACCGGCTGTCGACATCCATGGTGCCAATGCTGGAAGGTTTTAGTGCAGGTACCAAGCCAGGGACAGGTGTACACTTCATTAGAGGAGGTGTATTTCTGGAAGCAATATTCAGAATTTGCAGATGCTTTGAAAACGGTGAGGTGAGGTGAGGTGAGGTTTAACGTCGCTCCAAGATTATTGCACTTATATAGCGACTTGCATGCACGTGTGTGTGTGTGGCTGCTTGTACTTGTCCAGACTGATGACGATTTTATCTCCTTTTATAACTATGATTTAACAAATGTTTTTGCTGTAAAATATGTTCATTTCAGAGACTAGATGTTAGTACTGTCGTGCTTGCTGGAATATGCCAAACATACCATTCCAATAACAACTAACCTCTGTACGCACATTCAGTTTTCAGCGCTAATCGAACATGTTAGATGCAAAGATTGATTTCCACTCGTCAGGGATTTGGAGTGAGCTGTATGGACTTGTTCGGAACTGGACAGAGACATATGGCGTGGCTAACATCATTAGTGGGCCAATATTTGACCACAGTCACAGAGGACATCTGGATGTAACCAACATTATAAATGGGTAAGAATTGAGTGAGTGAGTGAGTGAGTGAACAATGGTTGGTTTGTTAAACGTGGTAAGATTTGCATTGATATGTATTTGAATATGGTATATTTCATAATGACATTCATTTACACAGATGAAAGCTATAAACACTGACACCTCGTCCCGACTGATAATGTTAGCCCACGTGCAGACAGAGACTTGACTGTATTCCCGTCCTGTACCGACAATACAGTCGCCATTACTGAACTGTTTTTATCCAGGCCAACAGCCTACTCAGGTGTTTTTGTGTAATATTGCAGATCCTCTGGTGTTCCCTCCGACTACTTCACAATCATCAGCCAGTGTGGATCTGGTGTGACCCGTCTGGACACCTGTAGAGATCCTCATGTTCTGGCCTTTATACTTCCCCACCGACCGTCCTACACATTCAACTGTCAGGTCAGTATACTTCCCCACAGACCGTCCTACACATTCAGCTGTCAGGTCAGTATACTTCCCCACAGACCGTCCTACACATTCAACTGTCAGGTCAGTATACTTCCCCACAGACCGTCCTACACATTCAACTGTCAGGTCAGTATACTTCCCCACAGACCGTCCTACACATTCAGCTGTCAGGTCAGTATACTTCCCCACCGACCGTCCTACACATTCAGCTGTCAGGTCAGTATACTTCCCCACAGACCGTCCTACACATTCAACTGTCAGGTCGGTATACTTCCCCACCGACCGTCCTACACATTCAACTGTCAGGTCAGTATACTTCCCCACAGACCTTCCTACACATTCAACTGTCAGGTCAGTATACTTCCGCACAGACCGTCCTACTCATTCAACTGTCAGGTCAGTATACTTACCTACACACAGTTCAACACATTCAACTGTCAGGTCAGAATACTTCCCCACAGACCGTCCTACACATTCAACTGTCAGGTCAGTATACTTCCCCACAGACCGTCCTACACATTCAACTGTCAGGTCAGTATACTTCCTCACAGACCGTCCTACACATTCAACTGTCAGGTCAGTATACTTCCCCACAGACCGTCCTACACATTCAACTGTCAGGTCAGTATACTTCCCCACAGACCGTCCTACACATTCAACTGTCAGGTCAGTATACTTCCCCACAGACCGTCCTACACATTCAACTGTCAGGTCAGTATACTTCCCCACAGACCGTCCTACACATTCAACTGTCAGGTCAGTATACTTCCCCACAGACCGTCCTACACATTCAACTGTCAGGTCAGTATACTTCCCCACAGACCGTCAAACACATTCAACTGTCAGGTCAGTATCCTTCCCCACAGACCGTCCTACACATTCAACTGTCAGATCAGTATCCTTCCCCACAGACCGTCCTACACATTCAACTGTCAGGTCAGTATCCTTCCCCACAGACCGTCCTACACATTCAACTGTCAGGTCAGTATACTTCCCCACAGACCGTCCTACAAATTCAACTGTCAGGTCAGTATCCTTCCCCACAGACCGTCCTACACATTCAACAGTCAGGTCAGTATACTTCCCTACAGACCTTCCTACACATTCAACTGTCAGGTCAGTATACTTCCCCACAGACCTTCCTACACATTCAACTGTCAGGTCAGTATACTTCCCCACAGACCTTCCTACACATTCAACTGTCAGGTCAGTATACTTCCCCACCGACCGTCCTACACATTCAATTGTCAGGTCAGTATACTTCCTCACAGACCGTCCTACTCATTCAACTGTCAGGTCAGTATACTTCCCCACAGACTGTCCTACACATTCAACTGTCAGGTCAGTATACTTCCCCACCGACCGTCCTACTCATTCAACTGTCAGGTCAGTATACTTCCCCACAGACCGTCAAACACATTCAACTGTCAGGTCAGTATACTTCCCCACAGACCATTAACCGCTGTGTCCACATAGCCATTAACAACTGCGCCCATTTAGCCACTACCCACAGTGTCCACATAGCCATTAACGATTGCGTCCATTTAGCCATTAACCACTGTGTCCACAAAGCCATTAACGATTGTGTCCATTTAGCCATTAACCACTGCGTCCATTTAGCCATTAACCACTGTGTCCACATAGCCATTAACGATTGTGTCCATTTAGCCATTAACCACTGTGTCCACATAGCCATTAACCACTGTGTCCACAAAGCCATGAACCACTGTGTCCACATAGCCATGAACCACTGTGTCCATATAGTCATTAACCACTGCGTCCACATAGCCATTAACCACTGTGTCCATATAGCCATTAACCACTGTGTCCATATAGCCATTAACCACTGTGTCCATATAGCCATTTACCACTGGCGTCCACATAGCCATTAACCACTGTGTCCATACAGCAATTAACGACTCCATATCTGATCTATCCTTGCTGTTGGTGCGTGATACGAAACTCTCTTCTATTCCAGAATGCAACTCATTACCTGTTGGACAATGAAGTCAGAGTGCGAGATGTGGAGCTCCTCACAGGGCTAGAGTTTTTCACCAACACCCCTGTAGAGAGCTCTGCACAGATACGGACAGCACTGCCACACACCTTATGGAACATGAGCCAGAAATTTCTGCAGTAATGCATTTTCTGAGCCAATTTTTGAGCTTGTGAACATGTGAACACACTGGGACACACAGTATTTGGATTCGACTCCTCGAGAGCTTTCCAATGATATAAAACATGTTTTTGTAGCTCGCTTCCATCTGTGTGGTCAAGTTCGGACTCCTGGCCATTCCTAAGTTGCCCCGCCCTGCCTTCAGTGATTCGTATGTTAACGATCATACATTTCACTATGATTTTCCATGTCACTGGCAGAATGTTTTTTTTTGCAGAAATTTCTGACAGTATTTTTTTTTTCTACAGAAAATTTCTGGCAGAATTATTTTTTTTACAGAAATTTCTGGCAGAATTTTTTTCTGCAGTAATATCAACCATCAATCTTTGGAGAGTTTAAATTGAATTCAGCAATTGAAGATATTTATCTTGGTATTATATTTACCAAATTTATCAAGAAAAGTTGACGTCACTCGAATTAAACAATGGAACAACATGTTGGCCTCATACCTTTGTATACTAGACAGATGTCTGAAAGTAGATAACTTCAGACATGGAAAAAAAATAGAACACAAACAAGATTTTACAATATAACTGCATATATTGTTTCATAAATTTCATTGTGCACATCTCATCTTATATATGTATATATATATATATATACAATTCTAAATACACAGCTTTACTAAGAAACAAAAACATACAAAGTACAAAACTCCTGCAATGCAATCCTCGGCAATATCTCAGCCACATAGCTTAGACAAAAAATATGTTCATTTCAGCAAAACTTGCTGGTCCTTCTTTATTGTTCTGATACTGACGCTTGTCTTCGGTGCTTTGTCAGAGTGATCTGAAAGTAAAGAAAAAAAATGTAAAGAATATGAGAACATAATTAAAATCACAGTGCATCTATACAATAAAAGCAAAAAATAGTAACCTCATGAAGTTGGGTTGTTTCTCTGCCCACATTACACATATTCTAAGTAACGCTGACTAACCCTAATATTACACATCACAATACATATTTCAAAAGAAATGCAATATTTATTGAAATTACCTTTGATTGTTTTTGCAGTTTTTCATTGTTCTTCTCTATTGCCTCTTGAACTTTAGTTGGGAGGGTTGTCGCCTGCCTTGGGGCAGGCATGAAGGGCTTGAAGTCTGATAGCTTGGTGGTGGGTGTCCGGATGTCCCCAATCTTGAAGGAGGGCATCGCGGGTTGTTGCAGGCATCTGTCTAAGTTCCCTTGCAAATACACTAAACAGTTGATCCACATCTTCATGTGTGTGCCCCACCATGAGAAAGAAAGTTTCACCTGAAAATAGTATTTACATCAGTATTATCACTATGAAAACAAATCAAATTGTACAAAACTTGTTTATTTACAGAATACTGATTTGAGTATTGAGAATATTGAGAGAAAAATCAATCTTGTGCATTTAAAAAGTTTCAACATTGTGTGCAGATTCTTTTATACTTAGGATGAGCAACTGGACATGAAATACTTGCTTCAAAACAATTCTAATGTGGTTTAAAACAATTTACATAAATTATAAAAATATTAACCACATGTGACTTCAGCATTTACTTTGAATTGTATAGTATAGCCTCAAGGAATAAATACGCTATACATGATATTGTATGTGGAATCATATACCAATAATTTCATTGATAACTATCTTCATGATAGCACTAAAAGTGGTACCTTGGATTGCAGCGTCCACTTTTGACTGGCCGACAAAATCTTGCAGCTTTACTTGTCCTGGAAATGTCAAATAAATATTTGAACAATACATAAATTGCAACTTTAATGTAATTAGATAGTCATACAAATATAATAATTGCCAATTTCCATTCTCAGAAATCCACAATTCCTCCAAAATTAGACAAGCCTACCAGACAAACATTGAATTTATTCAACAGGCCCGTACCAAGCATTTAGCTAAGACAAAGATAAATTTCTATCCTTCTAAACGTGTGTTACAAATATAATGTACAAACAAATGTCTTGACATACATGGCATGATCCCATTACAAAACATATCCCATTACATCCTTTACTAATAATACTGGACAAACTACAATAACGTAACCCATATATGTGCACTGTGGATACTAAGCTCCACTGGTTTCTAAATAAGAATTTACATAACTCCCTACCAATAGGATATATAGACAGTAATATATGTTTTGGTTTGGTTTGTTGTTTACTGCCGCATTCAGCAATATTCCACCTATGTGACAGCGGGCTGTAATTAATTGAGTCTGGACCAGACATTTCGGAGATTCATATCATGAGCATCAATGCAAGTCAGCGAGCCTGACCATCCGATACCGTTAGTTGCCTCTTAAGACAAGCATAGAATTCACTGGAAACTGGAAAGGAAATATCACAAAAAGACATGTTGTGCTTGGATACCAATTACACAATAATGACCCATTAAATCTTATAATTATTCTTTGCAGAAATCTTTTTTTCATGTAAAGATACAAGGCATATTCCATCGTTCCAGATCTTCCAGATTGAACTTAAGTAGTTTTATTAAAGCAGTTATTAAATGAACAGCATTTATGAGTGGGTATAAAACAGATTCTATAAATTTTGGTCTTCATGGCATACATTTTTTTCGTAACATAGAAGTCATTTTCTGTTTGACATGAAATGCAACAAATAAAAAGGGCTTCACACACTGTGCCCATGTGGGGAATCAAAACCAGGTCTTTGGCGTGATGAGCGAACGCTTTCACCACTGGGCTACACAACCACCCGAGGGTAAAGAAGAAAGCAATGAAGGTTTCGACACAACATCCATAATGCAGTAATACATGGACAAACTGAACATGCATGCACAAAAAAAAAACATCAATTATACGGACAGAAATGGCTGTGTGTTTTGCCAAAAATCATCTATTCAATCAGAACAGGCTTACAAATGAGCCGTTTCTAAAAATACTGTTGCTAGGATACAGCAGTGAACTCATTGTTGTGTTTGTTTGCTTGTTTCTATAACTATATTCCAGCTATATGACAGCTGTCTGTAAATATTTGAGTTTGGACCAGTCCATCCAGTGACTGATATCATGAGCATCAGGTTACACAATTGGGATACGATGACACACATCAAGCAAGTCAGCAAGTCTGACCACCTGATCTCGTTAGTCGCCTCTTACAACAAGCATAGTCGCCTCTTATGGCAAGCATGGGTTGCTGGAGACCTATTGTGAGAACTATGCATGTCATATGTATGGCTAATATTAGCAAATTCCATTCAGGAGTAAACACTGAACCACAGCGGGCAGCTGTAAATGTAACTAGTACTTTGGGGGAACTTTTGTACTGAAAGTGTTGTTTCATTGGTTGCCATCAGTTACTGAGACACATGGACAAATTGACTTACTATGAAACTGGATGTAACATTTAATTAAATAACTTTGTGCAACATACTTCCTTATAATAATTATGGTTTCTTTTATTCACTGTGGCACATGAACACCCGCTTACCTGGAATGAGTGAGTGAGTTAGGTTAGACGCCGCTTTGAACAGTATTTCAGGTATATCACGGCGTGTCAACTTGATGTGGGAGGAAAGCCCAGAGTGATGTAGGTCTTAGACATTTACCACTGGTCAAACCCATGAGCATGTGTATGGTGCTGAACCATGAACCCAACACATCCAGGGACAAAACTCTGCACTAAAGAATATAAGAGTAAGAAGTGAAAAACACCCTTAATATTGGAAGAATTATTATGTCATTATAATGTGAAAAGGAACAAGTCTTGAGTCCTACTACCAACTAACCAAATTTCATTATTTTGAGCAATAACCGAGTTATGGGTGGCAAATATCCAATTCAAGAAATTGGGGTTGTCAATCAGGTAAAGTTTCATTGTCCAGTGGTCTCTTGAGAAGATTGCTTGTATTGTGCAAAGAATTGCATTTTGAGAGAGTGCAAATTAAGGGCATGTAATGGTCAAAATATAAAACATTACGAAAACAGAATCTGTGATGATCCCTATTACAATCTCTACTGGATTTCATTACATATTGTACAAACATGGCTCAGTAATGTCCAAAAGAAGTTTCATCTTTTCGAAAAGCTGGATGTGATGAGGTCAAGTTAAAATGTATAATTTAACAAGAGCACTAAAATTACTGCACATGTATCACCTTTCAAACAAAAATGACTTCAGAAGTAATGGTCATAAATAGCATTATCAATATTGTTGTTATGGCATCAACACTCTTGAAGTTTTGGAGTAGATTTGTTCTAAATCTAAGACGGCTAAGTGGCAGTCAATTCCAATTCCATTTTTGATGAGTTGATTTCCCACAAATACTTGATGGAAATAACTTGATTCTGATTGGACAATCAGGTTATGAAATCACAATAATCCCCCTCTTGTTAAAAAGGCTGATTTGGAAACTAATATTTTATAAAGTAGTACTTTTTTACAGTCATTGTCTATAAGCATTTTAAAATAATTACATTTATAGGATACAACATGCAAAGTTTCATTACAATATTGAAAGGATGTGTGGCAATACACTTTGTGCAGAAAACCATAAAAAATCTACAGAGAGAATGAATTTCAAGTTTTGAGGACAACAGAGAGCTTGACATTGGCACTTTTCATTTTAGGACTGTTACGTCATATCTTTTGTGTCACAGTGAGTGATATGTCATCCTAGTGGCTAGCTTAATTTTCTTTTGGGGTGCCCACTTCATGGTAGTTTTTGTGCTACATGCCTTCAATGCCTGACCTATGTGTAAACAAACTGTTTAAGCATATACAGCACCACTGTCGGTGATTTTGTTTGTTTGTTCACTTTTTTGTTTAACATCGCACTCCAACAATATTTCAGCTATATGACGGTGGTCTGTACAGAAGTCTGGACCAGACAATAAAGTGATTGACATCATGAACATCAAACTATGATTTGGGATATGGTGACAAGCGTCAACCATGTCAATAAGCCTGACCACCCAATCCTGTTAGTCTCCTCTTACAACAAGCATAAACACAACATGTTTTTAACGTGGAGCACGGTTACCTGTAGATTTATCCATGCTTAATTTAAGATTTGAAACCTCATTCTCTGTTTTCGTTTCCAAATTCAATTTACTGCAGTTTACAGGTTACCAAGTGAAACATTGAAAACACAGTATTTTTATCTCCTGATTAAATACTGGATAAAATTGGTAGCATATATATAGGTATTAATAGAGTTAGATAGAGTGACAGTAACATGAGAATGATATGAATTACAAGTATACAGACACTAGTTAGTCTGAAAATGTCATGTAATACTGAAAATGTCATGTTTTAATGATTTTTAAACATTTTGATAATGCAATACAAAACACATTCATTAACAAACATCTCACAAAACTGTGATGCAATAAGATCAGTGTCATGTATTTTTAAAATGACAATCTATCATTAAGTATTGTGACAATGTCTTGCGCACTTAACATAAACTGTTTGTTTTGGGCCATATTGTCAGTGCCACAGATGTAGTGTTCGGAACTGGTTGAAATTCACAACAAGAATGATGAATAAATCATACAACATTTGTCAAGATTAATCAAGTTCTCTCAGATACATGTAGCCTATAGATCCTATAGATCCTATAATTGCATCAATGTTACAGTCACGCTCCCATGTTGCTGTATATTAAAAAATTAAACCTTAGAGATATTAAAACAGTTTTATCTCACGTAATTATTCCAAGCTGATGTAATTATTCCAACTTTTTTATTTCCAAGTGTATATTTTTAATTGATATTGAAGTTTAAACAATTGACATTGTTGTGCATGTTAGGTATGTTTACATTGTAAGTGCGCCAATGCGCACATGCAGTGACGTCACTTTAGGTGTGACGTCATTATGTTGTGAACCCAGACAGCTGTGTGAGGCAGTGCCAGTTCTCCATTAAACAGTAATTGAGCCAACTACGGTTTTGTTATGTATTGAAGATTTGATGTTCCTCCAATGTGCGGGTCGGACAAATAACATAATACATACACAACAGACATAAGAATCGCAAGTGTGTGGGTTTCTTTTTTGCTTGAATGAGCAATTAAAATAATAATGTAAAAGTATCCAGTTGGCTATTAAATTACATTCATTTTCCCTAAACCAATGTCAGCAGTTATTGCTTTTTTATGACATAAGTAGAAATAAGTTATAATGTGTATATTTATATAAAACATGAATTACCAATAAAAACATCATATTTGGAAGGCAATCTGCCATTAATATAATGTAAGTATCTTGTAGGGATCAGCAAACAGTGCAGACAAACATTAAGGATGTGCAGGGGCAACTTAAGATTAAAGATTTCTTGAAATGTTAATGGTTATCCAAAAACTTAATAAAGCATCAATTAATCATCTCTTTTATAGCACTGCTTGTGAAAAAGAATAATTGTTGATTTGTCTCAAGATTTCACTTCTGAAAATACTGTTGGTGAATATCAACTTTGTCTTTCATACATTGTACACATGCTTCCATAAAAACATTTTTTTTGTATAATAGAATGTTATGTTAATCATTTTCAGATTTAACTCAAGAGTGACAAATATCTATTTAGATATTTATCTAGTTTACATAACCCTAACAATGACTACCTAATTTCTTCCATTTAAAATTCTTGTTATCATAAAACTTTAAAATAGGCACGTCAAGATAAGATCTGAAATCAATGCTAGTGACAAGACTTTAATAGACTTTTAAAAGCATTTTACACTAAAGGACAGTCATGAACATGACTTTTTGTCCGCTTATCTAAACTTACATTTAACCTAGCTGACAAACCCCTTGTGAAATAATAATATGAATACACTGAACGGTATGAATGACCTGACAAACATCAGACTATGTTTATTCATTGTCTTTTTCTTAAGCCAAACTCTAAAAATATGATCCTATCTGTATTACAACTACAATTTATGCAACAGAATTCTGTTACTGATGTGCTTTATAATGACAATTTCGCGACTTTATGAACGAATGATTCGTCAAAGTACCTTAATGCTTATCCACATTCTGACTGGTGATGAATGATTCTTGTCAATGTTTTTGATAACCTTGTTACTTCAGGGAGCAAAGACATGTTATTATTTTCACAAGATTATTCCTGTTTCACAAAATTTTCGTTGAAAGAGTATGTACCAAAGATGATAATATGTGAGATTTGAGAATAGATGCCTTGAATATGAATAAATACTAAATTATGTTTTAGACACTTTTTCCAAAAAAGAGTTACCAGGTACATATGATCTGACACTCCCAACCTTTCGTAATCACAACATTCAACTTTTGGCTTGTGCATAGTGAGTGAGTGAGTTAAAATTTAACGTCACATCGGCATTATTTCAGCGCTTGTGCATAGAGAATGGAATCTGTTCATATACGTATTTGAAGGTTTTGCCTTATTGTATCAACAAGTTATTTCAATGAAAATTAATCATGTTTAACTTGTTTGTAAATTGATGAGAAATAAGTTAGGTTTATTATGCAGATAGCAAATGTGTGCTTTGTAGTAATAATGAAACAATAGTTCAAAGAAATACATTCATTGATACTGTGTATGTGCAATAGCACTAATTACTTTCAGCATGTGATACTGTGTTATCATACAAGACCATATCAGACAACCCATTCACCTGTTAACAGACGTGATACACCTGCTTGTGTGGGCCACTTCACGTTCTTATTACATAGGAATAAGCAATCAATGCTTTCAACTAATTTGTATGTTATGATTACTGCTCCTGTGATAATATGACATATCATTTTAGAATAAAAAAGTTTGAAGCATGTTTGGGAAACCTAAAATATACAGTTGTGACTTATCACTAACAAAGCCCCACACGCACCAGAAAACATTGGATCAACGGTAAAGTTGTGAGTCTTGAATGATTGTGTTTGGTTTAACACCGCTTTTAACAGTATTCCAGTTATATCGTGGCGTGTCAGCTTATTGTGGGAGGAAAGCCCAAAGTGATGTAGGTCTCAGACGTTTCAGACTTCGGTGAAACCCACGAGCACGGGTATGGTGCTGGCAAACCTAGAAACATAATCAGGGCGAACAGGGATTCAAACCAACAATCAATGCCCAATTGCAATGCCTGGTAGTGTATGTATATAGTTGGTATCGATACGTTATTCAAGGTTTTAATAATAATTCTCTTGCCAAACCCTTACGTTTCTCGAATATTGTTTCCATGCTAAATTCGGTTCCATTTTGAAGATCACTTTTATATGTATCCAGTTGGAAACAGCAATTATTAATATAGATTTTGCAATATTCCTGGGCTTTCAGAAATTCGAGAAGAAAATTCGCGAAATTCGATATCGACATGTCCTCTCAAAACGAAGAAAGGGTTCTATCACTAGGTCCACGCGAGAATATGTCTCGTAAACTTGCCTAGCCCTACGCCTACTGTTAGCACCACCGAGTAGACCGAGCCACCCACCAACTCGCACCCTAATTAAGTCATGGCCGTGTGGGCAACGAGGGCAACACTTACCTGGTATACTACGTACGTAACACCAATATAATGCCACGCGAAGCCATATATATATATAAAGGCTACACAATCCGCTTACGTTCGCAGAGCCCTGGCTCTTCCGCTCTTCCTTTCCTTGCTCATGTTGAAATTTTGATTAAAAAAAAGCATGGACCGTGCTTTGATTCCGAAACGAAATTTAAATTGGCAACACAGTCGGTGGTGGTAAAAACCCCCAGCGCAACGCAAAACCGATGGAGTACCTCACCCCTACATTCGCCGTACCAGTTTATTTTCGCGTTCGTAGCTCAACTCTACCTAATAGTGCCGATGCAATAAATGAACTATAGTTAACGACATTGCGCATAAACATTACTTACCAATTTCAGTGTTTTTCCTTTTGGGCAGATTTCTTGAAGAAAGATGTCTGCCTTGACTGTTGATGACGTTGGTAAGATCTGTAATAGGGTAGCAACATGTTCAGTGAATATGTTCATAAAGAAACCATGATCCAAAAAGAAGGCAAAGGTTCTTCAAGATATATACAGTGTTTGGTGTACTAAAATAGAATAAAATGCTTCTTACCCATGTCAACGTTGTTGAAGCAGAGCTGGTGAACCCTCCTCAAGGCATCCAGAGCTTCTCACTGCGACCAGAACTTGGGTTTTCGATGTGATTTACCGACTTGTTAAATAGTTACCGTTTGATCGTCTGACAGAACGTTCTCGACGATTTAACGATATTTAACGATACCTGATTACTTACTTACTTACTTTGGAGATTTAACGTGCGCTTTCCGACTGATGCGTATTTCGCACACGGGCCCGGCCAGGCCATTTAATGTGTTTCCGAAAGGGGCGAAAGTGGTCTGTGCAACCCAAGAGGGGGGTTTAGGGGTTGCTTATATAGAATTTGGGAATTTTGAGATTTGGAATAGATGCCGATGGGGTTGGGGAGGAGAACTAAGGGAGCTGGGTATGGTGGATGTGTGTTTGTTTATGTGATTTTGATTTGGTAGGTTATTGTGTTTTTAGATGCGTTTTATTAGTTAACCTGATTAGGGTTAAATCTATAAATACCATTTTTATGGTCGGGCGTCCACGGCTGATTGGTATATCAAATCAAACACAAGGGTGTATATCACGCCCCCTTGAGTGTGGGGTGTTGGTTGTTCACAGGGTCACACGACAATCAGAATTTATTTGGTTATTTCAATAATTGTATGATATATGTAGTCCTTGGGCAGCCCCAATCTCAAAACAACAATAAAATCCTAATTCTCACCGACTCCCTTAGTGGACTAAAAGCCCTCCAAAACAAAATTACCAAAAACGACTTAAATTAATAAACCAAATACTTAAAAGCTCCGACGACCTAACAAAAGCAGGCAAACAAATAACCTTCTTGTGGATCCCCGCCCACGTAGGAATTTACGGCAACGAAAGCGCCGATAAAGCAGCTAAATTATCTCTCACAATACCAGTAATAAGCCTAAACCTACCCATCTCAAAATCAGAAATTAAAAGTGTAAACAAACAAAAAATAACAAAAAAATGGCATAATCAATATCAAAACTCAAATAGCAAAATCAAAAAAGTGCTCAGAAAACCACTAGCCAAACCTGAAATCCTACACCCCTCTAAACAAATTTACAGATTTATTACAAAACTCCAAACAGGACACACGAACCTAAATAACCACCTAAAAAAACTTAAAAGACACACCACAGGCAACTGCCCCCACTGCAAACAACCCGAAACCACAGAACACGCACTCATCCACTGCACCCACTACCAAACACACAGAACCACACTACAAACCACCCTCAATCTAAATAAAGTTCCTACTCTAGATGAAATACTAAACCCTCCAAATAAACTAGAAAACTTCAAGGCCCTAGGCGTATCCCTAATCAAAACAGACCTAATTAAGCACATCTAAAAACTAATTAATCTACCAATCCAAAATCCAATAAACATACAAACACCCACCTCACCCGGCTCCCTTAGTTCCCTCCTCCACCCACCTCGGCATTTATTCCAAATTTAAAAATTCCAAAACTTCAATATAAGCAACCCCTAAAAGCCCCCTCTTGGGTTGCACACATCACTTTCACCCTTTTCGGAATACAATAAATGGTCCGGCCAGGCCCGTGTGCGAAATACGCTACAGTCGGAAAGCGTACGTTAAATCTCCTATATCAGTCAGTCAGACCCCAGTGTTTCATATCATTTTCCTACCAAACTAAAAAAGAATAACCCCAAACTGGATATGTCAAGCGAACTAATTTTCGTTTCGTCTGTCGATTCATATTTTGGAAATTCAAGGGGAACCACTCCAGCTTATGCAGCACACACATTTGGGAAGGTTGCTTCATTAATAATAATACTTCTTACCATGGTTTCACAGTCGTTCGGAACTTTTTTAAGATCTGACACCAGATTATGCTGTCCGAAAATTTATCTCTTTTTTTTAGTGGAGACAGGCCTATCGGAAATTCGAACTTGAACAGCAACGCCAAAACCACATTCCGCCGCAGTGACCAGCTGCTGATGACATAGACTAGGCTAGCTTTACACTAAGTCTTGTACCAGGCTGGCCCCTCTGGGTAGTAGGTCTGGTCTCTCCTTTGTCCTTGGACCCCCTTTCCGATCATAAGGGTTGAGTATCCCTTGCCAATGAAACACGTGTTTATCATCCTTTTACCTTAGAGCACCCATTTACGACACATGGGGATAGTTTTGAGTTCGGTTATGGTTTAGAAGTCTCTTGATATAACCATATTTATTTCCATCAAGTGGAGGGATTGGCAAACAAGCAAATTTTGCTTATCTGAATGCCTCTCCCAAACATGATACATAAGTCTCTTTTAACGAATTAATCCAGTGTAATTTTCGCAGTATACTCATCCTTATATAATTTAAGCTTCATGACAGTGTTAACATTGAGTGCCCCCTACACAAGTATGCAGTCACTGACAACTTATGGAGTGACCTGTACAAAACGGAAGATGCAGACGACTAGTACAAGCACGCACGCACACACACACACACGCGCACGCACGCACGCACGCACATCGCTATATAAGTGCAATTATCTTAGACGCGACATTCAACCCAATTTCACCTCACTTATCTTACTTTGTTCATGTGTCTAAAGCTTGTGGAATGTGTTAATTACTGAAATGAAAAGCATTTTAATGTTTTTTTCAAATCTTTTCAGAATATGTGCACATAGCTTTCAATGACCAGACGAAAAAAGAATTCATTTCAAGTATGTTGAGATGAAAACGTAAGAAAAGCACACTATTAACATTCATAATACATTTTATTCCGCAGGCTCTATTGTAAAGTTAAACTCTAGCTGCGTATAGGCTGCCATTATCCATTATATTAGACAATATGGATCCACTCATCTATACATCTATTTTCTTTTGTGACAGGACCCATCTCTGAAAAAATCACCCAAGAAAATACGACTCATTCATGAGAATGAAAAGTGCAAAGTCTCCCAAGGAATTGTCTTATAATATAGCATGTGAATAAATAATTTTTTGAAAAATCTCACGAAATTAGTTTTATTTTTTTGCTTGTAATCATGTGAACTAAAAATGTTTGTTTTGAGGAAAAAGGTCATTTGAAGCAACTCCAGGTTAAACTATCCAATGATTTATACATTGAGGGATATAAGCTGTATATTCAACATAGCGCGTGTACCGACTGCGAAACAGCCGACGGCTGAAGCGGTCGTAAAATCCCTCAAATCTCTCTCTCTAGAGCGTGTAGGCGATCTTCAGGTATTGGTCAGGTATTGGTCTGGATGTAAAGTCACTTTCCCTGAAAAGTAACCGTCTTCATATTATTAGATCAATAATTTCATTGGAAAAGAGTTTAAAGATGTAAAGGTTGGAGTTATCACTTGTTATATTTGCTCACATTATTTCCTAAATTGAGAATATAAAGACTAATAAGGTCACACAATGGCAACAGTCTAAACTATGTCTGCTGAAAGTATAATTTGTTATGCTTAATAGAAGATACTCTAATATTAACAGCTTGCAAGTATGTGCTAATCAAAGGGTTAAACAATGTCGGTGTAAACTTGCAGGTAAAGAAGTGTTTGTCGGTTACACTACTTGTTATATTGTATCACAAAATCTAGTCAACTGTGATCCCACAGTTAATAGTTTGAAGAGGTATTTGGCTGAGTTATCACTTGTTATTCTTGCTTACAGTATTTTCTCAGATGAGAAATTACAGACTTATGAGGTTATACATCGACAACAGTCTAAAAACTATGTGTGTGAACCCTCAAGAGACTAAGACTGATGATCCGGTAATTTACACAGGAACTTAGGAAGTGTAAATATAACTCATCCAGATGCAAGGAAGACACTTGCAACATATCACCTTATTCATGATGTTCACAAAATATATCTCCACATTATCTTCATATCTTATTAAAAATAAATCCAGGCTAGATTTAGTTGCAAAAATGCACCGACACGGTCACCGGCTGGTTACTCTGTTCTGTTTGACATGGTAATGACTTGAATGTCCTTATATAGCTTGTTAAATGTTCTTATAGAGCTTGTTGAATGTCCTTCTAGAGCTTGTTAAATGTACTTATAGAGCTAGTTGAATGTCCTTTTAGAGCTTGTTGAATGTCCTTTTAGAGCTTGTTAAATGTACTTATAGAGCTAGTTGAATGTCCATGTTAAATGTTCTTTTGGGATTTGCAGAATGTCCTTATAGAAAAGAACTTTTTTAATGTTATAGAGTGTTCACTGTTTAGAGTTTGCAGAATGTTCTTATGGAGTTTGTTAAATGTTTCTATAGTGTAGTGAATATGTTTGTACAGTTTGCTGAATGTTCTTATAGAGTTTCTTGAATGTCCTAATGGAGTTTGCTGAATGTTTTTATGGAGTTAAATGAATGTTCTTGATTATATCAAAAACATGACTTCGTTCCTAAAATTTGTGATAAAGAATTCCATGTTCAACATTGCATTCATATTATTTGTGTTTGCAATGAACGTTTCTACACTGAAAGTATGTCCAGCAAATCTATGTAATCTCAACAGGGATTTTGCAAAGTAACTTTTCACTCTTCGTGACTCTCTAACGACCAATCTCTCAAACTGTTCACTTTCATCCAACCACTCATTCATTCATCTTGTCAGTCCTAAGCCAGACAGTATTGTAATAACTTTTTTTTATTTCTCTAATGTGCATAACACAAGCATTCAAAAACCGTAAAAAACGTTCGATCATGTCGAACTATCCCGCCCTATGCTCATTCAACTTTAAATTCCTACATCACTTTCTTCATTCGCTCAATCAGTCATCCAGTAATTATTTTAAATTAATTAAATAAATTTATAAATTTGGTTATACGTGTATTGCATTCCATAAGACTTTATATCAAGCTGTCGTTTTCAAGACAATCGTCCGAAAATTGTAATTTAGCTCTTTTCACTTAACAAAACTTTTTTCCCGTGAGATTTTCATAGGAGGACATTCAAGGGCGACGACAGTAACGCGAAACTGGCACGCGCCGCCGAAGGATGACATCGTTTGCCATGCTCCGTTGACTGCGGTTAACTATCATATTGTGTATAAAGACTTGGTGTAAGCGAGCGCGCCTTTGTTTGCGTGGCAAGTTTGAATTTGTCCCGCAACTCGCTGCAACATGAATGCACACCCTCATAATTTAGGCTGTTTTGATTATGTCAAGAATGTTATTACGTTCTTATTTATTCTTAACACGTTTGGTCAAAATCTGACATCTTTTGTGGTGGAGTTTGAAGTACAATATTTGTTAACCCACATGTGGCAAAAGATAATCATGTCGAGGATTGAGGTTTATTACAGGGAAGTAAATCCTTTGTTTGCTCATGGGGAAATAAGGGGTTTGGGCAAAAGTATGTTGTGTGAGTAGACATGTGTAAAATGACAGACAGTACCCCACGTTCTTCTGTGGGATGGTCATTGCCTTTCGAATTATCTTTCCGATATCCTGTTTAGTTGTCATAACATCAAATTAGTTGTCTTTTTCGTTATCATCACCATCACC